ATGTCATCCTTAACTCCTGTTTCCTTAATTTAACAGGAGATGATTATCATATCTTCAAAAGGTACTGCTAGTTAGGGCCAGATCACTCTGCAGCAGGTCTTTCCTCTCATTATTTAACTTCACAGTATGACCAAGTAATTTTGATAGCAAACTTATTTATCTATTTAGTTACATAAATTTACTATGTTAATAAATTACGATATATCTGAGAAATTAAGATGGCAATTAGCTGGTTTGTTTCCCCAGTAGCTAGGCAATTATTAGGAAGAAAATACTATACCAGGATAATGCAGTTTTGGCAAAGAAAACTGAATGGAGAGACAAATTGGTTGTCACAGGTTTCCTTAACCAAAGGATGCTAGTCTTGTTACCACCCTTACCACACTGAGGACAATAAGTAAAGCCTGTGCCATGTTTTAGACTATATCACAGTAACCACTTCATATAATTTAAGACAACATCCTAAGACAGTCCTATTCGCAGCAAGGCTATTCATTCCCATGCAATGAGTTAAAGGTGTTGAACTTCACTTTCAAACTAGGGAATGTAATTCAGATTGCTTCATTAAAGACCATAAGAGATAATGAAAAAAAGGTAGAGAAAAAAGTTTTTCTGTGAAGTTCGGTCATCTGAAAGGAAGTTTGTTTTAAAATTTGCTCTAATAAAATATTACGGATTTGCCATGACAATATTGAACAGAATGAATAAGCAAATAAAAGACAAGAAAAACACACTTTAGAAGAACTTAAAGTACTGTATAAGATGGTTTCACATCATACAGAAGAAGGCTATCAATGACCTTCTCTTAAATTATCACATCACTCTATCTTTTAGAAACAGAGAATGCAAAGTGCATTTTAAAATGCATCTGTAATACCAGCTCCTCTTCAGCTACATCCAATGCCTATATTCAGTGTATTTCCTTCAGCTTTCTTGCCAGAATCCTAAAAGAGACGTGAAACTACAAGTATCTGAAATAAAATTAAATGATTTTGAATGAATTTTCTAATAGTAATGTTAACAAATTTCCTGATTTTCCTGATGGATGCTAAAAAGCTGATGTATACACTCAGTTGTGATTTTCTTCCTAAAGATTCTCATTCATTCTCACTCCTCTACAGTCACAGCCAAAAGAGGTCTGTGTTTGGCTGTACTGTGTAAAGCTGCCTCAGTTCAACAGCTGCCTCTGTTAATACAGAAGTTAAATGGTATCACTGAATCACTTCTGTCCTGTCCTTGAAAGACCCAAAACACAGAGGTTAAACAGATTCTGTATTCCAATCCATTCCTACAGTTCTCGCCCACTAAGTATTTTCCTGTTTTGCTTTTCTAATGCCTCTTCTTTCATCATTTCATCCTCTCCCCTACTCCTCATGACAATAAAGATGAATTAGCTTGTCTCAACCACTATTAATTCATTTACTGAAAAAAAAAAAAGATATATATATATATAAATAAAATATAAGGAGAAATACTCATTTTATTCCAGTGCCTCTGGTTCTGACAACCATGGAAAATAATGATCTAAAACAATGATAGCAAAGGAGTATCAAAGTATTAACATTATATGGATGCAGGTATATAGTTAGGACACAAGACTTGTGTTTATCTAGCTGTGACACATTTTATTTCCGCTACTGTTTGATTTTACATTTTAGAAAATATTTTTGTAGGTAAACATATTTTATCTATAAAAACAAGTTTAGATTTCATTAAAGAGAACTAATGGAGCTCAATAGGGAAATACTAACTGAAAATTGGAAGATGTCTTTAGAAGAGTGAATTTAAACCAACTCTTGAATTTCAGATGTAAAATAAATTTGATCAGTCCTTAATCAGGTTCCAGAAGCTGATCACATACTCCCTCACCTGGAACAAGTACCCAGTTAAGAGACAATTAGTTTGAACTTCTGAATGCTTCATAGAATCTTTAACAGAATAAGGTAATTTATTTTGAAAATGAGGCTTATGGTCCTTTTTTTCATAGGAAGTACTAAAAGTACTAAAAGTACTGGTATTCGACTTAAGTCACCGTTAATTGCTTTGAACTACTCTAACCACTTACCTCGTAGAAAAAAATGCATATTTTACACAGTTATTTCCCTTATTCATTCTTGTTCACCACAAGGTTTATGTGGTATGAAAAGGACTTTCTCTTGATTTTCACCTTTTGATCAACTTATTTTTCCCAGTATGGAAAAAAAATCCAGGCCAAAATATGTCAGAAGTAAAATGACCATTAGTTCCAATGGAATTTTAATTGTGTTACCAATAAAATTACTGATATCATTTATGCAAGTCTACTTTCTTTGCCAGTACATATACAAGCAGGTATATAATTTTGACAGCTGTTACTGAATTGAAGGAAAAAGTATTTCTCCTATCCCAAAAATAATCTTAAGATAATATGAACTCTTGTAATTTCCAATGTCCATGACTGAATTAAGTTATAATAAATTAAAGTATGTCTCAAGTTGGCATAAAGAACAGGTAGTGTTTGAGGTAACAACAACAACAACAGCAACAAAAAAAAAAAGCTTTTTGTGTAGTGGAAAATAATTATGCTTCACCTTTTTAAGCCTATGCTTTCAGCTACACCATACTTATTAACAGAACTGGTGACACACACTTATTTTTCAGATTGTTGGTGGACACTATCTGCTACGCATCTGTGAGAGAATCACAACTTTATGAAAATCTACCATGACAGAGATACTCAATTCTTATGTTTATGCATCCTTCTCGCAGATCTTCCCCTCCACCCCTCCCTCCCCCCTCAAACCCCCAAATTGGGGAAAAGTAAATAAGGGGGAACATAATCGCTCTGATTTCATACTTTGATATCAGAATTATATTAGCTCTAATAAAGTAAGAAATGCAATTCTGTCATCAAGCCACAGCAGCATCTTGCTATGTTTATTCAATTAATCATAATGAATTGCAAGATATACAGTACAGTTAAAACCTCATTGCCTTTTAACAATAACTTTCAACTCTTATATGTCTGTAATTGTATACATCATTAATTGCAAATGAAAAATGCAGAAATTTTTACTTCTTTTGCTTCAAAAATAAATTCAATTTTGTAGTTTTATTGTATGTTTTTATTCAGTTGGTGGGTAACAGAAAACATTTTTTTTTTGCTGGTATATGCATGTGTTCAAGTGAATAGTTCAAGTTTTCTTTTTTCTTCTGTATGCTCAAGTCTTGAACAACTAACTAACCCCTCACAACATCCCTGTGAGGTAGGAACTTATGCTGTATTAAAAGAAAGAACAACAACAGCAGCAAAAAAAGGAAGTTGGGAAATTAACTTTGTTCCAATGATTTGGAAAAACTAAAAGACTAACTAAAATAGTAACGAGGCGCCTTGTATTCCTCCTCATTCTGATGTGACCGTGAAAATACAACACTTCTCATCAGTTTCAGTAGCTTCTGTAAAATGTCTAACACATTTCACATTAATACCACAGTGGTCATTGTTAATAGAGAATGGTATTTTTCATATGAAATGAAAAGTACAATGTAATTGACCTGCACACACGTATATTTCATTAACTAAATTTTTTTAAGACATTGAAGAATACTTAAAACTTTTAACCATTACAAAAATATAAATATACCATATAAATAATTTAACAATAAGAGCACATGTAATGGTTGCACATCTAAAAAGTCAGTGGCTATATTTAACCGACCAATTCAAAAACCCATATAGCAATTTGTCTACTTTACATAATTTAAAGAAAAATATGATTTGCTGGTAAAATTTTATAACGGATATACTTGCCCTCTATCATTGTAGGTGTTGGGTGAGTATGTTTAATATGAATGGCAGATTCTTGTTTCTTTCATATCAAAAGAACAAATATATTCATTATTAAAAAACCTTATTTACAAGACAAAGTGAAGCCTGTTCTAGCTCCATGCCAATATAAATAAATGGTTTGCAAGTGATTCTGTCCATCAAGTTTAATGTAAACCATAGTAACCCGAAAAGAGTAATCAGATGAAACAAGATTTAATAACATACAAACCAAAATTAATGATTGTCTGATTGTTTCCATTAACAGCATAGCTATCCCAATTATTGTTTTTATATATATATATATTACGTAACTTAATAGTCAGAGAGTTCAAAATAAAAACAGGTTAATTACATTAACTCAGGTTAACAGGTGTCAATCTTCTCTTTAATCCCATAAAATCTAAAGTTCAAAAGCCAATAAACACAGTAAGAAGAATGACAACCAAAAACTGCCATATGAGTGCAAAAGTAGTTATTTCACAACCATCCATATGGCTAACTTGTGCAATATATTTTGATCATAAACCTGGAATAGTGACAGTTGACTTCTGTTTTATTTATCCAGTTACTGCAGCATCTATAAACCAGTAAGAATATAATAGTATTTTATATTAAACCCTTCAAAATAAGAAAACATTAAGTTAGCTTAGAAAATTATTTTCATCTCTTATTCTATTTAAAAGTACAGTTTCTTGCAAAAAACTCCTTTGAGATTTCAAGTATTTGAAGAAGAGGCTATGTATAAAAGTGCAAGGAGAAAAAAATTAATCTCTTTCTAAAGTAGGTATAAAGATGTATTATGGACAAATAAAAACAACTGAAATTGGCATGGAATGGGTAGTTTGAAAATAACACTTTTTTGGATATACACATTTACTGAACAAAAATGCATGCATGGCAAACTGACATTTTTAAACTGGAGAATGTTACGGAAAAATAATGAAGCAACAGAAATAAACATGAGCTTTTCATTGCTGAGTTTTCGTTAATTGGCTGATTTAAGTGAAGGGCAATTTTAAGACCAAAACAGAGAACTACTGTATTAGAACACAACGACTTTCCCACTTGCAAACAATAGGGTTTTTCTCATTAATATCTGAAGAGTTGACACTGACCCTGATGCTCTCAGTGTTAGTAGGATTCTATTAGCAGTAGCAGTTGCAAACATATGGGTTTGCCAATAACAACTCACAATTTGTGCATAGTTGAGTCTTCGAAACTGAGCAAATTTGCTCTCAAAATCTCGCCAGCGCTTGCTGAGCTGTACCAGGGTTGGCTCCACTGCTTTTGCAGCCCCATCCTTAGACAGGCGTTCAGCCTGCCTGTTCACCGCATTCAGATCTTCCTTCTTCTTCTCCAACTCTCCACCAATCTCCTAGTGAGCAAAACCAATACAGGGCCCAGGACAGTTAGCTAACTAGATCAATCAACTTAGAATTAGCAAAATACTTCTGTCAGAACTTCCATTTCAATTTTATTGTTACAGTTAAAATGTTCAGCTATTTCTAATCTTAGAGGTAAACACAACAAAAAAAAACCTGAGATTAAGAAATCTTTTTGGAGACTGGCTGTAGATATATTAGAATCTAGTACAATCTGAGAATTAGCAAAGGCCAACAGGTTTTACATTTTGATTCTTGCTAGTACACTGTAATGGGCAGTTGAAGAGTATTATTATTTTTTTAATCCATAAGGGTCAGCATATTCATGACAGATAGTTTGGACAGTTTACAAATATATTATCTGAATCTTCAATGCAGTGTTTAATTCCTGTTTTACTCTGCAGGAAACTCAACAGAGAATGAAGCAAAGAAAGACGAGGCAAAAAAAAACTAGGAAAACCTTTGACAATATGTAAATAAATCTACAGATTTTGACAATGACATATGAATGTTCAGATGAAAATGAATGTGCTAACATGAGATAGAGGTCATCCATATATCGGTAAGTCATTAGTTCATCTGGAACAAAGATACATAAAATCAATTACAATTTTTACTAAAAAACATTTGATGCTTCTTAATACATTGCACACTCCATATTGACAAAAAAATTTATTTAATGTTTTTCAAATGATTTATGTAACAATTATTGTAACAAAAGAATACAAGAGATAGTACAACAAAGAAATACCAATTTGAATACAGATTGTTAGCATTTGTTTTATTATAAATCAGAAATAATCTATAGAAATAATAATATTTTACATCTATTAAAATATTCATTTTATTTCCGTTTTTTAAATTAATAAATTTATATCTCAAAATGATCTATCATTGCCACCCCAAAAAAAACATTACCTTTAGCTTCTGTTCATCTTTGTGGTCTGGTAGACTGGCTAACTTTTTCTCAATGTCATCCAGCCATGTCATTAGGTCATCAGCCTGTCTCTTGTACTGATACCATTGATGAGAAATCTCTAAAGCCTTTTTTCTTCTTTGAGACCTCAAGTCCTGTTCACAGTGCAGATATTATTAGAATATGGATGAAAGACTTGTAAAATATGAATTGGCATTTGTGTACACTGAAGGAAAAAAAGGAAAAGTACACAGGTCCACTATTTTTAATTAAATGATGATATTTAAATCAAATGTGGAAGTATCTGAACACAGAGTATTTTCATCAGTTTGACAGGTAAATGTTTAAGCTGAGGGTACATGAATAAATCAGTGAGCAGTCAGCAATATTCAGAGAAGTCCTACATAAATATCAATATTTTTACATATAAAACAATTTTCCTCAGAATACTTACTGGATGGAAGGAAACACAGCCCACTTACTAGCTAGGTACAAGTGGGCTTCCTGTGTTTTGTAATCAATTGTGAAATTCTAGCCTATGTGAGAATTCTGTAGCTATTCAAAAGAAAATAATTTCAATGCAAAAATGTATTATAGACCATTGCATACCAAATGTGTTTATGACTCAGATTTATAAAAGTATTAAAACTTCTATTGAACAGGACATTAAAAAACACAACTTCCTTGACAGTATTATTAAATATACCTTATGTCCTTAGCTTCATTCATGAAGAGTTCAGAAAATACTTTCACTACAATAGCATCTTACTAAGAAGCAATTTTAGAAAAAACTTAGATAATTTATTAAAAAAAAAAAAGAAAAAAAAAAACATAAACAAATGTGCTTCAACCTTTCTTGAAAATTTTATTTGACAAAGTTGAATGCTGAACTGAATAACTCAAAAGGAAAACAACCAATAAAAATCTGGCCAACAGTATAGCTCTGAAGAGTCCTCTCCTCCACAAAAAATTTGAATTAGTTCTGTTTAACTTGAAAAAAATCCAAGACAAACCTAGCAGATTTCAAGTTACTGTGTAATGTGAACAAAATGACAACATTCCATCTATTATTTTACTGCATTCACACAGTTAAATTGTAAAAATTAGAATGAAATCCATAGGAAACAAAAGATGATGCTCACAAATAAGTAATAATTAAATGTAAACATGCGTAAACACATGTAAAAATGTGTTCCTAGTGTCAAGAAGAACTAAACAAAAATTTTCAAGAAAAATTCCTCCTGATGAAGGATAAACATTTCAGCTACAACTGCCAGAGACTATGCCTCTTAGGTGACCAAAGGTGATCTTTCAACTACAAAATTCTTCCTTTCCATATTTTATTTTTCTCCAGAAAGTTGTCATCCTCAAATAAATCTCTCAGCACAGAATTTAGACGTATGACTTTGATTTTCAGCTTCTTAGCTGCTAAGTCTACTGATACAGATATACTGATATAGATTATAGTCTACCCCGCCAGTATTTTAAAGAGGGAAGTGTCACTTTTCATGTTGAAAGAGATCAGCATGCTATTTTTTTTAATGAAGTATAAACCAGATTATTAATTACAACAAAAGTGTTCTACCACCCAGAATCTAAATTTGTGAGGCTGTATTGTAACTAAGGTCTGGAATTCTGTTGGAGAAACATAAAAAGTGCAAAACATATTTTAAAAAGGTAATATAATCAAATAAGTGTTTACTGTCCAATTGGCAATCACCTGGTTGTAACAAAACTGTGACAAAACAGTGTCCATTACACTGCATAATTAATATGCCTTTTCCAAAGCTTCAAGAAAAGTGTAGAAGCAAATACATGCTTATAGCTGAATAGTTTCAAATGATTCATCTCTAAATAGTAATGAGAATTCGTTTAACTTTACAGAACATTGCCCTGAAATGAAGAAAAATCTGTTTTATTTGTATGTGCTCATAATGTTTGCTCCTATACCTTGAGAGCATTATGTTTAGTCTGCAACAGCTGCTGTTTTATCTTTATTTCCTCCCGTTGTCTCTCATCTGTGATTCTTTTCCGAAGCGTGTCACCCCTTTGCAGCAATTCTTTCACTGTGCTCTCATCATCTTCACTCTGATTTGAAATAATAACAGGTAAAATGGGCATTTAATTTAACTACCACTTAAGTACTAAGAGTTTTCGACATATAAACTAATACCTCCTATGCTACAGATCTAAAAGCTACTTGCAGTTCGGTTCTGAAGACACAATAGCTTTCACTTACTTTTTATATCACTTGAAAGGTACGAATAAAACAGCAAATGAAAAGCTACAGATGTTTGATACTAGACTTTACAGAACATCCAGGATAAAAGGATGTAAACATTAAAGGCAAAAAGATAAAACATTTCTAACTTTAAAACAGAAAGGTGTATCTGAAATACTCTAAGAAAGTTTCAGTAGTCACTGATATTGTCAGTATGCTAGGACAATGTGATTCCTAAGTATTTCACATAATAGTATCATCACAATATAAAACAGCTATTCTAGCATTGAAAATGGTACCACTATGCACTCGATACAGAAGGTGAATCTCTTCCTACAGATTTCAAGACCATTTTTGAAACAACACTAAACACTCTATGTATATAAACAGAAAAAATATGCTCAAGCATTGGAACATTACCCAATAAAACTTAATTCACTTATTATTTACCCCTTGAGTAAATACCGCCTCAAATTGCTTATGTTTTTCCTGCATTAAAAAAAAAGAAATTAAAAAAATATTTCATTTTAGCATTGATCTGAAAGATCTATCTTTGAATAATACCTTGAAAGGAAATACAATACTTTTTACTTATATTGCCTATAAAGAAATATATATCTGATCTTGCTGAGGATTCACAAAGTGAGGATCCTAAAGATGATTGGCTATCTAAGACATGTCATTCCTCTGAAAATTGTTTTAAAGAATTCACAGCAGTATTTTGTTTGTGACGTTTTGTTTTTGTTTTAATACACTTACATTGTTTTACTCTTAACAAATAGGAAATATAAATAATAAAACTTATCACAGTCACACGTATTATTCACAATATAAGGTATGACCATATATGTTAATAACTAATCTCTGTGTTATTTGTCGTTAGTGAATGTCTTCTTTTACATGACTTCTGAACTAATGCTAATTTGGAACCTTTGAATTTATAATATATTAGCATAGTAAAATTCTGTCCAAGTCATATCTAAAGATCTTAAGACAAATAAGGTAGTTTCTCATTTTCACTCAGGACTTTTTCATCTTTCTATCTACTTCACTCAAACTTCCATTTCAACCAAATTACCATATCTTTATTGAAGTCCTCCTCTTTCAGATTCACCCCCTGCTGAATTTCAACCTCCAGTGGTTCAAGCAATTTTTGTATATCGAAGTCAAATTGCTCCAATTCCTTCAAAGGAATGAAGGGCTAGAATGGGAAAAATACAGATATAATTTATTTAAATTACATATTTAATAGTCTTATTAGAAGCATAAACAAGAACAGACATCTGTTCCACTTCCTATTACTAAAACATTAGTAGATTTTCCATAAGATGAAAAAACTATCACCATGCAACTCCAACTACCCACATACACAAATAAACATTGGTACTTAAGAATACTCTAGAGTTCTCATGTAAGAAATATAAGAATTCTGTGGCAAAGTAAGATTTAAAGAAAAAAAATGATATTTTCACATTTGTGTGCAAGAATAGGCTCAGATAAAGTGTCTAAAAAATTAAGTTTAAACAATCCTCAGAAACAGTATAGCAACAAGCAATCCATTTAGATGAATAACTACCTTCTACTACCAATTGAGAACAATTTCAGGATAATTTATCTCAGTGTTTTGAAATCACTGTTCTGTCAAAAAGAACAGCAAAAATCCCAGATTGATTACATAGTATCCATCTTAAAACAAAACAAAACAAAACAAAACAGTTAAACTTCACATAAGATATCCACTTAATGATACTATGCAACATAGTAAAAAACGAAGTAAACAAAACCTTCTTTAAGAAAGCACTCCATGTGAGGTCTAAAAAAGGCAAAGCAGAGAGTGACTATCTTTCCCTGCCGTCCCCCCTCTTTTGATGCAGCCCCGAAACTGTTGGCCATCTGGGCTACAACAGTACACTGCTAGATCATGTCCAGCTTTTTGTCCACCAGGACCCTACATCCTTCTCCACAGGGCTGCTCTTGATGAGTCTGTAGACGTATCTGGGATTGCACTGATCCAAGTGTAACACTCTGCACTTGGCTGTGTTAAACTTCATTCAGTTCATGTGGGCCCAGTTTTCATTCTTGTCCAAGTCACTCTGGATGGCATCCCTTCTTTCTGTCATATTGACTACACCACTCAGATTAGTGTCATGAGTAAATTTGCTGAGAGTACACTCGATCTCCTTGTCTATGTTACTGATTAGTATGTTGAAGTGCACCAGTCCCAAGAGTTACCCCTGGGAGACACTGCTTGTGACTAGCCTTCACCTGGGCATAGATTTGTTAGTCATAACCCCTGTGACCGTCCAACCAATTCTTTCTTATCCAACAGACCAGCCTGCTAATCTCTCCAATTTAGAGATAAGGACAGGGTGCAGGACCACATCCAGGCAGACATCATCAGTTGTCCTTCTTTTGTCCACAGATGTTGTCACTCCATCATAGAACGCCAACAGATTGGTCAGGCACGATCAGCCCTTGGCGAAGCCATACTGGCTGTCTCTGATCACCTTCTTGTCTTGCACATGCTGTAATTCAACCTCCAGGAGGATCTGCTCCATGAACTTCCTAGGCAAAGAGGTGAGGCTCACTGGCCTGTAGTTTCCCAGGTTTTCCTCTCTTCCTTTCTTAAAAATGGAAGTCATGTTTTCCTTTTTCCAGTGACCAGGACTTCACCTGACAGCCATGACTTTTCAAATATGATGGTGAGTGACTTGGCAGTCATATCAGCCAGTTCCTTCAGGACCCTGGAATGTATGTCATCAAACCCCATAGACTTGCACCCATTCAGTCTCACAAAGTGATCTCTAACCTGTTCTTCTCTTAATGACCTAGAATCTCCTGGATGTACTTCTGTCTACCTACTAAAGGCATAAGTACATTATATTTTTGTCACTTCCCTTGTATGTGTCTCTACAACACATTGGTCTTTATTATAAAGCATATGTTTGTAATCAAGATGTTAATAATCAAAGCTATTCAGTCAAACAAAAGAGGCTAGACATCAATTAACACTCAGAAGATGTGTAAAACTTTATCAGTTGTTCCACAGATAAACTGGGAGATTTAGAGTAAAAATATTATAATTGTATCTGGTTGATCATTTTCATGACAAAGACTTTGTACGCTTGTACACACTAATGGAAATATAACAATGGTTGATATTCATAAGGAAACATACTGTGCTCACAAATTTTCATCAAGAAGCTCAGCTTCTTACCTAGCAACTACTTCAACTAAGGCAGAAATAATAGCAAAATACTAAGTAATCTATACTCTGATCATTTAGATCACTTCATCAAAGGATGCATCATCACAACATTTCATCTTACAACATTGTGGAAGAGTATGGCAAAACTCAGAAGGAGCTCCATATTGCAGTATCCAGAATGGAAATGTTACACAACAGAATCGTTTGTACTACATATCCTCTGTCTACAGTTTGTCCTTCTGTAATGAGTAGAAGCACACTGCAACTGCTGAAACACTACTGACGGCTGCCAGGAAAAAACAAAACAAAACAAAACAAAACAAAACAAAACAAGATCCCTAACACAATCACTCTAGGTCACAGGAAAAAGGTACCCCACCACAATGGCTGGGGGTTGGGAAAGTTGGGAGGGGACAGATGACTTGAATTGGCTGAAGGGATACCATATCATGTAATGACTAGTTCCAGAAAATCAAAGTGAGAAACAAACAGAAAAACAAAGAAGCAAAACCAAACCAACCAACCAACCAACCAAACGTAAGAGAGAGGAAGAAGAACTTCCAAAGTATCCATTGATGAGAAATAGGCTGAGCACCAGTGTGCTTAGGGAATGTAATGAGACTTTGTGTCACTTGCTTTTTTCCCCTTACTTATGAGATTGTTTGTATATCAACCTGCAAGTTTTCTCAGTTTCACTTTTCCTATTCTTATCCTCTATCTCACTGAGGGGATGAGTTCTCAGTGAGTTGCTGTGCGAGCGCTTAGATGCTGCTAGCCTCTACAATAGCACAGTATCAATATTCCTCAAAATTTATGTTAAAACTAGCTAGAAAAGAAGCTGCTTTGGAAAAAAACGTGTCTTGTTTATCGTTGTGCAGTAAGAAATGTTACATTGGTCAAAGAAATAATGTCAATGACTCTGCACTCAGTTAAAGAAGGTACTCGCACCCCTGAAGAGCAAAATGATTTGGAAATCACCCAGTTAAAGTTCATCTTAGCTAGCAAAGATGAAATGATGCAGTCAGACAATTGCTGGAACTTGCTTGTATTACAAAACAAGTAGTCTTTTAATTTCTCAGCCAAATAGAGCATCAGTTTTAAACAATCCAGCAGTTTTTTGCCTGTATACAGGCTATGAGAGAGTACTTGTTTTTCAAGAAAGACTAATATATCCTGAAGAAAAAAAAAAAAAAGGTGAAATTAACACATACTTCTCAAAGTGAGAGGCCATACAAAACAGTTTTCTAAAGTATTCACACATATCCTTCTTTGCACAATTCTTGCATTTAAGATTAATATGATTCATTTTTAATTCAACAATGACAATTACATGCCACTGTTCATCACTGCAGTTTATAAGTGTGCAATTAAGTAATATACTGAAGAAAAGAAAACCCAAATCATATCCTGACTTTCTCCTCAGCTTTCCTGGAAGCCCTTTTAACTTCCTCTCTTGTTTTCAAGCAAATATTGACACAATTATTTCACACTGCTTCACAGTTTCTATCATTAAGCTTTTTTTTTTTTTTTTTTTCTCCTAATAGGATATGTTCTGTTCCACAAAAGAAAACTAAATCAACTCAAATATGTACAAACAATGTGCTGATTACAGAGGGCACTGAGCCCTGTGAAAGCCCAGAACAGTAGATGGAAACCATGCAACCTTACTTATGCATTTATAAGGCTTATTTCCTTCTCTGCCACTGATCCTCTGTGCATTGATTTCCCGTGCTATTACACTAGCTACCACAAATACATAGGATCAGGATCCATACAGTCCTGCTATGCACCCTACGTGGCTGCCTGCTTTAATCTACAAAACTACTCTTCACAATAAAGGTAGTGAAAACAATGGAGAAAAGAAATGATTTATATCCTCTCTATTCCACGTCAGAAGTGAACTTGGCAAAACTTGTCTAAAAATGCCCTAATTCAAACTGAACTCAATTCAGTACTCAAACTAATTGAAGAGATAATTATTTGAAGTACTGTTGAAATATACATATACAAATACATGCATATCAAACCTTGACGAGTCTTGGCCTCATAGGAAAAGGTATTTAATAAAAATTAGCCCCTCCAAACAAATACACACACACAAAAATAGTTATGGACAGTCATTTGAGAAGATTAAGAATCTTATTATTTCCTAAATGACATTCATTTTTTGTGTTAGTGAGATAACAGGTGTATGTTTATATAAACTTAGTGAATATCACTATTTATGCAGTAGTGAAAGAAGTCCCTTAATGCCAAACCCCTCTCAAACATTGACACTTAAAAAATAAATAAATAAATAAATTTAGGATTTTAACATATTTTCCTTTAAAATCTTAGCTTTTGAAGACGCTATAGTTCACTGATAAGTTTTCACTGTGCACATTATACAGATACCATTCTGTATGCATCTCCATATGGAAGCAAGTCTTCCTACCTTTCCACTCTTAATTCTTTGTGATATGGCAGCAAATCGATGGTTGAGCTCTGATAGTTTAGGCTCTATTACTTTCCTGCAGTGATCACCATGGTTTGTCATCAAGTCTACTGCTTGGTCACGCACTGAGTCCACCTTTGGATGCATATCATTCAGCTCAGCCTTTAAGCGCTACAGTCCGTGAGCAAGAGACAGGGCTTGAAGTTAGTAATAAATGCAAAGAGAGAGAAAGAGAGAGAGAGAGAGTGTGCAAAGGAATAGGGAGCAAAACCATAAAGCAAATTCAGACAATTATGCATGAGCATGCAAACACAGTACAAATACATTAGGTAACATTCTTACTCACGCTCCTCAACATTTATAGCAGGAATGTATCTATATATCTGTTTTCTGATCTTCTATTGGAAAACAATGGTGGACAGTATTTCTAGACAGGTTATCTGCCATAATACAATGCTCAACATATTTGAGGGTACAATCAACTATTTTATGTTCCTAAAGATAAGTAGAGTTGCTAATTGCGTTAATGCACTGGCACAGGTTGCTCAAAGATTCAAGTGCCACATCCCTGGATGTACTCAAGGCTGGACAGGGACCTGGGAAGCCTGATGTAGTGGGTGTCTGTGGCAAGGATTTGGAACAGGATAGTGTTTAGGGTCCCTTCCACTTCAAGCCATTCTGTGATTTTGTGATCATAATTCATACATTAAAGAACTCAAGGTAACAGTTGCTACTTTCATTACTGTTCAATAAGGTTCACTGGAGGGATGGAAATACAATGAGATGAACACCAGTGTGATTTTTTTATACAGATCTATCCAAAAGAAAACAATATCTTCTTCTGTAATAATAATTGTAACAGTACATGTCAATATGGACACAGGCAAAAAAGGGGAGCTACATATTAAGGAATCATAAACACATTTGGGCATTAGGAAGTATTTTACAATGTCTATGAAATGCCATTGTTCAACACAACTGTAAATTTTTATCGATGGCAAAGATAATTGTACTTTGTCCTTTGCAGTGTCAAAATTCTTGCTACAGAAGTCTGTCCTGTAATCCTTCTGAGATCAATGAGCCATTGACTTTTGCTCTGTGTAAGTGCTACTTGGAAATTTTGATTGTCTTGGATTTTTTTTTGGTAAATGGTATCACTATGTTAGCATCAGCAATACAATTCTGATTTTGATTTGCAAACTATTTTTCTGATAATATGCAACATTTCACACTGATTACTACAGTAAATACATATATAAAAACCCATATAGATAATAACTCAAAGTCCTTGACAAAGAAGTTATTTTAAATAGATACTTTGTCACAATTATCTTACATGTCACTTTTCATCAGTCTTCATCAAATGATGTAAGAGGCCAAATAAAGCCTTTAGATCAGTGTGCTAAGCCATTATTACACAGCTTATTCACCATGTAATATTCTTGTTCATGGTGTTGGACTGGCATCAATGCAAGCAGTGTTCATAGGACTAAAACAATCATATGACAGAGAAATCAAATGCAGATACCATAGATATCAGAAAAGAATAAAAGAAAAATAGAAAAGTATTTAAAATGAAAACACAGGAGAAAAGGTTTGTGTTTAACCTGCTCTGTTAAGCAGTATTTTCCAGCAAACACAGGTTTAAAAAGATGTTCTACTCACCATGAAGTAACCAAGACTTGTAATGTATCTGGTTTTATTCCTGTAGGGACTTAACTTTTGCTGTGTGGTACAAAGTTACTAAGTAATCTACAAGCCAGAGGGTAGCTTTATCACAGAGAAAATAATGTTAATCAATTTTGGATACCTTTCAAAATACACTAGTTCTGACACATTCCTTTTCAGAATAAAATTAATGTTCTCCAGAAAATCACATTTTTTTACCTTAAGAGTTTCCTCTTTTTGCTGGGGCTTTTGCTTATCAGATTCATCCAACAGTATTTCAGCACGATATATCCAAGTTGTGACATTAGCTACTTTCTGATCAAAAGCCTCCATGTGCTTTTGATATTCCTGTATATAAAAAAGGTAAATACTGCATACAAAAAAGTAATCAGAACTGAAATAATAGCCATATTTATGCCAATTGTGGCAAACATGCATATGTTATGAAACAAAATTTATTTCATATAATATCTGCTTGTTATGTGAAGGACAAAATCTACTTTATGTGTTTGCTTTCAATTTATATGCTTTATTTCTTTGAACGACATTCTAGAAGAGACAGAATCTTCCTAAAAGACAGACAGGAGGGTGATACAGTCACAGCAAGAAACAGGCATCTGCAGCTCAGTGAGACTGCTGAGAGGAAAAGGAAGCTGGCAGCCAGGGCTAATGGAGGTGAAATTTCCCAAGAATCAGGCTTGCTTTTTGGTGAGCTACTAAGTTGATTGAAACTAGGATGGAAACAAAGATTCACCTGCAAAATCACAGTCAAGAAAGTGTGTTTTATATACATATATATAATTTTCATGTACATTTCACCTAGCTTCTCTGCTTTCATATTCTACTTTTAAAAAGCTACTGCCATTGATATTCCAATAAAACTTTTTTTTTATTTATTTATAAATCTTCTGTCTTTTCTGATGAGATCACTAGAATGAGGTGTATTCACACCCACCTCAAACTTATAAGTGAGCCATATGTACTTATTAGCACACTATTAGAATATGGATATTTTAGTAGTATGGCAGTGGCAACAGCTGTAACAATTTATTTACCTGCTCCTTTTGGTCATTAAAAGTATTACTCTACAGAAACTGCAATACTGCTACATAACCTTATCAATGACATAACTACAGCCATCTGTAAACTTTAATATATATTTCTAATAATCAGTTCTACATTGAAGCTGAGGACCTACATCATGCTACATCAAATGCTTCAGTCTTCCAGATAGAGCAGACACAAATGGATGTTTGCACTTGTATGCTGCCTATAGATGAAGAAGCCCTGTAGTGATGCTGCCTGTCTGTTACAGAAGCGTTCTTAAGATAATGTTCCCCATTAGAGTTCTGAAACACCAAGCTCTGAAAAGTTAAGTCTAATGTATCCCTGACAACTCCTTCAGTTCTCTGGCTTCAAATTGCATTCTGATTCCATCAGGAAAAAAAACATCATACAAGATTTTCTTAAGTGTTCAGCCAGTGTATGGTTAATACTCCTTCTTTGCTTTTGTCAACTCTTCAGGACAACATGAAGGGGAGAATAAATTTTTATGACTGACAGTTGTTCTAAGCTGTTGGGACTCCTGAATTTAAATTAAATGTGGTTCAGGGATTTGCTTTGTATGAGGTTTAATCTGGGCCCCTTAACAAAATATCCGCATCAAAACATGCACCACAAAATTGCCCAGAGGAGGACCACCACAGAGGAGGACTACATCATTGTTCTTGAGCACATTAGGTGCACAGTACTCACAGAGCTTCTAATTCACTTGCTTTGAAATGAATTTAGTTCACACACATCACATCTATTCTGAGGACCAAACCAACATGCAGGTGGTGACTTCCAGGTCGTATGTAGATAAACACAAAGTCGGTATCAGTACTGAGACTTAATTCAACTGATATGGCCTGATATGGCCATTTTTTTTATTTGATTCATATTCAAGGACTTTAGGTCTTTGGGAAGAACCTGCCTTCCACACTCTAGGAAAATTAAAACAAAAAAACAAAACAAAAAAAAACAAACCAAAACAAAAAACCAACAAAACAAAAAATGGCCCAGAAACTGCTCAGGTAGATAAGAACGGGAAACACTAATCAGCAAAATTCCACAGCGCCTCTCTCTTTAATCACTCAACTAAACAATGTGATTGATTGTCAGTCCATTAGATAAGCATACTCCGGGGCACCAGAAAAAGCAAACCTGTAAGAATGAGCACCCTGGGCATCATTTCTCCTGTGGGCACAAACGCATTTTTCTTACCATTAACAGATTTAACCATTCCTCAGCACGTGAAGTTACTGCTATCCAATTACTGTTCAGGAGGCTGAGTTTGTCTTCCACTAGAGTTTCCTTTCCCTTCAGTACTGTCTTCAAATTCTCTCCTAAATCACTGACATTCTTAAGCTGGACTTGGCGTTTCTCAATCTCTTTCCGTGTTGCCTATAATCAGCAGAATAAAAAATAAAAATTCAGGAAATTAAACATTCTCCACACAAAGATCAACAAACAGCCAGTAGGTTCATACGAGAAAACACCCTCTTGCTACCCTCTAATTAGAGAAATAAGCATAAATAAGAATAAGTAAAACACAAATTGTTTGTTTTTAGCTCTGATAAAATTGCATTCTTCATCTTCTGTATTTGAAATTATTTTTATAAATCATGAATTAGCTCTTACTCCAGTGTTCAAAATACAGTTTTAATACTCTATTATAAAAAAAAAAAAAAACTAACACAAAAAAAACCACTATATTTTACAATATTTACCTAAAGATATTTAATTTGGATGTAATAAAATGACATAGCTATGAAACTGCACATAAAGCTAACATAATAAATAGGACAATAACAAAGCATTATTATAATATCTGAAGACTTATAGAACACCACCAAAACTAGTCTTATGAATTCCTTTGATATTTGCCAGTGCAATCTTTTTTTTCAGCTGAAACCATGTTCTGTCCTGTTAAATGTTTTTTTTTTCCAAACTGTAGAAATGCCTTTTTTCATTGTGTTCACCTGGGATTTTACTGAGTGAACTAAAATATTAAAATACTACTCATAGAATCTAAAAACCATACATATGTAGGGTGTTCCAGAAGTAATGCCTCCTATTTATTTCCATGGAAATGCCAGCAGATACAAAGAGCACAATGACACTGTTTGACCAACCAAATTCTCAGCTAAAAAGCACCTTTTTCCACATAGTCATTGCCACCTTTTTTGCCAGAAATGACAACCAGCATGTCAAGCTTGTAAATATCTGCACCAGCAGAGGTGACCCACTGTCACTATTGTCACTTCCGAAATGCACCACCCACCACATCACTGTGCTCACATCTACTTGTTGGTCTCCACAAATGTTCAGCAAGAATCGATGAATGTCAATGATGCACTTTTTTTGTCAGGATGGAGGAATTCAATTCCACAGGCACTTTGCTTCACAGGCACTTCCATGTGTCAGACTGCCCCTACGCTGCCATCTGTTGCACAGCAATAAAATGGAATGGAACAATGGTGGGAAGGTTGGCACTGCCATACTACCAGCATCAAACTCTAATATTGTGGGCCAACAGAATAACCTACTTTCAGAGCAGCCCCCATTAAAGACATAATATTGGTAAGGCATATAAAGTAATTAAACATACTAATTATTCAACAGCCTTTTCTTCACCCACCAGGCAGGTCACTGATCATAGCAGGAGATCAGGTTGGTCAAGCAACTTGCCTTTTGTGAACTTATACTGGCTAGGCCTGATCCCCACCATTCCACCATTCAAGTCCCTACCACTGAAGTCTCAGGAAAGAAACTGCAAAGTAAAATAAGAGTTTTACTTTAGAAATAACAAATTCAGCTGAGTTGAAACTCAGGGATACGTAGGATCCTTTGCAGTGTTGAAAGATATGAAGACAAACCTTACTAAGAATTCATAAGAAGAAGCTCTTAGTTGCATACAATAGCATCTTTATTCTACATACGGACCCACAGGTTTACAGGACGAATCATTGCATAAATAAATGTGGCTATCTGTGCAGCGATGTGTTCATAGCTCTCTTCCTGATTCCACTGTTGTGTGGGATACTCTTTATCCTCGAGTTTATAACAACTACTACAGCTGTTGTTTTTTTTTTTTAAGTGATGCCTCATCAGGAAGCAAAAAATTATAACATCCTTTACATCAGCAAAGACTAACCAGGAACAACTGATGGCTGAAAACTGATGGCCACATAGGAATGTGTTTTTTTTTGTTGTAGCTGTTTGTATTTTTAATGATAATATGATGAAGAGGGTTTCTGAGCAACAGTTCATAATGGTAAGACTGCTATGTATCAAACTTGTTTTTTCTTTTTCCTCCCCCTAAGCAAATCTCAACTGTGGCTAAATAAAAAGGATACTATTTTAATTTTCTATTAGATATGTATATTTAAAAATTCAAAATCAACAAAAGATAGAAGATGAAGTTATATATGGCTCCACACAGCCTGTATATTGAACTACTCTAAAACAATCTTAATAATTTAAACCTCTGTAAAAGAAATTACCTAAGTAGTTGAGCTCTCCTGGGTGAGATTACAGAATTAATCAGGAACTGACATTATGGCCTCCTCGGGGGGCTGATTATACACATTTACTTGTTTATTTACAGCACATCTTTTATTTTTTATTACATCCTGACCACTGACTATGAATCAGTTCAAACAATTTTCAGATCATTTTATTTCATGGATTTTATTGACAGGAAATGCTAAATGTGTTAACTAATGTATTTCTGAGTACTTCAACTTTACACTCACTAGTATTACGTTCTCCAGCTGAAATATAACATATAGCACTGGTAGAATTATACTGCTGATAGTGAGTGATAGAGAATCTTTCCTTGTGCTACCACCTGGCATTTCCTTATTGAGAACATACTTTCCTGGCAATCAAATTCATATCAAACCAGCTCCAGATTAAAAGACAAATAAGCCCCACAATTATTAATGTATTTTGTGATAAATGCATTCACTAACTCAGTCTTCTAATTATAAATGGTTTCTTAATATACAATATTTAATGACTTTTTCCACTCCTATGTCATTTTTCTTATCTATTACAACAGAACTGAATTCAAGTGCTAAGATTTAGCTTGTCTCTGCTGAGCAAAAAGACAGAACTTACAGCCTTCATTACATTGCCCATTTTTTTTTCAAGTAACAGCTAAAAATTTTTTGTTCTCTCCTAAGAAAAACTCTAGATGTGCACAATTCTCTTCATGTAAAGATTATTATTTTTCATTAATGACATTTCTTACTCCTTTTTACTTCTGGATATTTATACCTTGAAGTCAACATTCTCATGTTCACATTTATTTTCTTCTAACCTCAATAATTATCTTTGAAACTGTGAGTTCCCTTCATGTTTTAAAATACTTTGGTACTGAAAATCAATTAGAAATAAGTTCAGTGATAAATATAACTGTTTCCCTGTGCTGTAAAGAAAAAGATTTCTCTGATTTTTCTGTAAAGAAAAAGAGTTCTCTGCCTAGTTGCAATGACTGCAGCACACATCCAATTTTCATTTCATTCACACTACAGAGTTTTCCTCTCTCTCTCTCCACTTTACACGTTAGTTTTCAGCATACTTTCCTAACAATGGCAATTTGCTGGGCCTAATTCATCTCCTAGTACATTTTGTTAGACATTTGGTTAATGTCTTCAGTAGCCCACTTACTCAGGAAGTCCAAAGCCCAAAGCTGTGACATTAATCAGATACTATGATGGCCTGGTACTGGGGACTGAATTATTGATGTACTATTTTATGCTATGCTACACTGAAATCCACATAGAAGTATCAGTGGCATACTTGTTTGTGAATTCCTCAGAATGATTTTAAAAGAGTTCATGTAACACACAACGCTTCCTGCTACAGTGAGAGCAGATTATTTGTGCAAAAATGTATCACATAATTTCAGTACGTATCTGGAAGGGTTGGATTTGCCACCAGGCTGTTGGATTGTTCAAAATTAATAATGTGCTTATATTTATAGGAATATTGATTTATATTCCCCCAAAGAGAATCTTGAGAAAGGATTTGCAGTAAATACATACTTCAAGAAGAGTTTCTTTCATACAAGAGTTGTTTATCCTTATTTTAGTGATCAAGTTACTGAAGCAGAAGAGTTGAGGTAGTACATAAGGCCAGACCCAAAAGAGAGATTTGTTCTGGAGCTGAAGCCAAAATTTGCTCATTACCAGTTCTATTTTTTGCAACCAGAAGTAATTCCTTCATGAGAATTCACAATACTTTAGCATTTCTTAGTAGGTTCATCTGCTCGATATATTTTTCAAGTTAAAATTTCTCATTTCAATTACATTTTGTTACCTTTTTTTGTTATTAAAAAGTAAAATATGTACTTTTCATATCAACAGTGAGAAGTAACAAGGACTTCCCACTGTGCAACTGTGCAATTCATCAAACTTTATGTTCAAGTGATGCAATTTCTGAAGAAATACATCTAACAGTTAAATGATATAAAAGACAAGTCTTTCCATTTAAGCTGCTGTGAAGTTATATCCATCTGAATTAGCTTTCCTGAAGAGTCACCTACAAACATATAGTTTACATTTCTGTTTTTAGAGAACTATACCTTAAGTTCAGCAATATTAAACATTATTTTTCTCCTATTCACTGTGTAAATGCACTGACTATCTAGCAGCACAGTTAGGGGGCATTAAATTGGTATGATTATCTAATATCTCTTCAACAATTGTGACTTCATTATGTGTGATAAGATCACAATAACAAGCAGAAGTGATGAGAAGAACTGTGTAAGGCTTGAAGGGCAGCAAGTGAAAGGTGGAAAACAGCAAACAGCAATGGAGTTTTTATGGAACAAGATTTTTGTTTTTGAAAGTCAAAGCAGTAATAGTCAAAAAGCAACTGTAAGTTAGTAAGAAGTGATCTTAACATATCTTTGGACACTACTTTTAAAAGCAGTGTCTTAGAGACTGAGGATAACAAAAAATGATTCCATACTTCACCAAAACCTCGTAGGATTTTCTTTTTCTTGTACCTGTTTCATAAATAATCGGTGTGTTTCAATGTTAATGACACCAAGCTCAGAAGCCGAAAATGGGCAGTAAAAAACAGAACAGAAACGACATACAAAAAAAACACAGAAAACACAAAGCTAATTGTACTCCAGTGTCTGAAACCACTACAGTCTTTTATGAAGTCATAAAGTTGCCTGCACATTATTCATGACCGTATTTATATTGCATGTTGAAACTAGTAAGATGTTTAAAGCATTTTTCCTATTAAGCAGAGCTAAAGTGCTAATTTTTCACACACAGAAAAACAGTTTTACAGGTTTTTGTTGTATTGTTTTGGAATCATATAACTGTACTTTTTCAAAACATCTCTGGATGCACGTAATTCTTTGAAAGTTTGAAGCTTTGAATTATGATGAGCATGGTTTCTTCAAAAGCACAGCTTTTGGTGTGTCTGTATAATGGTTTGGCTTGCTTATGATCTGAGTCAGAATGGATTTTCCTTATGTATACAGAATATAAACCAAATTAGCTAGTGTTGAATGATACTGAGCTATCTTAGTATTCCACAGAGATATGCAGCTCAATGTAGCTCTTGCATCCCTTTGTGATTCTGTCGGATTATCTACTCTGTGGCACACGTATTAAATTTGAGGACAATTTCATTTTAGGATTTGCATTTTCACCTAAACCAGGAGTTCATAGTAAGATATTATTAAAGTACGAAGCCCTTGGGATAAAAAAGAATGAGCCACAAAACAAACAGGATGAAGAACCCAATATTCCTCCTCTTGGTTGCTATACGAACATACAAAACCTACAGATTTCTGACATCCTTCTTTTATCTACTGGAACTTTTAGCCATAAGTAGAATGAGATGAGAGAGAAGTGATCTCTATTTACATGGATACTGGATCAAAAATCCAAAATACTCTTTGAAAAATGAAATTCTACTTCAAACTCATTTAAGGGTAGATTATAGATATCTACTTCAAACTCAATTCAGGGTAGAATTGTGCTAGTATATACCTGTGGAGAGATTAAGATGCTTAAAACTTTTTCAAGTATTAGTGATTGTAATAACAACATAGCAGTTATAAAGTTCTACTGATTAAAACTAGAATTTCTATTCCTTTTATCAAACCTTCTTTAATATGCATAAACTGAGATGTATAAAGGTACAGTGTGTGTTACATTGTTACCTTGCCCCAGGCAATTTCAGCATCCAAATTGCTAGGCATTCCTTGCACAGCTGACCTCTTTGTCAATTCCACATCTGTTGCTGCAAGCCATTCTGTCAGAGAATTAATTTCTTTTCGTAGCTTCCGGGACAACTTCAAGCATTTCTCTAACTCTTGCTTTTTTTCTGTCACCTGTAGAAATAAAACACGTGTTTCTTAACTCTGGTTTGATGTTTTTTTAGTATAATCAATCTGCCACTTTATCATAAGTGAAAATTTTATGAGGCAAATTACACTTGTAATATATACTTCTTTCATAAGTTCTCACAGTGTTTATTTTTGCTTGTTAGCATGAAGATACATATTTAAAAAAAAAAAAAGCAACCTCAAGTATCCACATGCAGTTCTGTTTGGTACTGACTAAATATAATGTTTCTCGATTCCATATAAACCAATAAAAGAAAGGTGAATATACATTTCTAGAGAGTTACACAAGTATTTTTATGGAGTAAGCCATGTTAACACATTTCTTAAAGGAAGTGCAGTTTGTGGACTTTTATCCCAACCTTCTGTTCAATTGTCCTCCATCTTCTGTCATAGTCCTCTTTCAATTTCAACCTCCTTATTCCCAGTTTGTTTTGTCATTTCTAGTTTCCTTAGAGAACCAGCTCTTGTTCACATTTCCCATAAAGCTATTACTAGTCCAAGTCCTAGGGCACATCCCATGAATTTGACTGCCAGTCTCTTACTTGGGAGTCTTTACTACAGACTTACCAGCAGCACTTGCATGCTTTACAGCTTGCTTTCCAACATCACCTATTTAAGTCATTACTCCACTAGTAGCTTCCAATCATCCAATTTCCCACATTAACAACTCTGTCATCAAAGGTTCTCGGTTAGGATTTTCATAAGCCAAACATTTTGGATGTGAAGTAATATGGACAATTCATGTTTTATTTGTTCTTTTAAGCACACTACATGGTACCTGCAAGAAAAGCTGAACGTTTGTCGTGTCTGTTCTCTATTACATTTTGGTAAGCATTCTGAAGGATGAGGGAATACAACCTTCTCTGCAAGCCCCTCAGCACATTCAGGAAGAGAAGTAAATTTCCGAATACTTAGGAGGGCAGGCAGAAGAGTAAGTGAAGAGGTCTCACATGAAAACCATCACTACAAGTGGACATTTAGAGATTGGTAATTTGAAAATATAAATTTAATTATGTGCTGCAGAAATTTAAAAACTGCTGATTAATGAAGGTGGATAGAAACTGCAGTGGATCACAAATATTAAAAGAAGATGACTAAGTATATTATGTATCAATTAGTTATCAACAGAGATTGTAGCCACTAATTTTTATTTAAGTTGCAGTTTATTTTAAATTACAGTATTTCTCCCAGTAAAATAAATAATGAAAGCAAACTGATATTGAATAAGCAAGACCATATAATAACTGGAACTTATAAGCTATGTCCACATTTTAGTTGTTTACTACCATTTCAAGATCCTATCTTAATTTTATAAACAGAGATTATTTTTTCCCGTATTTTGACAGTAGGACTTTCTGTTGTTCATGAAACCAGGACTTTTAGGCAAAAAATCCTGTAATATTTTCTCCCCATCTTTGTATAAGACCTATTCAAGAGTACAAATGCTGGCAGCATTGTCTACAGCAGCATCAGGTGATCAAAAATGGAACCAACATCTAATAAAAGTAAGATGGGCCTTTGAAATTGTTTGAATACAACCACTAGCATAATGACCAAATTGGTTCCTAGTCCTAGCAAAGGAGATTTTAAGTTTTTAAAGTCAATAGAATGGCTTTTGCTCTCCCAGAGTGAACAGTAGATTGGCTTAGGGAATAAGCAACAAAGTGTCCCTGGTTGCATATATTATTCTGTAGAGGTTTACCACTGAAACTTCAGAACTTTTCTTCCCTGAATATACTTTAAGTACTTTCTTGTATACCAAATTTATTAAATGAGACCTCAGAATTTACAGTCAAGCCAAGGGGGAATCCCTAAGAAAGACAATAAAACTCAGCTTTTTAGCTAAAGAAAGATTCACATAAGGGGAACCTGGAGTTTACATATGCATTTCACCTCTTCTGAGGAATATTTAAACTTTAAATCACAATTTGCATGTACTTTGCAGAAATACAATGCAAACTACACTACCCTATGTGCGATTGCCTGTGTAAGAATAACCATAACCACTTGGTATACTATAAAGGAAATTGCTGATATCTGCCCAAGCACAAAAATAATAGTTGTGCTGCTCTACACATCTCTAAATGCTGGATATTATATCAGTGATATTACATTACTCCCATCTATGCTGTATATATCTGGAGGTTACAATTGCATCAGATTCTGTTTGTACTTAAAACATAAAGATGTATTTCTGAAGAAAAATAGGAAACAGTGCCCTCTTAAGGCCTTCTGTTTCCTACAATGATACCAAACATTATATTCATTATAGTGAGACTCCATAAATCTTCTCTATATTTTAAAACTATTTCAGCTATGTTAAATAGTTTACTTGCAAGACTCTTTAGCTGTAATAAATAAAAATGGGAGGAGTAGATACTTAAAGCAAAACAAAAGGTATTTAAAACCTTTTAGTAATATAGCTGAAGTTGCATAGCCAAATTCTTGTGCAGCAGTGGACTGTGGGGAATCACCTCACCTTCCAAGTATAGCCTGTACAGCAGCAACACCTTTAGTGGAGCAGCAAGAATACGATTACTGCCATTTTGTTCTAGAGAGTCTCTTTGCTGAATTAGCATAAAGAGATTTGCAGTAAGGATGCTACAGACTATGCGACAGCTTCACAACTAACAAACTACTTAAGCTGTAACAGCTGTTCATGTGTACATATGCATATATATGTCTGCGATACAGAATATGCATGAGGGAATGCAAGCACGGCATGGAATGTTTATCATATATGCAATCTCTGCTCCATGATATTCAAATGACATTTTAGTTTCCTGTAATCTCATCTCAAACCTATGCACACTGAGGCCACTACTAAATTTTCAAAATCATTCATCACGCTTTCAGAGCATATTCAGCTAAAAATGAAGGGCAAAACTCGATGTTCTGAGTACACAAAACTCATTTACAGAAGTGAAAGAGGTTTAAAGTCTGATACTAGCAGAGGAATTGATAAGAATTTATGTTCATATGTTAATACGATAATAAGGAAAGTAAATAAAAAGAAACCTTTCCCCACCTGTAAGTGGATTTCTAGTTTCATTCTACAGTAATGGTATCTAAAATATATAGAAAAACTCTACTGAGAGATGTGTAAAACTATTAGTAATAATTGCAATTTTTCTGCCTTGAGAGCACAACACTTCAGTACATTTAAATTAAACCCATTTCACATCCCTAAGAATGTGCTTATTAAGGATTGGTTTAAATATGGAGGCCCTCCTGAAGCAGTAGGAGACAATGCACATCAGTCTAAACGTGAAGGGTGTTTGTCTACTCAGACTACTGATTTTAGTCTTGGGACTACTATCAGTTATTCCTACTATCAGGTTTTCCATAAAAAGAAAAGCTGTGGTTCTCCAAAATCAGCACAACGAATTAGGATTGAATATGGCTCAGTGATCAGTTCAGTTCTGTAATTCTGAGCCTTTGTGACCCTCTAAAAGCATTAACTACCATTATATGTGAAAGTAAATGTGGAAAATTAAATCTAGAACAACAGTGGTAAACAAAGCACTACGTATTTTTTGAGAGACATTAATTAGGGGTGTTGCTCTCTTAGATCTCTAATGGCTTCCTAATGGCACATTTTTATCACTTCATTAGGTGAAAGGTCCCCTCTAATAATGGCACCTGTCTGCTGCAGTTATGTTAAATATAATGAAGGAAAAAATGCTGCAGTCCATTCTAAAATAATGGAGAAAACAAATGTATCATCTACTCTCAAATGGTACTATCCACACCTTAATGAAGCAGACTTTTCAGTCTTCCTTACACTCAAAAGACTGATGTCTCTTAATATCTCTGTTTTAAAGAGTGGCAGGGAACTCAGGACAGCTGCTGAATGTTTTGTATTACTTTTTCCTTTGGATAATGCCACAACTTCTCTTCATAGATCAACAGTTCTTATGGAGGATTGTCCCTCATTAGCAGGCAACCTCTTGCATAGATAAGCAGAATCAGAATAAAAAGCCTTAGGAATTGACACAAATTTCCTTATTTATTTGGACCTAATCTTGCTGATATTAGTTAGCAGTCTGCCTTTTACATTGCCTATTTAAATCTTAGGGAAACTTTGTTTAAATGAAAACACTGGTCTTTTAGGAAGCATAGCAGCTTCTAACAGTATATGAATTGATATAGAAACAGATGACGTATAAATGAAAATTTTACACAAGTAAAGTCAATGCTCAGGAGATTAACAGCAACAAGTTCTAGAAGGTTAGTTACATAAAATTAATATATAATAATATAATTAATTAGCAACATAAGGTAAAAGACTATAACATTTAGAGATCTAATACTAGGAAAGTAGTCATGTAGTCCTCCTAATTATGCAGTAAGAAATATTAAGTGGTCAAACCGAGCACTGTATAAATATCAGACAATTTTTTAAAAGACTTTCCTAAAGAGTTCTATTTGAACTGTTAATACATTAATACTATTAATACATTCCTGATTATAGAGCTCAAAGGCACTGTTATCCAACATGAAGAAATCTGAGGACACTTATGCAACCGAGGATGACAAACAACAAAATTTAAAAAAAAAAAAAGCTTGCTCATTTTAGTGGGACAGCTACTCCATACACTCATTAATAAACAATATTCTGCATAGTTTGTATACTAGGACATAGTAACCAGGCAACTCAGGGTTTTATAGATTTAAACCAGGAAACAGTTATGACAAGAACTGAATGTTATGTGTAGTTAAAGTCAAGAGTGCAGATGAAGCAAACCAAAGACCTACACGAATGCCTCCTGGGGAAAGCTGCAATAGCAAGAACTTTTGGTCAATAGATTTTTGGACAGCAATAAATAGAAACAAAATACATAATGATCTATAGAAACCAGAGGCAAAGAAAATGAAAAGTACAATTCTCTCTTTTATCAAGCAGTTCCTTTAGGGGAAAAAATGTGAAAAAAAATCACAAAGAAAACCTAAGCATTTTCCTGACTTGAAGTGTTTTGAAGTTAGTGTTTGTTTGAGGCATTGAAAGGAAACAAGACCCCCTTCTGGCCAAAACAAAACAAAACATGGCCAAAAAATTGGAGAAAAAAAATAAGTAAAAAGTTTAAGGAAGTATAATTTTAAACTTTAACAAAGCAATTCTCTATTTCTCCAGAAGGTCTTTTTTTTTTTTTTTTTTAATAGGAAAACGGAATAGCCATTCTGACAATTGCCTTTGCTTCCATTCTTTCTACACCATTAAGAAAAAGTGAAAACATTGAAAGTAACCAGTAAAAAAGAACATTAACTTACCATACCAAGCTTATTCTTCACTGCTGTCAGTTAAAAAGAGTGCATAATTTTTTATTACAAAACATACAGCTTACCTTTGCACCCAATTCATTATATTGCAACTTCAAAGCTGTAAGCCTTTCATCCAGTTCCTTTGGGTTCTCTGTCTGCTGCTTTTGAACAATCTGCCTCCCAGTTTTTATCACTGTTTCCACTTCGGACTTCACCTCACTCAGGCTTTTATATAATTTCTAATCAAACAGAATTATGAAAGAGAAACACCCCTATTAAAATAAGTAAAAAAGAACAGACTACTGAAGATATTACAAAGTAATAGATGCAGTAGAATTCTTCGTATTGTTTGCTGCATAAAAACATCATTACACATGCCTGACCACCATTCACTCCTATTTGAAAATTAGAGGAGCTGAGAGTGCTCAGTAGATACCAAGTAGGTGACCTAAGGGTGGAGAAAATTCACCCTGAGTGTGTTTGTATGTATCAAGTACATACAGAAGTTTATGAGAAAACTTCTTATATATATGTATATATATATATACACATATATATGTATATATATATATATATATATATGTGTGTATATATATATATATATATATATATATATATATTTTTTTTTTTTTCCCAGAAATTAAATTACAAGATTCAAAACAACCTGTCTTTACCCTGTACCCATGAAGGTCAATACAGAAGGAATACGAGGTTTTCCAGTTGTGCAGCGGAAACACCCTGCAGCCCAGGAGAGGCCCATGGAGAAGAAGGCCGTCCCCTTGCAGCCCCCAGGCACCATGCAGAGCAGACCTCCGTGTGCATCCATGATGCAAGAGCCCGTGGGGCGGCAGTGGCTGTGGCCTGAACGTGGATTTCAGATTTAGATTTAGATTTTTTAAAATAAATATTATAGATTTGTTGCAGAGAAAGATGTTCTATAAACACACCCTTAGAGCATGAAAGTTATGGGGCCAAAAAAGCTAACTGCTTAGTGAAAAGGGCTTCTAATTACCATGTTGTCCTTACAAAAATACGAATTAAAGGGCAATTTCATTTAAGTAAAACCCAGTAAATAACAAAACAACATCAACTTGTTCTATCCTTATTTTTTAATTTCAATTCTTACATTTAGATCTGAAAGAGGATAAAGGAGAAATACTGTCTTCAGGCATGCTGAAGTGTGAGAAAAACAAAAACAAACAACACTGCAAATTATATGATTGCTCTGATATTTGCTGTTAAAATCTCCATTTTACTATTGTCATCACAATGTTCAATTTTATCTCTACTGCCTATCAATGACAAAGGGGTATTAATGTGATTAATACAGACTTTCTTCATATTCTTTGGGACATATTCAGGTCTTTTACTCTTGTACTATAAAAAGTCATAGCAAGACAACTCATGAAAGCTGTACTGTGAGTAACCAGGGTATTCTGTATGTTTTCCATTTCCCAACTAGAATAAATTCAATGCATTGTAACACTCCAGGCTATATTATGGAGTTTCATGACTGTAGCACGCTGTGGGAAATACAGGCCACCCAGGAAGAGAAACTCACATGCAGCACTGGATGGGGGGATTAGAAAATGTCCCCAAATTGTATTTTGATATAGTAAAAGTGACTTAGTGATTTAGTCAGTTTAGTGATTGATACTTCTTTTTTCATCTTACATTTCAGGCAACATTCTGTAATCTTTAGCTTAGTTCATATAAACTTAAATTTTTCACTCATGAATGTACCCCATGTTTCTTTGCCATGGCAGAAGAAGACAACACCATGTCACTTTAAGATTGCTAAAGCTATTTCACCATGCAATGATAGCCTGGCAAGATTTCAAAGTGAACACAGATTTAAATGTTCTTCTAATTCCATTTCCTGAAAAAGAAGGATAAATCTCTCTGTCCTCCCTCACTTCTAACCTCCACTCTCCAACCTTCCTGAAAACTGCCCATTACTTTAAATGGTTCCTATGACTTTTGTTGCAAAACTTTCCTCTTAAATTTTCTCAGATTCTTAATATCTCTTGCAAAGTTATATTGAAACGATCACAGCAAATACTTTACGTTTGGAGGACAAAACAGACAGGAAATGAACATCTAATGTATTTACCATGCAGTGGTCCAAATGTGACTGTACTACTTCCTGCTCAACACTCTTCGTCTCCAATTTGGGCACTTGCAACTTCACTTCATCTAAAATTCTTTTGCATTCTTGTAGACGCTGTTCAAAATTAGCTGGTTTCTGAAACAAGCGGAACTTCACGGAGACATCCTGAAGCTTTTTCTGAAAAGTAAAGAGGAGTAAATAGCAGATGTGAAATAACATCAACATTGAAGACAATTATTGGATCCATTCCATGATGCTCAGAACCCATTATCAATCAGCACAGCTTTTCATTCAAACGTCTGAAATCTTTTGGGGAAAATACCAGCAGCAGACAATCTTGATTTCCATGGGAAGAAAAAATTCTTGCATAATCCAGGATACTGGGTGCAGCACAGCCAGTGTCAAGAGAGCCTGTATACTGGACTGAAGAAAGGGAAAGTTTTCATATTTCACAATATGTATAATGTTGAAGGTGAAGAGAAAATGTAGGTTTAATGGCTTGAGCATAATACAAAGAGATCCAGAATGGATGCTCATCAGCTCTCAACCATGTTGCTTCTTCTTGCTATTAGCATCACTCTTAGTCCCTCAAATAAACCCAAGTAAAGTTGCTGAACAGTAAGTAGGCCTAGCACAAAAAATGAGATTTAAAGTAGAAAATTAAATTTCAATTAAAAACAAAACAAACAAAAAAAAAAACCAACCAAACAAAACAAAACAAAAAAACCCAAAAACAAAACAAAACAAAAAAAAACAACAACCAAAAACAACCAACAAGAAACATAACCTAGAATAAGAAGAAATTAATCTGAAGGCAAAAAATTTATGGCAAGCATGGCTTCTAATTTCAAAATTTTCACAGTTGGATATCTTTATCAGTAAGTTATGTTTGCTTATGTGATCATCGGGGGAAAGGAAAATAATGAGAAATTAAACAAGGAAAGGACATCTTAATTACCTACAAGAACAAGAACCTGTACATCTTTAGAATTATAGAGCAAATTACTAGTAAGTTAAGTTTTTCTACTGTTTGAAAAATAGAAGGTCATTGAGAAAAGGATAATTAAACGGGAATTCAGCATTTGCAAACACTCTTCTGATATTCTATCTTCAAATCTTGGACACTTTATACCAATACATTTTTTTCGGTACTACACAAATTTGAAAAGAACTGCAATAAGGAACAGAAATAGGGTTTAAATAGAAACATAGCATTTGTAAAAATTAGGATAATTTTGGAAAACGGAAATAATGTTTCACCTATTTGTTAGAATCCTGTGAAGGAGTCAGGAATTGCACTTTTATATTTGTGAAAGACTACAGTGTCATGGGTACAACAGAAAACTCAGATTTCCAACACTTCTTTCCAACTACATTACTTGTTAAACATTAATAATTAAACTGAGATCCAATGGGCTAAGAAGGGAAGTATTTCTCTGAATAAAGAAGTGAACAAATGGATTGGAATAGGAAAAAAAGATTAGGAATGAATGGTCTCACATTTTTACAGAGTGTTTGCATACACTAAATTCATAGTTAATTAGTTTTTCATCTTCTTGTGATACTTCAGCTTGCTGAAGTCATGTGGGAAGCCTGCAATGCCCTATCTCTATCTGCTACTATTTATGGTGATCAATATATTAAACATGACGTTGAAAACAGAGAAATATGTTATTAGTGGTAGAGAAAAGTCACTGAAGGATTGCACAGCACTGCAGATCTGTTAAAAATAAATACATATACTATTTAATACTGATTAAATTAAGTAATGCTAATGACAAAAAACAAATCAACCATCCAACTACAAGCTATACTTTTTTATGTAACTAATAATATCTATATCATCTATACCACTCTTACTCATGCTATAATGGATAACTATAATTGATTCATTACATACTTATGTCCAACAATTTTAAGGAAATATCAGATGAACAACTAAAAGAAACCTAAAAAGCAAAGTAGATATTTGGACTGATTTGGAACATAAAGAACAAAAGAGAAAATTCTTGTCACGGTATAACAGCTGTCGCACAAAGCTATACTGTGTTCAAACACTCTGTGTAATTTTGAACCACTCATCTTAAAAAACAACCTGTAAAAATAGAAAATGCATAATGAAGAATGACAGAGCAATCAAAACTGTACGTCTCAAGCTCTCATTGTGATGTAAACATACTACTCAGTTTGGAAAAGAGACAACCAAGGGCCAGTAAAACAAGAGGAATGCAAAACATCATTGCAAAACCACAAATGAATACTATCTGTACATACAATCACTAGAAATTAATACTGTGATATTGGAACAAGTTACTTAAGCAGCTCTGTCCTAGAACTGTTACCAACTAGGTGGATAGCCTGCAATGGAAAAATAGGCAATCAGGTGGCATGAATTAAATATTTCCTTCCTTCTGATTTTCTGATTAGAAAGGAATAGTTAAAACATAAGAAACACCTTAATAATATTTCACAGTATAGTAACAATATTATTAAGGCTGTCTGTTTGCATGATTGAAGGAAAGATGTTGGAAATAAAATATGCATACCTGTGCCACATCAATTTGGGAAAGGACTCTTTTTGCAGATTCTTTGCCTCGGTTTCGTTTCTTCATTTCTTCCAAACTAACCTCATGACTTGTTAATTCAGATTGTATTTTCTATTGAAGAACAAAGAATATAGTCAGAAGTATTTCAAGAAAATGTTTATCTTGTTAAAATTATTTGGTATAGTTGACTTGGAAGCACATTAAAAAAAATAATATGCTATATACTGGATAACTAGAGGAATTTTTTCAGTAAATTGCTTGTTCGCTGCCCTGTATATTATTCAGTTTAGTTTCTCTTGATCACAATCTCCTACACAAGCATATAGTTCTCTAATGTGGCAAAGACGATGTAATATTACTCAGACAATTTTGATGAAGCTGCAGGCAAAAATATAGATTTCTTTCTTCTGAAGGAAAGCAACGATATTCATTGGGATAAAAATCAAAACTTAATCACAGAAAATAAAACACAAATAGAAAAGTGATTTACTTTTTTTGTTTATCTTTCATTATTTTCATATTATAATCCAGTAAATTGACAGAAATCTGACCAAAATATGCTGTCCACGTAACATCTTTACCTGACACAGTTGTGCCATATCTAAATCAGTATGCAATTTATGATGCATTACTGAACTAGAATCTATGATCAGTATCTGCAGATATGGTAAACGCATATGGACCTCTAGTTCACTTGTGCAGTAATTCCATTCATTTTCACACACACCGTTCTGTTTTCTCTTCTGCAGAATCAGTGTACAACCAAGTCATTAAAAAATATCAGCCTTATTGGCTACCATAAATCAAGCTCAAAAACAATTAATGTTAGTTAGTACAGTATGATAGAAAAGAATTCACATACTGCATACCAACACAACATACTTCAGATATATATATATATTTTTATGTTGAAATAGTTAAAAAATGAGAATCTGATATTAGCAGAATTGCTGGAAAAGTACTTCTGAGAACAATTACCTTATGAAATAAAGACCAGGTATTTCTCTACAAGAAAAGCTGTTTCAGGCCATTACTCTGGCACAAAAAAGTGATTTTAGATTTAATGTTTTTCTTTCTATGGTATTCCAGTATAAACAAACAAACAAAAATCTAACTATAAATGTAAATATACTCAAATACATTTATCTTATACTCAATTAATTGGTGAAATATGAAAACTGTAGTCAAAAGTATTATAATTAGTTATGCAAATGAAGAAGAGGAGTTTATTTGTTTTAATTGCTGTACAGGAGAGAGAAGAAACATTACCAACACTGACCTCAAAATATTGAATTAGACAGGAAAAAAAACATTGTGGAAAAACTTGAAAGATAAGTAGTACAGATTATACCATGAAAAGATTTTCTGTACTTGCCACTGCTGTTCTGCCTTAGCAGAAAGATTAAATCAGTCCTGAATACAAGACAATCTGTAACACCTGCCTGTGATGCCCTTGTTCATGCAATTTTGACACAGTCATTTTATTTTCATGAATTTTTGACAAACAAATTTATTCAACAGATTTCTTCTAAATGTCCATACAAAGCAACTAAGTTTCATTTCCAACATTCCCATATCTGCTTTCCTCAGTCCATTTTGTTCCTGTCCATTTTGCAAAATCTTTGCAGCAAATATGTAACTAATGAATGCAACTGTAATTAAATTATCCTGTCCTACAGGTAAAGATGTTCATTTTCCATCACTGTTTGGCATTCTTCTCAGGTAGATCATTAATTTGTATCTATCTATCATTATATGCATACATACATACACAGTCATATTTAGAAGACCAAATACATATTGTCATTAGAAGTACTTGCAGATGAAAACAAAGAAACAATCAACAGAGACTTGATGTTACAGACAGTTGGGAAACCCCGCCTACCTCTAGTCACTATTGACTATTGACTAACAAGTCAACGTCACTATTTGTCTCACTTGAAATTTGACAGAATGTAAAATATCTATCTGCAAATTTGTGCTTCTAGAAAAACATTTGGAAAAAATGCTAACAAGGCATACAAACAAACTCTGTAACAATATTTGCAAGAGAAGGCTTGATAGTATGATCAATGTAGAAGAAACTACTCTAGGAAAACAGCTAAGAGTTCCAATTTATCTAGTATCACAAACTACAATAAATTTTGAAAACATTCAATTAAACATTAGGGAAAATACTTTCCCGTGTGAGGGATACCATTTTCTGTCCCAGAACTGAAGAAAACCTCTTATCTGTTTTGTCTGACCTTAAGAAAGAAGAAATATGTTGACTGTAATTTCATGAATGTGACACAATCACAAGAAATGTGTTTATACTGCACATCATCCTCCAAAATGTCTTACTTTCACACTGGTTGACAACACTGTATTTTATACTGAATGCCAGAAATCTATTAACTCAATATTGTGCTAATCCAGTCAATACTGACTATGCTGGCATGATCGGCATATTAGTAAATTCTCAAAAGAACTTACTGAATAATGTTTAAATACTAGTTCCTAATTTGTTTTTAGCCTCATCTTCTACATGTGACTGAACAAAGTAATTCTCAGCATTTACAGGGCAGAATAGATGACAATATGTTTAACACTAACCATTTTACTTTGTAAATAACTGTGTTGTCTTCATCTCACAACTCAAGTCTGAAGATAATTATGTATGACTTTACTTTCGTCAAGTAATGGACCATTGAGTTAAAAACCTCTGGCGTTATAGTTTCATATAAACTTGTTTGACCACAGCATGATGATATTTTAATAACAGATTAATAACCATTGTTACTTAGAAAACAGTGTGTACTATTCATGACTACTGAAGTGAAATTATTCAAGGAGTTTATTGGAAAGACAAAGTCTGGTAGTTCTGTTTTCCTGAGAAACACAGTTTCTACGCTGCATTTTACTTATGTCTACAGGGACAACAACAGACAAGTTATTTGTCACATTATACATATATATATATGTATATTATAAAAAAAAGAGCAGCACAATGTGTAGATTCTCTCTCATCACCAGAAGTTAATAACAAAGCTACAAATAATTATCTTGAAAATACTCTGTCATATAAATTTAATTTTTTCAGTTCAGATTTATTTTCGCTTCTCAGCTACAGAGTACTTGCATCGACAACTAGCAAATCCCTCTGATGATTTCCTTCCTTGTATTTTATCATTTCTTAGAGAAATGAAAGAGACCACAGTAGGGATAATGAGATCAGATCAAGCATACAAATAAATCTGTTATATTCTTTTAGGCCTAACCTCAGTCCAGCTTTTAATTTTTTTTTTCCTTTTTCTTTTTCAAATCATTACAGCCTGAGGAATCTGAACTGATTTATTTGCATGGTTGTTGTAGATTGTTTTATCTGAATACAGCATCTTTCGTTGCCCTCACAGTGAATCAGTAAGGAGAAACTGACGGGTAGTAGTGAATCTCAAGCATTAAATTCACAGTGCCACATGGTGGTGTAAGAAGCATGTGGAATTTACATTCAAAACGGATCCAAAAAAGTTAAGTAGCACATATTTAACTCTGAATTTTTGAAGCAAACAAGGAGATGCATAAAGCTTCCCAATCTTTAACAGGTTGTTGTTGTTATTGTTATTGCTATTATTATTATTATTGTTGTTGTTGTTGTTGTAACTTCTTCCAGATGCTCTTGTAGAAATACTAAATGTATTGGCTGAACAGTTTGCTAAATCTCTTAGCAAGGATAAACTGACCTCTGCTGAGAAATCAGCATAATTGACTGAAATATTCCCATTCCAGCTGTGTATACAATATTGTAGGATAGCTTATACTAATCTGCTGTTCTCAACTCCACAAGTGAGCTGTGCCCGCAGATGCTTCACAGGAGATATGACACTGGTTAGCAGAACCATTCACTAATTGAATAACTCAGAATACTTACCTGTGTAAACTTGATTGTATATTCCCTTCTCCCCTAAGGATTTTAAAGAACTTCACAACTGAACTTCAAAGACCTTCAATATTTGCATTAAATTTGTTCACTTGTTATTTTTTTTTTCATTAGGTTCTACTTGCATCTTAAAATAAAAACATGAAAGAGAAAAAGACAGCAGCTTCTATGCTGCTTTTCCCCACAGTGGGTATAATATAATCAGGTGAATTCAACATCAGACAACAAAATCTCAAGAATAAAAGCAAGTTCTGCAAAAGCAATCAGCTGAAATTATCCCATGACATAGTGTGCCAATTTAGAGTAGTTGAGTTCTATGTCGCTTCAGTTGTTGAAGTTCTGAATTAATTCCTTTGACACAGCCTGTGATCATTGTCAATTTTGTATTTGAAGATGTACACAAAAGCAGATGCATCTGTGGCATATATGAATTGAAAAGCAATAAAATGTATAGGGGTCCAAATGCACCAAAAAAAGCACACTTTCATAACAAGTTTCTCTTGTGTAGTGGAGATAAATAAAAAACAGATGAGAAATTAAACTCATACACATTAACAAAATAAAAAATAAAAATGCTGCTTTGCATTCTACTTCATGTAAAAATAATTTACATTATTCACTTTTCAAGGAAGGAATAAAATAATTTCAGAAGTTCAACAACTAATACAGCTTAGGATTCAAAGTGGAAAAATATATTGCCATTTTTACAATAATGTAATTAGAAGAAAATAAATTAGAATCATTTTCCAAATGAAGCAATACAAATACAATCCTGTATTCTAAATATCACTTTTTCTTTATATGCACACACATAAAAATACCTGTGTGTATTTAAAAACATACACAAAGCAGAAATGCAAGTAAAAGGAACAACTATCTACGTTCTATCTATGTTTTAATTCAAAAGACATGGAAACTTTTACTTCTAAGGGAGACAAAACTTTCAGGGCTATGTATGTTCAGCTCAGAATATAAATAAAATAATATGTGAATAAGACACCTATATATTGCAATGATTTTAAACTCTACAGGCAGGCTAGAAAGAATGCCTCATCTAACAATCATTTTAAAACATCTGTATTCAATTTTCCTGCTTTTTTTTTTTTTTTTTTTTGTGTGTGTGTGTATGTGTGTAATCTATTATCCTAAATTTAAGTGGAATGTACTGAAAAGTTGCACCAAAAAAAGCACACTTTCATATTGTAGCCTTTTCGTATATATGCCAGAGTTAATTGATTTTATTTAAAGTTATATTCTTACCATTTTAATACTGCTAGAAGCAAATGTGATAGAGCAAAGAATGAAAGAGTAAAAATGAGAATTAGATGGAAAATTTTACTTCAGATGCTCAACAAACCATTTCTAAAGGAATACCAAAAGCTGACTTTTTCAACTCATGTGAGCTGTAAAAACTGAAGTACAGGCATATTAATGTGTACATTATAACATAAGTAATAATGTTGTCCACGCTTCAATAATTTAGTAACAATTCCTAGGCCATATAATCAATTTAGTACAAAAGGCATCTACGAGTACTGAAGATGAGGGGTTACTTCATCAAGGATGGGAACTGGATTTTAGAGTCACGGTGTTTATTTACCTCGGCAATTTTAAAGTTACTTAATAGTCCTCCAGGATATTTATAATTCTCTATATCTTCTGGACAGGTACAGAAAATAAACCAGAAGGAAAATACACATCTATTAAGAGAATTTGCTTGACCTTCTCAAAGTAATCTTACTTAAAATTTACTTGCACGTTCAAACTGATTGTGTTGTCATTTCCCCAGTAGTATGAGGCTGTGGGACAAACAAATACTGTTTGGTTTACTGAATAAACCAGCAAGCACATAATTTCAACCCATATATAACTTACCTGCGCTTCCTGAGGCACTTGTGCTGCATCAACTCTGTCTGCAGTGTAGGCTGTCAGCTGTTTGTCTATAGCAGCAAGAGATTCTTGAATTAAGCGGAGGGTTTTGTCAGTCTCCTGGGCAGATTGAATACTCTGTTCAAGACTCTTTTGCCTTCTCACAGCCTAAAAACAATGACAACATTATTAATACTAGCAGTAGTAATGTGCATAATACATTTTTTCACTTTCTTTTTCTTTTCCAAAAATGCAAGCTAAGAATCAAAAGGAGTTCTCCTGACTTGTACTCATCCACCTTTTTATAAGATAAGTTCCGCATCTTTTTGCCATTCATTCAGTTCTCATTATTAAGAAACAAACATACGCTCAAAAAAAAAAAAAAACAACCATAAAATAAAATCCCAGACTGCATAGGCAAGTTGCAAAAAATGCAGAACCCTGCACGGACAATTTCTATAATGAATGGAAGTTGGAAAAACTGTATAATAAAACCATGCTGATAGCTCAGTCTTTCCTTCCAAGGCATTAGCAGTCCTCCTGATCTTGTTATATAGTTCAAGAGATTTTGTTTACTGAGAATAGGGTACAATCCCATCTGCAATAATCCACTTCAGTAAGTGAGAGGGATAAAAGCTCTCTTGAGAAGGAGTTCTCACATATGAAGTATAAATAGCTTTCTGGAACACAGGCAATGTCTACTCTGAAAAAAAGAAAGATGGATTCTTACCTTGTCTGAGGGCTTCCCCAATCTATTATCATTCTAACCATGTTCTCTTTCAGTTGACTCTAGCTTCCACCATCAGCATCTATATTCACCTTTTATACAACTATATATATATATTTTTCTAAAATATATATCTATATATATATATCAGATATATATATATATTTCTCTATATACTATATAATATAATTATATTACTATATAACTATATAATATGTATATTTCTGTTTTTTGAAAAGGATGCTTTCCTTTCAAAGAGCTTCCTTCATGGTTTACCAGTCTACCAAATCAGAAGAATAAATTAACCTTTCAATTTGTTTTTAAAACACGTCCGTATTTAAACAATGGACATAAATTTGTTAGCATTAACTATTATTTATAACAGTTTAATGTAATTATCAGGTAACAAATAACCTGTTGCTTTCTTCCATCTGTTGTGTTCAACTGCTCTCTCATATTTTATGTAGACCTAAGCATAGCAGAATTTCTGCTTTATACAAAGCATGTAATCAACTATTTCAAACACAATACAGTTTTTCTCTGTATAGTCAAATAGCTGACCAGAGAATAAAGTGACAGTCTTTCTTGTGACGTGAAATTAAAGAACGAGAGGAGAGGAAAATACTCTTCAAGAAAATTCTTAGGTGTTCTGCCATTTTCCAAGTGAATCCACGCTTCTCCTCAGTGGTGAGACAGTCATATTTCAATTTGAATTCACATCTATTACTAAAATCTTTCCTTGAACAATAGTATTTCTCAGCAATTCAGTCAAAGATCTTGATATATGTGTTTCTCAAGTAGCTCAGATTCTCTTCCAGAGCTTCACATTTTACAAATAAAGGTTACATTTTGTGAGTATTCTTGCTAGCTATTGGTATCAAGGAATGGGCCAACCAGTATTTACTATATTTGTGTTGTAAGCTGCTTTGTACTATTTCAGAACAGCTGATCAGATAATCTTGTATCGCTGCCAGTCCCAGGATCCTTTTGTGGAATAGGGCAGTGTTAGGTGCTGCACTAATGCTGTCACTGTTAATGGAAGCACCTCAGCCACTAATGTGTTCATACCCAACTGAATTAACCACTGAAACAGAGTTATTCCTCAACACAGAACTAAGGCTGGCTATTTAAATGACTTTTATTTCCTCTGATCTGAGATTTTACATCGCAATATTACTAGCCTGTTCAAAGCAGTAGGATTAAAAAACAATTCAACTTACTCTGCCAGTCCTCACTATTGATTTGCAAGACTGACTAATATAAAGTGATGCTGTGTCTTTCCGTTACTGTCAGTTTACTGGAGATTGAAGATACACTAGATCAGAGACAGGCTAAATAGTTTTGTATGGCCCATGGGTGAGGGTACATGCCCTTGAAGCACAAAGATCTGTCACAAAGGAGAAAAATCTACCACATGTCTAGTGTGCATTTACCAATCCCTTCAGCTTTGGTGGAAGTAACCATTTGTCCATTTGTACAGAAGGCTGTACTGTTCTGAAGTTCAGAGAAACTCATCATTTAAAGTAAGATAACGAGAATGTTCCAAGCGACTCAATAACTTAATCCTTTTCACTGAGTAAGTCCATGGCATTATCACTGGCATTGCAGAACCCTTATCAATTCAATCCAGAGAGATGCAACAATATGGAGGAGTTTCTTCTTTCTTTTTCAGTAGAAGGGTGGTATGCATTACAGGTCTTTTCCAAAAGGAACAGGCATAAAACACACCTACGAGGTTAGACTGAGTTTCAAATTTATCCTTAAAACTCCCTTAAGTGTTTTTATATGCTTATCTATATGTGCACTTTTTAATAAGAAATACAAAGATTAGAATTGTTTATATATACACATATTCTAGATTTAAATTTGTTTTCATTTATTCTGATCAGTTATTCTTTGTTTTAGTGGAAGAGCACTGGTATTCCTTTAGTCTGAGAGAGAAATACACCATTTAATGCTGCAGTTTTTAAACTGATCTGAGGACACCAAGATAGGAAGCTCTAAGATCTGCCATCAGATTATGGTCAATATAGCAGGAAGCTTTAATCTCTAGGGGAAAGTGTTTGACACTTAATTGCTAAATAGGAAATCTCAGGGAAACAACCGTCTAGTTATCTCTGAGCTACTAAAATGTTGACAGCTCTCAAGGAAAATAAAAACATGGAAAAAATCTTGTGCTAGGAAGGGAAAAAACACCAATTATGAACTGAAGTGTTTAACAAAGCTTGTACTGTTTCTTACGGATTTTTGTGACTGAGACGTATTACAACATCTCTCTACGTCTTTCATCAATTGTTAATATATTAATGTACAGTTTTCTCACATTCAAAGAATTCATTTTGAGCCCAGAATTTCTTTTACATTGCTCAAGCTAGAACTAACTTTTCTGCAAATTCTAGTAATATTTCATAGTGTGTTTTTAAAATAAGCCTTTCAAAATATTCAACCTGACCATACTATAGTGATATTCATCTTTGATTAGATGTAGTTCAAAAGTGCAAATTAAACCAATGAAGACTTCTTCAGGTGCAGTCTATGCCTTACAGCTTGTAAAAGAAGACCTCTTCAAAGCAATCGTGGATATGGGGAATGAAGAATTCTTTTCTCCTCTTGAGAGGAGAACAAAACAGGAAAGTTGCAACAAATGATGAATATGGTATTTTAAAGAAAACTGTTATGCAGAGTTATATTCTAAAAGGGTTATGTTCTAAAAGAAATTAAGAGACAATCCCCAAGAATAAAAATTGAATGTAGCCCACATGAAAAATAACATTTTATACAGTTTTTTGCAAGCACGGTCTTGAGAATATCTAATATCTGGCGTTTGTTGGACAGGATGTAAATCACTTTCAACATTACAGGAGATTACAGCCACCTGCAAAAGTTCTTCAGGCAATTGTGTTTTGTACATCAAATATATATATGTATTTGTATATATGTAAGTGAATCAATCCTGGAAAAATAGATGTATGTCGCTTATCAGCCAGACCCAGATGTTCAAAAGTAAACCAAACACACTCTCTTTGTTAACCAAATAAGATAAGACGTACAAACATATAACCTTGATCAGCTTTAAAAACGAATCTCAGCAGCCATGCAACTTAATTTATATGGTAGAGGTTTAGTTTAATTGCTCTATTAATAGTGAATATTTCACCTACCAGCTTCTGTGCATATGAACATGTTGTCTTGGTAATTACCTGCGTAATTATTTAAATAAAATAAATAACCACATTCACTTAGCCTACTAGCCAGCTGAAGCGACCTTGAACACAAGCTGAAGAGTGTTGTTAAGTGCCAGCAATGTATTCTTATGGAAGGAGAATGCATGCTATTTGGATTTCAACAGGGCCATGTGAACAACTCAAAAAATTCAGTGTCAGGAATCTATGGGACAAAGCACACAAGACTTGAGCTTAAAAATTAATAAAACATTTTGTTGAATAAATTATATTCATGTGATAAAGAAACAGTGTGACAGAATCATTTGCGACTGAAATAGCTTCTTTACTCTATTCTACTCGTTTACAGATCTCACCATGAGCATTTGATTTCTGAACACCAGAGTAGCTTTGCAAGAACTGGGAGGCTTTCTCACTCCCCTCCATTTTTATTCTTATTTCAACTGGAAAGCAATGACCTGGACAGGCTTGAGAGGCGGCCTATGCCAACCTCATGAAGTCTAACAGGGCCAAGTGGAAGGTCCTGCAGATTGGTCAGGGCAATCCCAAGCACAAATACTGGCTAGGCAGAGAATGGCATGAGAGCAGCCCTGAGGAGAAGGATTTGGGTGTGCTGATTGATGAGAGATTCAAGATGAGCTAGCAACGCATGCTTGCAGCCCATAAGGCCAACCATAACCTGGGTTGTATGAAGAGAAGAGTGACCAGCAGGACAAGAGAGGTGATTTTGCCCCTCTACTCTGGTCTTATGAGACCTTACCTAGAGTATTGTGTCCAGTTCTACAGCCTCCCACACAAGAAACATATGGAGTTGTTGGAGTTGGTCTGGAGGAGGGCCATGAAGATGATCAGAGGGCTGGAGCACCAACCCCTACAAGTACAGGCTGAGAGAGCTATCTCAGAATTTTATTTTAGATTTTTTTCTCAGAATCTTCTCTAGCCTTGGAATCCCAAAAGCAGAAGGTCGTCAGAATGGCACTCCATCTGGTAGGCCTTCCACATAGAAAACCTCCAAGAAGGATTTGAACAACACAAACGGTACCTTCACTGGCTCACTCAGCCCCAGTGCTTCCCCACATTTTTCATTAAAAAGATTTTAAATCTTCAGGCTGGAGAAGAGGCTGCTTCGGGGGGGACCTCATAGCAGCCTTCCAGTACCTGAAGCAGAACTACAGGAAAGCTGGGGAAAGGCTTTTTATGAGGGCAGGTAGCAATGGAATGAAAGGAAATGGCTTTAAACTGGAAGAGGGTAGATTTAGACTAAATACCAGGAATAAATTATTTACTGCGAGCGTGGTGAGGCACTGGAACAGGTTGCCCAGAGTGACTGTGAATGCCCCCTCCCTGGAAGCATTGAAGGCCAGGCTGGATGATGCTTTGAGCAACCTGGTCTAGAGGGAGCTGTCCCTGCCTATAGCAGAGGGACAGGGAGATGATCTTAAAGGTGCCTTCCAACCAAAACCATTTTATGATTCCATGAATACGACCCTAACATATTTTGTCTATACAATCGTCAAAATAATCTCCAGAAGTCTATTCCACCGCACTTATTGTACTTCTCAAATTGAACCCCTGCAGGTAGTATTACTTTTTAGACAAGCAAGACTATGTGAAAGTGCTGTTTTCAGGCACTGGAAGTCCTCTGTATGCTAGTGGCTTTCTCTTCCTAAGTAAGGAAAAAAAACAAATAATAAGAAGCAGAATCCAGGGAAAATATCTGCATTCAGTTAAGTATTTATGAAAAAAAAAAAAAAAAAAAAAAAGGGAGGGGATGGGAGGGAAGAACGGGGCAGTATACAGAAAGTAATGTTAGTTTTTCACTTAAGACACTATTCAGCAACATAGGACATGAATGCAAAGGTAACCAGGCGCTTTCCTTCAGCTACCCTTGTGTCCTGATTCTATCAGTATCCCATGTTAAGCAAGCAAACAGGTATGTGATGCTTTGCTACCTATTGGAGTCAACCTACCATACCTATATAACTGGTCCATCTCAAAAATAAGTCAATGTTTGTGCCTTTTTTAGGAAGTAAACTAACTTTTTGTTTTTTTTTTTAATTTTTTTTAAATGGTGCTAGATAGTCAGCTATTTAAGGGGAGGAAAAGTCAATTACTAATTATACCTCCTGCTGCAGTTCTTCCCATCGAGTATTGAACTTCTCAAGTTTCTCATTGATCAGTTCATCCAAGATTCCACCATCAGTTAACGTCTGAGCTAATTCCCGAATCTGATTGCGATTATCTTCTGGATGTCTCATTAAACGTTCCAAAGACTGAAACAAGTTAAAAAAATAGATTGTTCTCCTTTCTGTAAATAAAATTCTACAGAGAATCATAATTTCTCTTAAAATTTTAAATAAGAAACTTCACATTTCTTGGATAATCAAAGTAGAGAGATAGGCCAAAAATATCACTGCCCTCCATCTTGAAAATAAATATTTTCCACTACCCATTACTATAATCAAAGAACGACTCTTTATAAAGCAACAAATTGCACGCCTTATTTTAAGCCTGTGCAAAATGCCCACTGATAGTATCTGTATACTTCATATTAAAAAAATTGCTTTGGTAACTTGACAGATGAAGCTCAATGGCAGAAAGGCATCACCAGTGTAATGTTTTGTATTTTGATCCTCTGAAATTATTAACAGACTTTCTAAGAATTTGAAAGACTCCACGAATAAAAAAAACAAAAAACCAGAGTGGCAGTTCTAAAATGAAAATTTGCTTTCACTTTTAACCTACTTAAGAGAGGATATTTTTTTACAACATATGTTTTATTATCACCAAATAAGGCATAATACAGTAAATTAACCTATTTCCCTTAGGTGGATCTGAATTCAAACTGGTATTGTTTACATCAGTACTTACATCTAAAGACTCAGAAATCTCTTCTGCACCTCCCTGGATATTTTCAGTTGCCTTGAGTTTCAATTCCACCTCATTCAACCATTTGTTTTCTGCATCCAAATATGACAATAATTCATGCCAACATGCCCAGACTTCCTGAAGGAGAAAAAAATGTTTATTGGGATTGAAGCTCAAAGCCAAATTTCACTTATTAAAAGACTGAAAACACGGCATGTTTCATTCCCAAAACATTGCAATGTCTAATGTTTACAGTATCTTATACAGTTGATTTTTTCCCAGTGTTTATGGATTCTAAATAAATACAGTATATAACCAAAACATTTTCATCAAATACAGAAAAAAAAACATAATATGAGGAAGCTAACACTTCTGAAAAAAAAAAAAAAAAAAAAAACAAAACCAAAGCCAAACAAAGAAAAACACCTTGAAGATTTTTTGTTCCAAATACACAAGTTGTCAAATTTTCAAGGATTCATGTTAGAAGTTTGTCTTTATTACAAAACATAATTAAGCTGCTTAAATAGTCTGCACATTAATTACTTAAAGCACAAATTCATACAATATCTAAAAACAGGGATTTCAAGAATACTGATCAAATCTTCACAGAAATTAATACTGATATAAATTTGTCCTGGTTACAGTTGTGATAATTTTCTTCCTAGTAGCTGGTATAGTGCCCTATTTTGTATTTGGGATGTAAATGCTGGTGATAACAATGCAATATTTTAGTTACTGCTGAGCAGTGCTTACACTAAGCCAAGGACTATTGTGCTTCTCAGGCTGCCCTACTCAAAAGGGGCTGTGGGTGCACAAAGAGCTGGGAGGTGACAGAACCATTACAGCTGACCCAAACTGATCAAAGGGATGCCCCATGCCATATGCTGTCATGCTTAACTATAAAACTGGGGGAGCAGGCAGCAGAGACTGTTGTTGCTTAGAAACTGGCTGGGCGCCTGTCAGTTAGCTAGTGGTGAGCAACTGTGTTCTGTATTATATTTGTTTTTTTTTTTTTTCGCCATCTACCCTCTTATTTTATTTGCTATTAAACTGGCCTTATCCTTATCTCATCTTACGAGTTTTACCCCTTTTAAAATTATTATTATTTTTACAATCCTTCCATCTCATTTTGGGATAAGGGGAGCAAAGACTTGTGTGCTGCTTAGTTGCCTGAAAGGTTAAACCATGATAAAATTATAGGTCATTTAAGTCCTAGAATACATAATATAATGTTGTAAAATATATTTATATTATATTTTGCATTTACATTTACATTGCATTATTTTAAATATAACTCCTGTTTTTTTAGTATTTAACATTTTCCAGTACTTGAGGATACTTAAATAAGTAGATAAAAATGGCATATTGAATGCATTTTTCCTTTTTTTCTTAGAAGAAAGTAGACTCATGGCAGCCCATAAGCCAAGATTCCTAGAGTAACAATTCATTTCACCTAACCTTGGCCATTGCAAATTCAAGTCTTTGCAAAGGTTAGAAAGAGATATTACTTTACAATAGCATCATCATTAATGTGGGCAAACACAGTTCACCAGCTTAGATTAGAGAACTAATTTCCCAGAGTAAAATTTGGAGGAGGTAAGTTTTACCCAACTGCGTATTTGTCCTCTACAAAGTTAGCTAATGTGAATTATTTCACAACAAAATAAGCATGTCTAAATCACCATGACCCCAGTGTAAAATAAAAACAGTTCTAGGACAAGAAACTGTAATGGAACTGGCCAAAATGGCAGGGTCAACTGAAAATGTGACACATTCAGATTATCAGCAGATCAAATACTGTTTCTCTGCTGTCCAGCTTCAGAGTCATTTAATCAAAACCCTTAGCCATGGAAGAATGAAGCCTAGAGGAGCTGGTGAAGACAACACCACCAGGTTGCTACAGAAGCCAGATGCTTGTCTTAATCTCAGAAAGGATAAGAAATCTGAGCAGTCATTACAGTCCATCATCTATAAAACATGCCTGTGATTTCTCTTTAGTTTTACTCTCCAGCACATACAATTCTTACTAAGATTTAGGTATATGGCCTACAAAAACATGTGGTATTTAGTATGTAACTCATACAGCCAGAAGTGCTTTAGGCTGCTCGTGGTCCCATACAATAATACACCTTCATTCTCTACCTCACTTCTACAGTTAGAATAACTATAAATACAAGCATTAACAAAACATCCAACCTCCAAAGTTTTGCACTTTCCATTCAGTCTGCTGCAGAGTCTCTGATAGCTGGTAATTAGAACATCAAGCTCCTTTTTCAAAGCCTCGTTAGCTGCAGGTGGAGCCTTTGCGATGAAATTATTCACGGAATCAGTAATAAGCTTCACTTTCACTTCTTTCTGCATGGCCTCTTCCTTTGCTCTCTGTAAAATAAAAATCATAGCTCTGATTTGAGAAAGAAGCAGATTTCAAATAACTCCTTCAGAATTGTCTCTGTCAGAAGGAAAAAAAAACAAAAACAAAAACACCACAAAAACATCCAATAACTAATTAATTCCATGAAGTTCTGAGAATTAACCCTTAAACTTGAATGCACAAGAAAAACTTATTTTTATTTTTTTGGCAATACATCACAGAATTGCAGGAGTTGGTAGGGACCTCAACAGATCATCAAGTTCATCATCCCTGCTACAGCATACACCCATTCTATAAAATTCTTCTGCATGTTAGTTTGGAACTTCTATGTTCAAGTTTTTGGCCATTACTTCTTGTCCTATTGCCATGTACCACCAAGAAGAGTCTGGCCTCATCCATTTTCTTCCTGCCTCCCTTTAGATATTCATAAACATTTTTCTGATTTATCCCCAGTTTTCTTTTCCTGACGCGGAACAGACCCAGGTTACTCAGTTTTTTTTTCATACAGGAGATGCTCTAGTCTCTTTATCATCTCTGTGGCCCTATGCTGGATTCCTTCTAGGAGATCCCTGTCTTTTTTGAAATGGGAAGCTCAAAACCAGCCACAGTAGTCTAAATGTGGCCTCACCAGGACAGAGCAGTGTGGGGAGGGAATCGCCTCCCTTGACCTGCTGGACACACTCTTATTAGTGAACCTCAGGATTCCACTGGCGTTCTCTGCCACAAAGGCACACTGCTGGCTCAAATCCAACCTGTAATCTACTGGAACACCCAGGTCCTTCTCCGCAGAGCTCATCTCCAGCAGGTCATCTCCTAACTATACTGATGCATGCAGTTATTCCTCCTCCGGTACAAGGCTCTATACTTGCTCTTGTTAAATCTCATCTGGTTCCTCCCTGCCCAACTTTCCAATCTGTCCAGGTCTCGTTGAAGAACACACAGCCTTCTGGTGTGTCAGGCATTCCTCTCCAGCAAAAGTGTTGAGGGTGCAGTCTATCCCTTCATCCAGGTCACTGAATATGAACATGATCAGACCCAGCACTGACCCCTAAGGAACACGACTAGTTATAGGTCTCCAACCAAACTCAGCACTGCTGATGACAACCCACTGAGCTCTGTCAGTCAGCCAGTTGTCAATCGACCTCACTGTCCACTCATCTATCCTATATTTTCATAACATAAGTTTCATAACAAAGATGATGTGGGAGATGTTGTCAAATGTGTTGCTGAAGTCTAGATACACAACTTCCATTGCTCTCTCCCCATCTATCCAGTCAGTAATGAATTAAAGAAGGCTACTGGGTTAAGAATGATTTCCCCTTGGTGAATCCACATTGACTATTTCTGATAACCTTCTTCTCTTCCAATTACTTGGAGAGGGTATGCAGAACAAGTTGTTCCATCACCTTTCCAGGGACGGAGGTGCGGCTGAGTAGTCTGTAGTTTGCCAGATCCTTCTTCCTGCCCTTTCTGAAGACCAGAGTGACACTGGCTATCCTCCTGTCTTCAGTCACTTCTGCCTTCTACCAAGACCTTCCAAAGATGATAGAGAGGAGTTCAGCAAGCACCTCTCCCAGCCAGCTCCCTCAGTACACATGGGTGCATCTCATCAGGACCCATGGATTTGTGTGCACTGATTTTGGCTAGACACTGTCTGACCAGATCTTCCTTGACCAAGGGGAAGCCTTCCCTTCCCCAGACTCTGTCTCTCACCTGTGGAGTCTGGGGTTCCTGAGGGCTAGTCTTAGCACTGAAGTCTGAAGCAAAGAAGAAATTCAGAATCTCTGCCTTCTCAGCATTTCTGTTACCACTGCACCCACCTCATTTAGTAGGGGACCTACATTTTCCCTAGACTTCCTTTTACTGTTGACATACTTTTAATTTTTTTTCTTGTTATCTTTTATATATACATGATACTCAATGCAATTTAATATCTTAACTTAATCATTTCATTTGTGTTAGATTAAGCTACTTCATTTTTTTCCAATGAATGTTCCAAGTACCTTTGCCATAAGACATTATAGACTACAGATAAGAACTCCCTGAAACTCAAAGAAATCAACATGAAACGTTATTCCCGTGTGAGCCTGTGGAACTTGTACAAACTAGAATAATTAGAAAAAGGCTGTTTCTGCCAGAGAAAGCTAACCACTTTACTCCTGTCATTCCTGTCTAATAGCTCTGGGAAGAAAAGGGCTGCAAAATGAACAGAATTTTGACCATATTTTTGCTTGTTATGTGACACGAGAGGTAGCTGCAATCCTTCAGGGAAAGGATAACCAGGACCAGGTGCAAAGATGCATGGTACCTGACTTAGTTATCTGCATAGTTTCAATTGTCACAATTTGAACATCTCTGTACTTTAGCTGGAAATCTAGAATACTCAAAAATCCAAAACAGGGCTTGTGTTTAGAACTATATACTTCATCTGTTTTATTATGCAGTAAAATGTTGAAGCTGAATTTGATATGAGAGAGGGAAGGGACGCCATCCAAAGAGACCCGTACAAGCTTGAGAAATGAGCTCATGTGAAACTAATGAGGTTCAACAAGGCCAAGTACAAGGTGTTGCATTTGGGTTGGGGAGATCCCAGGATCAACCTGAAGTACTGCGTTCAGTCCTAGGGCACCAAGCACAAGAAACATACAGGGCTGTGGAAGCAGGTCCAGAGCAGCGACACGAGAGAATCAGAATGCTGGAGTACCTCTCCTATGAAGAAAGGTTGAGGGAGTTGCGCTTGTTCACACTGGAAAAGAGAAGGCTCCAGGAAGACCACATTGTGGCCTTCCAGTACTTTAAAGGAGCTTATAAATAAGAGGGAGAACAACTTTTTACATGATCTGACAGTGACAAGGCAAGGGAGAGATTCAGGTTAGATGTTAGAAATAAATTCTTTATTCAGAGGGCAGTGAGGCACTGGTACAGGCTGCACAGAGAAGATGTTGATGCCCCATCCTTGAAGGTGTTCAAGGCCAGGCTGGACGTGGCGTGGGCAGTCTCATCTGATGGGTGGCAACCCTGACCATGGCAGGTAATTGGAACTAGGTGATATTTCAGGTCCTTTCCAATCCAAACCATTCTATGATTCTATAAAAATCAAGTATCCAACAAAGCAAAGAGGAAAAGAAACCACTTCGTTAACAATGTAGAAGTTTAAATATCCTCAAACTTTATTCAAAACTGGCTACTGCTTTAAATTTCAGGCTGAAAAACTAGGTATCAAAAGACTCCTTTTTGAATGACAGAGTAGACTTTCTCTATAAAAGATTCTTCAAAAAGAACTTTAAAAGCTGTTCAAGGACTTTGTTCATCTCTTACCTTCAGTTCTTCAACAGCTTTCTGTAATTCGTCGGGTGTTTTATACTCAAAATCTCTTTCCAGATATTCTTCCTCAGCTTGTGTTATCCATTCATGCATCTCTGACAAATCCTTTCTCAGGCTCACAGTCTTATCCAAACCACCTTTTAATGCTGCCTTCTTAGCATGGGCCTTTAAAAAAGAAAACATTATGTGGTACTTAAAGCAAGTATGCTGCATGGACTCAATGGCATTTTAGCCTGAAAAGAACCAATCCCAATCCTATAGTTATAGCTGTAAATTAGATAGCTGTTATTAATAAGTACTTGGACAGGCAGAAAATAAGAAGTAATGGGAAAAGTACAATGTATGTGTACATATACTTTTCTTTTAGTGCATACTGCTGTGGAAAATGGGTTTCTAATGATCTACCACATACTGAGGTGATCAGAAAAACATCTGAAAAAATATAATCCAGGAACTCTGCTATAAAAGATAAAAAAAGAACAAGCAATGTGCATGGCTTAATCTTGCTGATGAACTCATTATCAGATCTCTCAGAAAGGTGTATATCTTAAAGAGATATAAATAAAAAAAGGGCACTTCTACTGGAGGAAAATATTTACCTTAGAGTGAAAAAAACTTGCATTAAACGCTCTGCTACTCACTAACACTATACTGGGGTCATATAACTTATGTTATACTGCCATTTATAGAATGGTGCATCAGCCTACTAAAACTGATTGTAACTAAAGGCAGCAACTGAACAATCTTTCACAGTATAAATAAGTTGTATCAGAAACACCTAGTTGCCGCCGTGCCATTTCTGGAATTGGGTGGGTATGCAGAGCTGATCACTCCAATATCCTGCAGAGTGATGCTACTTAGGTATAATTTTTCAGTATCATCAGGAGGAACTCTGTCATAGAACTTCATGTAAGTTTCTGGTTTTTGCAGGTTTGGTTACCCATCCTTATTAAGGCCTGCCTGTTAAACATTCTACGCAACTATTGTTTTACAGAACAAAACAGGATAACACCAAAAAGTTATGTCCAACAAGTGTGAAAGCAGATCAATATGGGGTCCTGCAAACTTGCCTCTTCCTTGGAAGAGAAAGTTACCTTCAATCACTTGGAAACAGTATCTGAATATTGACTGCTGGCTTACACAATTGTATTAACTGCATGTATATTAATCCAGGCTGACTTTTCCAAATTGTTTCAATCAAATTTTTATATTTACTGCTTCTCATGTGCTTTAAGAGCTGTTATTGAAGAAGTTATATTAGAAATCACTATTGAGAGGCAATAATTTGTTTAGTGTATTGAATTGAACTATTACAGGATAATTTTCAGGGATGTCAGAATAAAACTGCAGCACTCCTGAAATTACAAGGCTTTACTTGAAATTTATTTGAAAGAAGTGCAAAGTTTTCAAATGCGTTAACATTACAAAACTATTAAAATATTAATATGAAAAATAATATTAAAAAATTGACATTAACCAAATGGGAAAGACTACAAAAGAGCATCAATAAAATGTGTTAGAGATTTAGATGTCTTTTAAATATCTTAGATTTCCAAAATCAACTGTTTTATGATTGTGCTTATCAGAAAAATGAAAGGATGGCATTTTGCACATGCACAGTAATTTATATAATAAGAGTGTAAATTTATATGTTTATAAAATGGGTATAGCATATCTCCCAAATTCTATCTTTGAGAAGGTTTCATTTCTTATTTCACTGTGACTGAAAGACTTAATGTTCCTTAGAATCCATATCAGAAACTTGGCATACTTCATACATCCAATTAAAACATGAATCATTATCTTGGATATTCTTTGGTTTGTTTCCTATCCATTGGGTATGCACAGAAGAACAAACTCTGCCAATGAAAAACTGGATTATTAGTTAGAAAAGAACCAGTCAAAGAAGGAGATTTGATACCTGTTGGCAAATATGTTCCCACTGAGCATTGAGATCCTTTAGTTCTATTGCTACTCTGGAAGCAAATTCTGGCTCTGCTTCCCTCTTCATTTTCTTCCCAATCTCATTAACACTGTTCAAACTTGGCTGGATTGTCTGGATATCATTCACTAAAGCCTGAAAGAATAGTAGAAGATTAGGCAAGTAGCACTCACTCAAACCATGTGATTTATACTTTTCCTATCAAAACATTTCTACATGAGATTCTAACATGATTTTGGTTCAGATTTCAACTCAAATGAGCACAATTAGTAGACTTCACTATGAAAACAAAAAAGGAATGAGTAATAAAAGCGTGGTGAGCTATTCTATATCATATGATGTTAATTTGCAACATATATTAAGTTTTGAATATAAATTTACTACATACTAGATATACATATATACAAATAGTGTATAAATATACATACCTGCTACATAGGATGTTATGTTATATACTGGATATTTTATTTGCATTTGTAAAAGAACATCCCATCATGATGGTGAAGCCGTCTTACTAACTACGCATTACCCTTGGCTTAGTAATTCACCTGATAGTTTCATTAAAATGATCTGAATGGTGACATTCTCAGGTTATTTCTAGTTATTAGAATTTTATTTGTGGTTGAATATTATTTAAACCCTGAGGTAGCTCTAACTCACCACCTCCAATTTTATTTGCTAAGGCCTTCTTTAGTCCTTCAAGTGTTACCTAGGCTTCTTACACAGTAGAAAAAGCTGCAAGTGTAAAAATACAAATGGTGATGATGATTTTGATAACTTTATTATACACTTCACAATAGTGGCTAATACTTATGTAAATTCTTCATAAACTCAGGTGACATTCTAAAGGAGTTGCATGCAACTCACATCTCTGTAAAAGGTAAGAGTTGTTCCACATAAATTACAATCATTTTTATTTCAATAAGGAATAAGAGAGTAATTTTGAGGAGACTGTAGTTCTGTAAGATCAGTACATATCTTTCATAATATTTACACACCCTGCCAGAATATTTACAGAACTTGTAAGTTCTGATGAACACATTCTCAGAGACTGTTATGGGTTACAAGATTCACTGCACTTACAAACTCTGTAGGGACAGGCAGAAAAAAAAATGTAAACCTTGCGAAGAAAGTATCAACACTTCAAGATGCTTTAAAAATCTGCTGGGAGAAAATCCTGGTACTTCAAAGTTTAGTGAGAAAAACAGATGCAACTCATAATACCTCCATACCTTCAGTTACCTGAAATTATTTCAGTCCAGTCAGAAAAGTCTGTAAATCCTGCGTGACTAGTAGATGCGGAAGAACATCTTCTGACACAGATCACTCAGCATGTAAGTACACAGGCAATGTTTGCAAATTCAGCAAACTAAATGAACAACTATCTTAAGAGGCTACAAAACCTATATATTGTTACAAGTCCCCTCTCATCAATGTCTTGCTCCTGCTATAAACGTACACTGAAGTAGTCCCTGTATGCTCTCTCTCTGTATATTCAGGTTTTCCGTTTTATAACATGAATTTATTTTTAGGAATGGTGATCATCTGTGTAATTTCTGTATAAGATCAATACACAGAGAAAAACAGTTGTCAAGCAGACAAATAGTACTCACTGTACACTGTTCTAGTTGCTTTTCCAGAGCTTCTGAATCACCAAGAGCAGGCCATTCCTCCTTCAGAAAGACATCTACTTCAGCCATCCACTTCTTCAATGTTTTTGTGTCATTCTGTTTATTAAGAAGACATTTTATATCACAAACTAGTGTTAACTGCTAATAACATAATTCTGTCACTATGACTAGAACTCACTACAATTTAATTCTGAGATTATTTGTATTTAGATGTTGAATACACATTCATCAGGTTCTTGTATGGCTTCAGACTGTTCACACTGGGCCATTAGTTCAGCTTCATCTATCAAATCCTTCTGTGATTTAAACTTCAGGATCATTCTGGAAGTTGCATATTCTGTTACCTATTCCTCAATCAGAACACAACACAGAAAACATGCCACGTTGCACAGAATAAAAAAACTTGTAAGCAAAACAGTAACTGAAACAAATTCTGTCCAGAAACTGAAAAATCACACACAGCGACTTAATGACAAGAGTCAAAAAGAGACTGAGTCTCATTTAGTGTTTATAGTACTAGAGTATTTGTAATCAGTAACTTGCTTTCAATATGCTTAAATTAAATCTGTAAATTATTAATAATAAAAAAGCAGAACACTAAATGCTTGCAAACAAGGAACATCACCAATCCAAGGAAGCATTACATACGTAATGTAAGACCATAAGAGGAAGAATGAGATTTGATGATCTACCAAGAGGACAATATCCAGCTTTTCTCAATCCTAGAGGTGAAAGACTTTATTCTGGCAGTCAGTGAGAAATTTAAATGGTCCTTTAAAAAATGTGGCTTAAAATTACCTTAAAATCCTACCTAAGTTAAATAGATGCATGTTAAGAATGAAAATGATAAATGGCAAAAAATGCCAAAGGCAAATTATAACATTTGTTCATCAAACCATTTTCATAAGCAGTGAACTATGTATCACTGTTAAATGCTGAAAACAAAACTGAATTTAAACATTAAAAAGGATTTATCATTAGAACACAAATTGTGCCCTAAAATACATCAAAAAATGCTTTAACAAGTACTAGTAGGTAATTAACTAAAGGAAACATTTTCCTAATGTGCTTGGTGTATATAATAAAAACAGGCTACACTGGAAAATGCATTTAATTAATAAAAATAAATATGTAAAAATTACCAGCGTAGTTCAGAATAGCTATTACAAAAACACTGTTGAAGTCTCCACTGTGCATATAATTATCATTTAGTAAAAATAGTTTAGAATCATATTTCAAGATGAAAAAGTTATATCTTTACATGAATACTTATAGTTCATTACAGCTGCGATGTATAGATCTGATGGAATTCATTAAAAAAAAAATCAGTCTCCAGCTACCAGTGAAGATTGAATGTCTGACTTGTATTTTAAATCAGACTGCAAGTGTATTTTCCCTATCAACACTGATTTTGACATATCCCTTGCAGATGCATTCCATAAATTGCAACAGCTCAAACAATTGTCTGGAACACAAGTCATTCAAGGAGTTGAAAAGACAATGAGCTTTGTATCAACTGTATACCACAGCAATTTCAGCAACAAATACAAAAGGCAAAAATTTGTATTCAGCAATACCTCAGGTAGTTTTGAAAGTACATGCTCTGCAGAGCATGGCCATGATGTTCAGGACACTTTTAAGAACAGTGATTGAATCCCTAAGCTTCTGACAAAAAAGAAGACAAAGACTGGAATTTCACAATCAAATCACAAAGCCTTAGAATCATTGAATGGCTTTGGTTAGAATGGACCTTAAAGCCACTCAGCTCCAAGGCTCCTGCTGCGGGCTCACTAGTACTCTTCAGCTAGGTTTAAAGATGATACATTCTGAAAAAGACATTCATATGAGGTTAAAAAAAAAAAAAAAAAATCGATGTAACATTTGTTGTTTACTTGCTGACAGTTTTTTTTTTTCTTATTTCCTTCAAAAATTGTCCACGGTAACAGTGGTCCTACAGATCTAAGAGGTGCAGTGAAGAAGAAAACTCACTGTCAAATGAATACTATCTTCTTCTTCTCCTCCCACAGAGTTTAAACATAATAAATTTCAAGTTGAAATATACTTTTTACATAGAGAACCAGAGCATTAACTACAAAGACTAATCTGTTTTGGATGATCTGTTTTGTGCAATTGCAAATATATCACTGTACTATTGATAAAATCAATTTTCAGTTTTCCTAGTCATATTGGGTGCAGGTATCAAAGTTTTGATAGTAGGGAAGGGGGCGGAGGGACACAAATCCAGGGGTGGCCTCTGTGTCCCACGCCAGCACAGCATGCTCCTTGACTGCAGAGCAGAGAAAAAATGTAAGAAATGTGAACACCAACACACAGGTTAGTGATGAAGGAGGGAGAGAAGGTGCTGGATGAGAGTGGCAGAGACCATAGTGGAGGAAGAAGAATGTCCACACATCCCATGGGGAACCGCATGCCAGATATTTCCCGAAGGAACCTGCAGCACAAGATGAGACCACACTGGAGCAAAGTTTTCCCAAACGATTTATGGGCTAATCATAAGTTTCAGTTCCCAAGCCCCTGAGCTGCTTGGTTGGGAGAGGAGTAGTTAAGCTACTTAATACCATCTTCTTGTGTAATGCTGATATATGTGATTTGTAAGTAAACAAGAAATTCTCAGAGTGAAACAAAACAACAGTGTAAGGTTGCAATAATGTCATTCTAAATACCTGAAAATCACGTAACTGTGCAAGTGAGGAACATTTCTAACTCTTGGCAGCTGCTACCAAGATACTACCATGCTACAAATGCCATTAAATACGTAAGTGAACCTATTAGACTCAATATGGTTAAAGCTACTTCAGCAGCAATAAAAACTTTAACTACATTGAAAAAGTAAGTAGAGAAATATTAATAGCAATTTCAATGAAATTAAAGTATTTAGAATTCAAAGAAAAATCCTGGGCCCACCAAAATCGAGAGAACAAATCATTACATTTTAACTTTATGTACTCCTTTGATGTGTATGCTGTGCTATTCATAAGGCCACAAGCCACCTCAGGTGAGGCTGAGTAAGTTTGTTTAACCTGGAATCGTTGGAGTTTAGTCATAAGATCCTCAAGTTTCTGGCAATGTTCCACCAACTGCGATGACAGCTTTTTCCAGCGGCCAACAATCAACTCAACCTCCGATCGGTATTTCTGGCTGACTTCTGCAGGGGCTTTCCTAGACAAATCTTCAACAGTTGTGTTGAGATAGTTCAGGCCTTTTTGCTGCTCTTGCAGAGAACTTTGTAGAGCCTATGAAATAAGCAGTAAATAGTATTCAGACATACGTATTAATTCTGAATAAACTTTTCTTAGCCATAGATGAGGCTGCTGGATCAAGGACTGAAAACTCTGAACACAGGTTGTCTTTGCTAAAAACTCCAATTGCTTATGCTACTAAATTATATGGAATTGCTTTTCTCAAACTGCACTGCAGAGTTTTTAGTTCAACTACTACTAATAATAATCAGAGTTGTTTACGCTAGTTCATGGAGGTAATTCAGATACATTTCAATAACTTAGGAATAGGAACTTCCTAAGATCCTTAAGACTACATTTTAAAACAATCAGACTATAAGCAGAGAAGAACAAACTCAGAATTGCTTTTATGATTTTAAGTTTTGACAACCATTTATCCCAAATTTGCTGCATCTAGCTTCTTCTTTCTATTCTATTCTATTCTACTTTTGTTTCTGCAAGTTACTTGCTATGTGTATCAAATGGCATGCACATTATTCATCAGATCTTAAAACAGTATCAAATATTGAAACGCAAGGAAGGTTTGCACCTACTGGCAAAACTTGTCCCAAATTTGTGTCTGCTAGTAAATCTGACATGAAATTATGCATACTGTACATTTTGCAAAGCACAAATAGTTTTACGTGAACAGAAAAAAAAACTGAAATGACCTAATCTATACTTAACAGATAAAATTATCATGAAAGGAATATTTTACACATCATGGGACACACAGGGGCTCTTTCTTAATATGTTCAATATATTATAAAATTGGTTGAAGTGATGCACAACATTTTTATTCCTCTAACTAATGGAAGACAGTAAAAGTAACTATTCACCGTCTTCTGCAGTCCTTAGCTAAATCTCTAACTGATATAAATCACTGAAGATCCATAAGCTTCAGTAGACTCATCAACAGGTAAGGACTCTGGTCCTCTGAACTCTTCATTAGAGACATTCTTTCCACAGTCTGAACACTCACCTTGAGCTCCAAAAGTCTCTCTTCCATGATTTCATATTCAGCAACTGCAACCGGAGGTATGGAGACTTTAGTTTCTGACTGCTGGATCCATGAAAGTATAGTAGTCACTGTGTCTTTATAGCGTGCAGGAGGCAAACTGTCAAAAACTGCATTCAGTGGGGAAGAAGAAGGAAAAAAGTCATTTCACACTCAATTATTTGTTTTGTTGAAAGAAGATGTTTGATAGAGGACCCAGCCCTACTGAAGTCATTAGTCATTTTGCAACAGATTACAACAGAGCCAGTACGGTCAGCATCAGATTTTTCCAAAAGTAGCAGAAGAAGAAAACTTTTGAAGAATGAATACACTCTTTCTAATAGTTATATCTCTGTCATTTTATGAGGTGTGTAACATTGGATTCTCTTGTTCTACACCAAATGAAAATCTACATGGTTAAATCAATTTAAATGTGTGTGTTTAGAGATCAACATACAAACCAATGTACTTAACCCAAAATCTAATTTCAGAAATGTAACAGGAAAAAGCATGCCCTTTTATGGCCCATGCTTGTCTGTTTAACGTTTCTTTTCAAGTAAAAGGTTTTATTTAGAACATCTGTTAAAAGAATAGAAGATGAATCTCTCTGAATTTTATTGTTCTCTGCTTATTACAACAACACTATAGTTGCCATAAACAGACAACATCTGGAGCACACATCACCAACTCATAATCCGAGATACTACGTCTGCCCTCAACCATACTTTCATCTACAGTCATTGAGGTAAGTACTGACAAAAAATATGTCTAGTTCATTGAAACATTTTCAACTTGTGCCATATATGTAATAATGAAGTTTACAGATGTTCAGAAAAGATTACAACTATTTTTATCTCACGTGTGTTTCAGAAGGAACTGTACTGAAAATTGATATAGCTGTCCAAAAGCAATTATGACAAGTGCAAGCTTGCTTACATTTTCATAAAACAATGGTTGGCAGAATGCACTGCTCAATGTAACTTACTTTTTTTAATCATTAACAGAATGTTTCTTTAAAAACTTGTACTGTCAGCAAGACATCACTACATTATACTGAAATCATGCCCACTTAAGGTCTCTCTCTTGTAGAACATGCACTTTATACGGCGTACCATCCTATTCTTGAAATACTTCCCAATATCATTTACTATACACAACTGCAGATTTACAAAAGATAAGTCCTGCTCCCATGGAGAATTTTTTTTTTCCCTTCTAGGTGTGCTTTATTTACACAAAAAGCAATTTTGATATATGCTACACAGAAAACAGGCATTTTCCACACTATCACCAATGATAACAGTAGGCCTACTGAAATAGCATTTTTAAACTTTATTTCCTTCATTATATTTGCACTGCCTGTGACTCATTTATTAAAAAAAAATCTTATTTTAGAATAAAGTACATTTAAAATAAAATACATAAAATACATTCATCACTCCAAATGGAGATACTAACAGCTGAGATGTGATAAAGAAGCATACAACTCTTAATTTGCATTATTATTTAAAACAGAAAATGGAGTTTAGTGTTTTGATATCATGTTTAACTTCTTAAATGACAATTTTCTCCTTCAAATTAAAAACAAATCTTAGAACTGCTATATGAGTCCAAGCAGCTATGTAAAAGAAAAACTTTTTGGTAACAGTGGGGAGCATTTCAGAACGGGTGAAAAGCAGATTTACTGTTACAGAAAACTCTACCAAACTGCATGAAAGTCACATTCCGAACATTTGCCAGTAAAACAACTTGATGACCATTCAAGTATTGCTATGCTTTTTTCATTTTTATCTAATGATGTTACCTGCTACTTGCAGGACTAAATAAGGACCACAGCCATTGATTTAATCAAGTTCCCAATTAAGCTACTAAGTATTCAATTTAAAAAACACTCAAGTTCAGTGAAAAAGAGATTACTGGGAATGAAGTAATAGCTTTCCATGTCTTTTACTGACGTAGATTTTTCTTTTAATGACATATCTGTATTTTCCTCCACAAGAAAGCATCTTATTTTAGAACAGCACTCAACAATTGCCTATATTGTTTTCCAGATTGGGTGTCAGCGATGAGAATCCAAACTCCTACACTGAAATCACTGTTACGTAATTTCAGTTTTCAAAGATCTCACACATCTATGATCTCACTACAGGCAGTATGAATCTCTAAGTTCCCCTTGCTCATAACATAGATACACATCCAAGCCTGTTTATTACTCTAAAATTTGTTTTGCCACAAAATTGTTCGTAGATTAAGGCCCACGTAATGAATGAGGTGCATTAATATGGATTCTGATCTGTTATATGACGCTTTGTAGTTAAAAAGATATAGCAAGTTTTCAACCCGAACTGTAATTAAACTAGATCTTCTTTATTTTGTGAACAGATTTCCTTTTTCTTTTTTTTTTTTTTTTTTTTTTTTCCTCAAAACAAAAATGAAATAAGGATACAATTATTTCAACAACTATCAAATCCCACTGAATATACTGCAATGTTCATCTCCTTCAGCCAGGACAAATCCCACTGCTCATCACGTGGTTGTGAAAGAAGAAAGACATTAAATATAACCTATGGGATCGTTTCTGTAGTGCTTGAAACAAACTGTCTACATAAAAATGCAAGTATTTCCCACACAAATCTCCTTAAAAGCAACTGCAGTGTCTACAATCACATTGTATTTTTCTTTGAACTTTGTTTTGCTAATTTTGTAATAAAATCTTTGAAGAAATTCATCACAGTCTTTATATTGATAACTTAATTCATTGATAACACAAGTAGTGATTCTTAAATTTTTCTTACTCAAGTACAAAACAATTGGTGAAAGATTATTATATGCATGAAAACAATTTCACTGTCACTTATAACCCATCTCTAAGATATATTAAGCAGGAAAATGTCATCAGTCATCAGTGAGAAATTCAAAGCAAGGCAGAAACAGGACAAACAAAAATTCAAATGGCTTTCTTACTGTTATGGTTACCGTGGCTTCTTGTCTTATAAATTTATGTCAAGAGTGAGTTGCATGACCTCTAGGTTATGCAGTCTTGTTTAAAATACCATGCTTAGGGAGAAAAGCGAACATGTAAAATAACAGTAAACAGAGGGCATAAAGAATCTTTATGTGATACAGAATGCCATAAAGCTTTTCTGTTTGTTTGTTTGTTTTTTAATGTCACTTTCTAAATATCTAACGATACCACCAAAACTCCCACTGAATTACTGTCTTGACAAATTGATAACGGATATGAGGATGTTTCTCAAGGAAGGTGGGTAACATTTCATTGCAGCAAGACTGAAAAACAGAAGAATTTTAAAAGAATTTAGAACAGACACAGAACAATATGTATTCTGGAACGACTCACTACAATCTAGGACTTGTTTTGAACCACAGAGTACTTACTGAGTTCTTTGCTGAGAGACTGACTAGACTCCTTAATATAAATCCACCATACAGCATCAGTTCGTTTCAAGACAAATGAATATAATGTTTAGTCCCTCATTTTTCACCAGAGTATTTATAAAACCAAGAATTTCCTTGTGAAAACAAATTATTTGTATTAAAAATATTCTCATGACTCTCCATTTCACTGCCATTATTGAATATTTAGAGGTCAGCTCTATCTGTTTTTTCCATGAACTGATATTCTAAAAATTACTTTGATTGAGTTTGGACAAAAGAGAGGGCTGGAATGATGGATATATCATATTCAAAAGGATCGATTACCTATGGGTAGACAGACACTATAAAGAAAGAAAAATGAGGTAACATTTTCTCGTATTTTATGAGGTTGTAAAGAAGTAAAAAAAGCAAACAAACAAACAGATTTAATATTGGCTTTAAAATATACTTTTTTACAAATGGCAATACTATTCAAATCATGGAGAAAAACATTTCAGAAATGCTGATGTCATCTTTTGTATTTTAGGAAGAACTCTACTGTGCAACTAGTAAGCACTCATGAACCTAAAAACCACAACAAACAAAACTAACTTGTGAGAGACACTTATTTTGGCAGAAAAATATTTCCTGTAAACAAATCAGAAGAGAATATCACAATACTCTAATCTGCCAGAAAGATGATGTAGTAATGTTTCTTTACAAGGAGAGTGGTTAGGCCCTGGAATGGGCTGCCCAGGGAGGTTGTGGATGCCCCGTCCTTGGACGTGTTCAAGGCCAGGTTGGACGGGGTCCTGGGCAACCTGATCTGAATGTGTATGTTTGGTGGCCCTGCTAGGCAGGGGGGTTGGAACTACATGATCCTTGAGGTCCCTTCCAACCCGGATGATTCTGTGATTCTGTGATTCTGTAATGTAACACAAAAAATCTTGAAATCTGAACCATTTTAAATGAAGGTAGAAACAAAGAATCATAGAGTAAATAAAGTTGGAAAAGACCTCTAAGATCTCCTCCTCCAACCATTAGCCCATTCCCATCATGCCCACTAACCATGACTCTCAGTACCACACCTAAACAGTTCTTGAGCATCTCCTGTGATGGCAACTCCACCACCTCCCTGGGCAGCCTGTTCCAATGCCTCTCTACTCTTTCTCAGAAGAAATTTTTCCTAATATCCAACCTGAAAGTCTTCCCATGCAGAGCAAACACATAGGAAGAACAAGAGACCATTAGAGACCTCTGTTCTCGACCATTTTAGGACACTCATCCTGATCTGCTCAGTGCTGCCACTGAAGAACAGCTGCTGTGGCTGGACAAGTAACGGAAGCATTTTGCAGTGCAGTACACAACTACAGCCAGAAAAAAAAACACTCCAACACAGCCCTTGCTTTGTGACATTATAATTCAAGTAACGAACACTACTTATCTTACAATCAATTGGCTAGATGGTCTTGCTATAATAAAATTAGGTAAAGCAGATATAGTAATTATATAAAACTATAAAGAGAATAAAACATAAAGATATCAGCATTTTCCATATTTTCCTGTTGGTAGGGTGGTAAATAATGTCAACATACAAAACAGTGTGGCATTTAAAAAAATCAAGTATTATCAATTCCACAGCCATCTTTAGTGTCACAAATAAATGTTACACTCCTTAAAACTAAAATTGTACAGATTATTCTTCCATCACATGCTACGGCATATTTGTATTTTATTTTTTCAGTTGTCTTATGCATCATCACCTTTTCAGTTTGTGTGTGTATGTGAAGTAACTACTACAGCACAATAATGCAGTGTTTTTGGGGGGAAAAAAGAAAAAAAAAAAAAAAAAAAGCCGTTATTTAAAAACATTAAATATTAAAAATAAAATCATTCTCAATAAAGTAATTTGAGAGGAATACCATAAAGGTCCACTAGAAGGAGCTGGCATTCTGTCTAATTTCAAAACACTACAGTCATTTGGAGGTATCATTGCTCTAAGGGAAAAATAATTTCTGCTGTTGAGAAAGATGTAAATTTATATTTTGATCTGATACTTCAATTTTAATTTCATAATCAAATATGCTAAATGTACAGTAGTCATTAGCATGCGGGTCAATAATAAAATCACCTTCAGTTTTAGTATAGAATCCCGTCCCTTTTAAAAATGTGTTTTATTACAACTACTACAAATGATACTGTAACTAGCAATCACGCATTTTATGCTGGAGAAAATAAACAGTTTACCCCATGATGATAATCTAGACAGCCTAAAATAAGTATTTGGTTTAATGAGTTTTGTGGAACTAGATTTCTATTCTAGAGAAGTCTAGAGCAGATTCATTGCCAAAATTAATCTCTCCTCTCTACTGATAGATACAGAGAGAGAGCTCTGTCTTATTACCCTACTAAAGAAAGCATTATATTGCCAAAATGTATCACAAAATCTGTCATATATGTTCTGTTAGAAGGAAATCTGATGGTAGAACTACACCAAATGTTACTTTTGCTTCTGAACAGCGTACTCTTCCCCATTTTCCTATTGCTTTATCATAATTTCAGATAAACTAATTCAATTGCAAAAAGATAACCTAAATTGTACTACTCGTTTAGTGCTACAGAAACAACTACAAAAGTAGGAAGGCAAATATGTTCATGCTTTGTACTCTAGTCAGACAAAATCAACTTTTGTCATGAATACTCACTGGTCTGTAGTTGCTTTTCTCTGGTGTGCATGTCAGCAAGTATTTGTTTGAAGTGGCTGGTAAAAGCAGCAAGGTCAGCATCCAGAAACACTGGGCTGCCTTCTTTCTCTTTCAGAGCTCGACTTTGAGCCTTTAGCCGTTCAATTTGGGGCTGAAGAGTTGACATTCGGATGATTTCATCCTGTATGTTTGGATTAAAATAATAATAATAATAATCAAGATAAAGACATCCTCCAAATGAAATCACTTGTGCCATGAACTCACCATTTCACTACACACTGCAAAATTACTTTGCATTCAAAGCTAGTAATAGTAAGAACAAATATCACCAATATATTTTTATCTTTTCTAACCAATAAATAGTTCTGGTTCCCGGTATGACACTTGCCATTGTTTAAAATCACTTCCATGTTGCATTATCACATTAGTAATGTAATACTAAAGTGGTTGTACATCCAAATTCCATGCCTGAAGACCATTCCTTCCATTTGGAGGTGGAGAGATAAAAACTCCACATTTACTATAGACCTGAACCTGTCTCTGTTAGATCACGTGCAGTTCAGCTGCCTCAGAGTAATGTATTACAGGTTGAGGTTCTGCTATCTTCTTGTACAGACTGTAACACTATCAATTACTAAGTAAAAACAAATGAGAGAAGTTAGTATCTTTAAGTAAGCGTCTCTAAACAGAAATTTTTTGCAAGAAGCTGTTCTACCTGCTTGAAAGTGTGCAAAAATATAAATAATAGCAGGAATAGATGTAAATTTATTTCTCAAACGTTGTTTTAGTTTGAAAGCTTCAGGAAGCAGAGATTTGGTAGAATCATGCATCTACAAGCATGTAACAAAACTTACTGGTTACTCTATCTCAATTTAAAAATTATTTGCATGTCAAAAAGTATTAGATAGGAAGTGAGTAAGATGTAAGAAGCTCTCCACATTTAAACTCCTCCTCAAATGTTGATCAAACTTCTGAAATAGGTATTGTACTTCTGTCCCCTTCAAAAGCCTCTATGTGGCAGTTCAAAACCAAGGAAAGAGTGGATTTCATGACACAATACCTACCCAAAGAGTTATTTACAGTAAGAAAGATGAGTAAATTTCCACAGCAGTGAAGCACATAATTGAAAATGTTTTTGGAGGTTTATGACTAAATTGGTATGGCTGTTTTTGTACAACTATTGAATTCTGTCTTGTGATTAGGGAATAATATTCCTCCTGTTGATTACACATAGGCAGGGCATGCAACAGATAACACGTACAAGGGCATAATTTTGGACTTGACCATGAATACACTTTTCAGGCTCAGATCTTTACAACCAGAGATGATGAGAAATAGTTTCTTAATCAAGTCTCAAAGAAATAGATTCTTACAGGAAAAAAAGAATAATTTAAGGGTCTAATTATCTAACTTTAGGTATGCAAATATCTTAAAATAATTAAATGATTGGGACACAATTTTAAATAATCATATACTAGGCCTCTTTATTTACCATTCCTTCCTTTCCTTGAGTAATTATCCTTCGTTAACTATTTTGAAAACATGAGGAGTACAATTTTCATATATCATAGAATAGCCTGGGTTGAAAAGGACCTCAATGATCATGTAGTTTCAACCTCCCTGCTATGTGCAGGGTCACCCAACCACAAGACCAAGCTGCCCAGAGCCACATCCAGCCTGGCCTTGAATGCCTCCAGGGATGGGGCATCCACAACCTCCTTGGGCCTGTTTTAGTGTGGCATCACCCTCTGTGTGAAAAACTTACTCCTGATATCCCCTTGTCTTAGTTTAAAACCATTCCCCCTTGTCCTATCACTATCAACCCATGTAAACAGTCATTCTCCCTCCTATTTATATACTCCCTTCGAGTACTGGAAGGCCCCAGAGCCTTCTCTTCTTCAAGCTAAACAAGCCCAGTTCCCTCAACCACTCATCATAGGAGATGTCCTCCAGCACTCTGATAATCTTATTGGCCCTCCTCTGGACCCGTTCCAAGAGCTCTGTGCCCTTCTTGTGCTGGGTGCTCCAAGCCCAGATGCAGATCTCCAGATGGGGCCCCACAGGAGCTGAGTAGAGGGGGACAATCACCTCCCCCTCCCTGCTGGCCACTCCTTTTTAAATGCAGCCCAGGATGCAGTTGGCCTTTTGGGCTGCAAGAAATAGTGTATGCTATAATCCGGCCACCTGCTGGTACACATAGGAAGTACAATATAATAAACAACTTAGAAGAATCTCTAACCTTGCATTTTTCCAACTGAATTTTTACTGTAGCAGGATCTGTTGCTGGTGTGGGTTGTGCTTTCAGCCAGTTTTCTGCTGTAATTGCTGTCTGCTCCAGTTGCTGCAGCTGGGAATAGAAGTCAATGATGCTATTTTGGTACTCCAACCATGCCAGTCTTTCACTCAGCAACTGACAGAACTCAATCCAGCGACTCTTCAGCTGCTCTGAGGCTTGTCTAATGTTGTCAGCATTCAGACCCTCTATAAAGAACACAAGAGAAGAAGCTCAACACTTAAAAGTCACAAAGAAGTAAATCAGTTTACAGTACTTTAACAATTCAATTTCTACAGCTGAGAGCTAATAAATCTAAAAAATGTTGTATCATCAAATAACAAACCTGAACATACAGATGTTACACATCAATGGAGAAAGAATTTCAGAACTACTTAAAGTTACTGTCAGGATATTTTCCTTAAAATGGGAATGCATTATAAAGTGTATTATGATACAAGAAAGGGAACAAAGCAGAAAGTTGTAACATAATACAAAAAGCTAATTAAAACTGCTGTAAGAAGTAAGAAAATGTGTGACAACTGGATTTCGAAAGCTCTGTCCATTGCAACTGGATTTTAACATGTAATATCCCTGTGTGGTTTTCTTTGTTTTAAAGGCAATTTTCAAGTGTATGGGAACTAGGTTCCACAGTTATTTTGATATTTTTTTCACAATCCAATCCTTAAGTTTAGCATTACTAGTTTAAAAATATTGTAAGGGCTTAAAAATAACAGTCCGGATCAGACCAAAGTTAACACGTAGCAAAGTCCCCTGTCTCCAACAGTGTTCATCAACAGACATCAAGCATCGACTCAGAGTCAAGAAACCATGTGACATCTCTTCATAACAATTTTCAGCTGGGGTTTGGTTTGGCATGCCATACAATGACACACACAGCAACACAACTGATACTGACCAAAAATTAATAAACTTCTCAATGAAGTACACGTTTAAGAACTTTTTTAGTAACAACAGTAAGTCATACACTAGTTAACCAGTAGAACAAAAGCTATGTTTTTAGCTATATCAAATTTCAGGTGTTTTCATATTTCTTAAAACCAAGTTTAAATGCAAATAAAACAAAAGCCTTCAATGTGATACTTCACACTACAGTGTGATTTTTAAGATGCTGTTGATGTGATTTATTTTGGTTATACTTACAATCTTCGAGAAAAATTCCCTATGAGGGATACAAAACTGTGAAGTCCATGCACAACTGTTTTAGTAGAACTTAAGAAATTATGGCTGAAGTCTTTACATAAAAATAATACTGAAAACTTTCTATAATAAACTTGATAATGACCACTATAAACAATACTGTAAATCACACTAATTGAAGTGTGTCTGCTATGGAACTCCACTGTTCTCCAACAATCATTATTTTGGATTCAGCTCATGGCTGATTCAGTGCCACTTGTAAACAGATGACTGTGCAGTACCTTACAGTAAATTCCTGGACAGACTCTATTGCTAGGATATTGCCCTAGCCAAGAAAATTGGACATGATTTCAAAAAATGCAAGCAAGGATGCAGAAAGAAGCCCAGCACTACCAGGATATAACGATAACTGGTGGTTACAACAACTATGTATACATGCTGTACCCAGGAAAATGGATGGCACAATTTAATGATTGGACAAGGATCTAAAATAAAACTTAAAGCATAAAGAAGTAACATCATTTTAATACATATTAGTAAGATCCACTGGTGATGTGTTTCTTCTGTGCATGTCTGCATTTGGAGACACTGCTGCAGAACTACTTTATTTTCTTAGAGTGTCTTATGAATACTATCTTAACGTCTAATGAATATACATCAGTATACAAAGAGGCAGCATAAACCTGAATGGCATATCTTAATAACAACAAAGATGACTGGACACATACATAATGAGTGTTACCAACATCGAGAAAAAAACAAATATATAGGAGACAAGCTTTTGATTATGCTGTATTTCAAAAATTGCATCTGTGCCATTGTGACTCTGGTTATAAAAATGCTGTGTGCTCTTAAGAGAGAGCAAACATCCCTGGCACAGCGTACATAATTAATTACCTCTGAACCTGGAAGACACTTCCTATGACTTTGACAGAGAAGAAAGTAAAAAGTCACTTTCATTTTTTTCTCCTCTCCTCTTTTCAGCTGCCACAGTTTCCAAAGTATCCCTAGGCCAGATTATGATTACAAGAGAAAGTGCACTCATGAACTCTCAGTATGTAACAATACTTTTCTCTGTAGTTCTTTTTCAAGAATTCAGAGAAGACTGTACATAATACAAAAATCTAGATTCATTAACTCCTCTCTTCTTCCTTTCACAGCTATATCCCTCTTAATGTTATGCGTGGAAATATCCAGCATTACTCAGTTTTCATTAATATTTCACTATCTAAACTTTGAGTTTATAACCGATTCCACAAAGCCACAGAAGAACAAACAAATGATTCTGTTCTTGATATAACTGAAATAGGAAGTAGAAGACCAGAGTGAGCAGGGCTATACTTCCTAAGAAAATACAGAGGCCACTTTAGACAGTACAATACCCTACTGAAGTAAAGACCCATCTGAAAATATCCAAGGGACACTCTTAAAACTCTCTAAATTCACAGTCCAGAAAACACTTATTGAATGATATCATTTTTCAGAAGGATGCAAGAAAATGGCTATTACTTGCATGTCATAAATTTTGCTGGAAGAGTCTAAGCCAAAATGGTAAGAGGTAATTTAATTTCCTAAACCTATATATATATATATGTTCGAATAATTCTAATCCAGAAATGGAACTTGTCCAAATCTTCACATTTATCTTGTTTTGAAGAAAGCTTGTCCTCCTTCTATTTGAAAATTAATAATTATTTGAATAGGTGATGCAATGCAGGCAGAATTCTAAATGTTCTTATTTTCAGACTTCAGAATTCTTGAAAGCTAAAAGCTCAAAACATACTTCCATGAGAAGTACTGATTTATTCACTATCTTTAGCAACTTTAGCAACTATCAGCTTGCATTCATGATGTTGACAACAATCTTCTTAGTGCGCTTCGCTCACGACAACAAGACATACAAAAATTGAGAATCAGGGGTCAAAATCCATTTTCTGGTAATTTTAGAACACTGTTAATTTAGAAATAATGGTTCATAACCTTTTCATTTTTCATATTTTAAGATCTCCTGATACAATCAGTGAATAAATAAACTGTACCCAGAGGAAACAGATCATTGCCTGGAGTACCTCTATTAATTTTACTACCGTGCCTACTGTGCATAACAAATTGTGTCAGTACTTTTAATTGCGCGGCATCTTACATGCAAGTACTCTGGAACTGCCAGTTAGTATGAAGCATATCTTATGAAGTGTATTTATCGTTTGCTGTGAATCTATGACAGAATAATGTAATATTATCTACGTTTTTATAGATTTTGATGCATAAGCATATGTGAAATGGTAACTCCTAATGAAACATGATAATACATTCCTTCCTTAAAAAAAGGACTCCTAAACAATATGTGTTCTATCACAACAAATTCTTCTTCTATATTCACTTTAATTCTGCCTATCAAACATCTCTCAGTAGTCATTTTGTTGCATTTTAGAATGGAATTGGTTTTATATATATATATATATTTATATTCATACATATGTAAATTATTATATTATATATATATATGTATATGTGTGTGTGTATGTGTATATATACACACACATATTTATTTTGCTTTTATTCCCCCATTTTCCAAAAACAATGGAAGCAGGACATAAATGTTTTTATTAATTGTAATCATCAGGCCTCTTTAAACTGACGGGCAACGAGAGGCAGGGCACAGCCTGTGTAGAAGAAGGGTGATTTTTTAAAGATAAAAACAGTGATTTCCCTGTGATAGGAAAAGTCCTTCAAATGGCACTAACCTAACCAGACACACTGCTTACAAACTTAAGAATAGCTGTGAAATCACAGTTCTTTCCACTCAGAATACTTTTGCTGATACTGGCTGAAAACATAAGGCAGGAATGTTGCCCTACATAAATACATTTCCTCAGATTACTTTCCTCAATTCTAAGAAGGAAAGAAATGAGACTAAATAAAAACATCTACTTTTCTCCAGAATTTGAATCCTTCTTTTTACTTATTTCCTCTCCTATCACAGTAAAAGAGCAAGAAAATAAGTACATAAATGATTTAACAATGAAATTTACCACCATTGTGAACTTCTCTCTTACAATATACCAGATTACTTCGTACTTTCATACTGTTCAATTTTTTTTTATTATTTTTTATATTTTTTTAAGAACAAAGTGGAAGCAGGCCTACGTAAAAGCAAAGCCAAAAATTTAGTGCTGGTATAACCGGAATCTTAGAACTCTAATCATTATGTACATGATATAAAATAACTAAAAAATAGCAATGCAATTAAAACTGTTAATCACTTGTTTTCACAACTGATTTATATCTTAAATTGGTTTGCCTTGGGTAGTCTTTTAGTTACAGATTACACAGCATGTGCATATGTCATATGTGCATGACAAACTTCAACTGCACCTGTAAAATATTTCCACAAAGAAAGTACATACAAAATAATCATCTGTTTAGTACTTACATCTGTGGTTTTAGATTATGATCATGAAAAATTAAAAAAGATCATTTATTCAAGATAACACAGTATGTCTTCCCTCCACCAGATGCTAAACAATGTGCTTCCCAAATTTGAAATGGTATGTTTAACTTCACTTCCTTCACTTGCTATAGAAAAAAAGTTCCAGCATTAGACAAAGGAAGGCACGTAGCTACAGTCAGTCTAACCTGTTGGATATTATTTTGGAGATTCAGCTAGAAAATTTTCCTATGATGTACTCTTTCCTCTTTTCTTCTTAGTGAATCCAGAAATCCGCAAAAATTATAACAAAGAGGAGAAGACTGTATGTCCCAAATGCCCAAATGAATTTCAACAAGCCTCACAGCTACTAAGGAAGCTTAGTTGAACTACCCTGGAAAATATATACCTACATAAGCCTACTGCAGTTTAAGATATAGGTTTAATGTTGAGGGTTGTTTTTTGTTTTGTTTTTTAACACACCTTTTAGTTCAGCATCAATTTACAGATGCTCCCATTAATTGCAAAAGTATTTGAGCATATGATTAAAAAAACAAACAAAATTTCTTCTTCATAGAAGTACTGAGGTTGAACACTGTGGTTACCTTCCCCTATGCTCAGAACATAATTTTGAGCACCTAGCAAAATATTTAATTCACAACATTCTTTGTTAATGTGATCTTACAGTTCTCCTCAAGTAAAGCTGATTATTTAATTCCACTCTCTAGCACTCCCTCTTGGTGGTGATCTTTGCATTATTTAACTATTTAATAAACTGTTCCTCAAGTTGCCATAAACAATGAGGCCAGACAAACTCTTTTTGATGAAATAGTTTATTATCTAAAATCAACGCAAAAAGAAGCTTCACTCCTACAGGCATCTAATCCATCACCCTTGCTAGAAAATTCCTGCTGCTAAGGCTACCATGACATTTGGCATAATATGCCATATGTAAGGCAGAATTCAAAGTAATTGACAGGAAACAGATAAAGTCATGCTGGGTCAGCTAGCCTACTCTGTGCTTATACCCCAGCTGCAAGATGTGCTTTCTAAAAAGAGGGTACTTGGGATACAATGGATAATAAAGCACATCTAATCACGGCTAAAATCACAACACCTATGAACTATGAATAATCACAAAAGCATGAAAAAAGAGAACACTGAGGACATGAGAATATTTAAGAAAGCTAATCTGATGAAGCTAAAGATGGAATTCCTTATGTGCAAGTCTGCAACTGGCCAAAGAATCAATGGGGCACTGTTAACTGGGCACTAAGCAGGTTAGGTCCAAAATAACAATCTTGATATGTCAGCACACAAATTTCAAATATTGCCTTAGAAGTTCTGTACAGCAGATCTCCCTGGCAGAAAAATATGTCAAAAAAAGATACAGAACTTTTTTTGTTTTTCCTTCACAGAAAAAAATCCAATGACTTCAAAAAGGGTGCAAATTTTACTAGACTCCCTCCTGTCTATTCACAGAGCATGTGAAAGAACCTCTTTTAACAGATGCTATGATAATTGTAATTAAATATGGCCAGAATACAAGGGTGGCTACTTTTAAAGTACCACCTTCATACTTAAAAATTCATACTTAAGCAAGATAATCCTAAAACTCCATCAAATGTGTGTAGTTTAGCATTTCATTAATAACAGTTACATTCTTGACTCTTTGTTATAACAATTTAACATAAAACATACGTTCTGAAGTTCTGTGCATTCAACATCTGTATTTTTGTAAGCCTATCAGTATACAGATTGTGGTCCATGGTTAATATTTTTACTACGAAGTCAGACATTTTTTAACATCAGAGATAGGGACATGGCATACAATTTTACTTCCATCTATCTTGCTGTTGGGTTTTCTTCTTCCTTTAAAAAGTTCATAAACTTGGCTGAACATAATAGCATATTTTTCTTGGAAAATTCAATGATTAACATAGAAAATTTGCAAATTTTTTTTTTTTTTTTTTAAGTGTTGTATAAGCTTTCATGTTTATTATCTTAAAAAGCTGAATGCTAAAAATATCTTCAAATACCCAACAAAATTTTATACTTTATATAATACAGAACATTACAGCAACATACATATAACAAAATATACAAAGTTTATTATAATCAAAGTTAGAAAACACTTTTTCAAACTGTTCAGTTTTCTAACTTGGATGAATTAATGTACCTTTGAAAGCCTAGTATACTCAGAAAATAAGATTACAACTTTATTCTCTGCACAGAACAGATTGTAAATACAGGTTCATTACCATCAGCACGTTTTACACACACTTGTTTTCATGATACTGAAGTTGTAAGATTTTTCTCTTTACTAATTAACAGATTTAATATCCAGAAATAATAGAATAAATATAATGAAATTTACTTTGCTGTTCCATTTAGATAGCACTTTTCTAACATAATTCTTGCGATAAATATAAACCTGTGCATTTATTAAATCCCTGAGAACATTATCTAAATCAACTCCCTTGTAATTACCATTCACCATCTGTTCCACCAGGGCCTCAGCTGATCTGCTGGCATCTTGCAGCTTTCTGTACTTCTCAGGCTTTTCTCGCTGGATGGCCTGCAGCATGACAGGAAAGGTGAGTGTTTCAAAAGAGGAAGAAGAAAGTAAATAATCTCAGGGATGTCCTGATTCTTGAGACTGCTTAACCTGCCACACTGCCCTGCCAGCCTCCTGATTTGCAATGAAAGCACGAAGTATCACTTACCAAGTTAGTCTTACAGTCAAATACATGACTTCAGAATTGGAACTCAACAGAGTTGACAAATGATATTTTACAGACAAATCATAGACAAATTAAGAGCTATTCAAAGCCCAGTATTTCACAAGAAAATCATACGTTCAACAGAAATTCCTTGTGCAGGAATAGAAAGTTTACTTTTCTTTTTCATGTAACTCCTATTTTTATTAGTAAGAATTAAGATCATGCTAACAAAAATACAGGATCTCATGTCATACTGAACCCATATATGATTTGATTGCTTATTTTAATATTTTGTTGCCATAAAAAATGTAAGATGGATATTCAAGTAGGTATGTAACATATATAGCAGACATCCATATATAAGCCAGTAGATATAGCAGACATCCATATATAAGCCATATATATGTAAGCTAGGAGTTATATATATAAGTAGCTAGGAGTTATATATAAGTAGCTAGGAGTTAAGAATAAATTGCAGAATCAACACAGGGTTTTCATTATATATTGTACCTAATACTTCAAGTCACTTTTCCTTATTTAAGAAGTTCTCACTCATGTTTAGGTGTGTTCACAGTAACTGGTAATTGTAGGTACAGCTTGAGTTTCAGGATGAAGTAGAAATCTAAATTTCTATTTTCATTTGACTTGGTAACAATATAGAAGGAAAATAAAACTGTATTAGATCTAACACCTCCTCAATTACGTTTAATAATTAAAAACACCATGTTGATTTTAGACTAATTAGTCTATAGGTATAATTATGATGCTCTAAACTAGAAGACTAAATTTCTCTTTTAGTTCAGGAAAAGCCTAAGGCTATAAAAGTTTGAAACCAAAAATAAAACACACTATACATACCGCCCAGAGATCCTACCTAAAACAATCTCTCATTATTCAGAGTCCACCAACTAATCACAGCACATATACATATACAAAAGGAAATGCCACAAAAATCTTAGTGTGACATACAGGAAACTTACAAAATCCTGGCTGTGGCTTCTCAGTCTGGCTTTTCAAAATGTATATTTAACATATTGCTAATTATTAATGATAATTTAATCTTAAATTATCCTTAAATTTCATAAAGTTTAATCCCAATAAACTCAAGGTAACGATATTACTTGCAGTTTCTGTAGGTCAACAAAATCTTTTCAAAATTAAAAAAATCAAAAAAACTCTTCTGTTAATTCTCTGCAGAGTTTCAAGACTACAGAATCTTAATTCTGTCTATAATGCCAGGTATAACGAACCTGAGTCTAGCTGCGCAGAACTCAGAACGATCATAAAAACATTGAAATATATTGAAAAAAATCTTGCTCTGTCTGCAGTGCCAGATGTGTAATTATCGCAAGTGTTACTGCACTGAACACAAATGAATCTTTCAAAACCTGATATACACTAAAAAAAAGCTTTTGGAAATATGAAAACAATATGACGCTGAAGCATGGGACAGGGAACTCTTCAGTGTCTGATAACAGACCATGAGTCTGGAAAACACTGGAAGCATGCCTGCTTCTTTCTCAGAAGATCAAGGTTTTTAGATCCTGAGAGAAAACAAAAGCACTTGCATGTGAAACACCTAAAAATAAACACGAACGTTCGGCACACATCAATACCTCCCTGCACTCACTTTTTGTGTTATTAATATATATCATAAAGATGAAGGGCTAGCAATAGATAAAGACATATGTTTACACACAGAAAATACAATGCCAAAAGAGAAATGGCTGTCCTCTTGGTTCTCATACAAAGTATGGAACAATTTACCTCATCTGCGGAGAAAGCAGACTTAGTTAACAGCACTAACATCTTACTATGGTCTTACACTGCACATGCTTCAGTTGTTTGTCAAACCCACAATCTTCCTCTTACATTTTTAAAGTCTTATGAGGAATTTTTGTAAACAAACGTAGAGTGCCAAGAAATAAATGAAGTAACAGTTTCATAAATACCTCTCATTTATCCTTTCTGATCTGATTTGTTATTGTTTCCTGTACCGAAAAGGACAAAACTCTCAATTCAGATTTATTTACAATAAAGATACACTGGGATAAAATTGAAGAGGTTTGTGAAATTTGGAAACTTTTACATTTATTGTTATCAACACTGTTTTGTCTGATGAAAATTTATGGTAGCTGCAAAAAAAAAAAAAAATCCAAAACTGAATTTTTTTTTTTTAATATTCTTTTTATTTCTTATACTTTTCCTTATTCTTAGAAAAAAAAATAAAAAGACTTTTATATAATACGGGATTAATTCTCTGAGGAATATTTTGTAACTGGCAAAACAGATATGTAATGGCTTAGTTCTAACTGATGGAGTAACATTAAAGGCACCTTTAGCTAAATACCATACGAAGTTGAAGAGGTTATTTTCACAATATTATAAGAGTTTTATTTGGCCCTAAGATTTTAGTTGGTAGTTAATGACTTCATAACATTGAAGACAGTTGCACTTCAGAAATTCATGTTATTCATATCAAATCAAAATCCCATTTTAAGAACTCTGACAATGGATGTACAGTTGCAGTAATGCCTGATCTCTTGTTGTTCTTGTCAACTACACCTGTGGGCAGAAGTTTGCAATATTATTATCACTGGATTTTACAACAACTGAGCTTTCAAACATCCAGGCCCAACAGAGTATCTCTGAATATTACTAAATGAGAATGAAAAAGTGAGAACTGAGCATTTAAGAATGCCAAGGGAGCAAATTTAATTGTCCAGGATATCTGACATTTTCCCTTACATCAGTTTCTTACCTTCATTCACCTTTGATCTTGAATTTCTAGATGCTTCTTGGCTAATTAAAATTCATTTCAATGAGTTTTATTCTTAATTTTCTGATGTGAAATCTCAAGTTTTACTTCCCAATAAGAAAGATTTTCTACCAACTTTTTGCACCCAAACCCTCACATATTATAATATGAATATGTGAACTTATAATAAAGAAGGCTCGTCGGAGTTTTAGAGAAACAAGCAAACAAAAAAGCCTGAATCATTGCTAGACCTCTTTCCAGAAAAACACACATATTAACTGGAAATTGTTAAGGATATGATGCAGCTTTAAGATATTTTAGGCATTTATGTATGGATGTCTTCATTGTTTTAGAATAGTACTGTTGTCACACAATAAACATCTACACAATTGTGATGTTCAGTCTCTATGGCCAGTTAAGGCAAGTACATTTTCTCATAGCTGAGAAGGACTAGAAATATTTTTGCTTCTCTCCATACACAGGAATGGGCTTCTATGCATCTCTAATATATTCAATTTATGTAGCACATCTGCCAAAGGCTAATTTTCTGCCAGTATCTGAACAGCTGCTGTCTTAGCAAACATAGTATGTTCCATACAATCTGCTCTTGGCTCCATCTCCCCCAGGACTTCTCTGAAGTGGGATGGGAGCAGGTTTTTGATCTTGAATCACTGAATCATCAATGATGGCAAAAGAGCTTCCCTTGTGGCTGTTCTGTATGAAGTCTGGGTCCGTTCACCTAGAGATGTACTTCCTATATAATAAAGAAGTAATCCCACTGAGAAAAAAACAATGAATAGAAACAAGATGCTTTGACAACAACAAAAAAAAACCCACATCCAACTTGTAACCTGTCCTCAAAAGACAAGTAGAAAGGAACATCATTAGAAAAAGGCTATGGGACTGAGTTGCTACCACAGCAGGCAACAAATGTTAGGTCAGACATTAGTCATCACGGGTGTTCTGTGCTACATCATCTACAATGCCACATACCGAGGAAACTTTCATTTAAAAAGCCACTAAATACAAGATGATACTTTTTTAATGCATGTGTGTATGGCATCATGCATGTTGGAGCATGATTACGTATGTCAGTACTGTACAACCTTTTGCAATTATCGCTGATGGTTTCCCTTTTGACATTTTATCTTTCATTATATGCCTTCTGCAACTTTACTAGAGATTACAATCCGATAAAAACTGCTATGTTATTTTTCATTGATTAAAGCCTCCTTTTGAAAGAAATAGAAACTTAAGGAAAAAACAAGCAACAACACTGTGCAAATCAATGAACTAGACAGTACTTCCTGCTTTGTGTATTAGTTGAACAGCAGAAGACTGAGACCAGGCCAGTCCAATTTTTAAAACTCAGCATTTAAACCTTCATCCTCTTAGTTTTTTTTTCTTTTAAAAAAGCAACACTTGTTTTTTATTAATTAGAAGAACTGAGAACTGTTCAAAAGAGAATCCAGATATTGTCAAGTGCAACCTTAGATAGTTCTATCAAATTAAAATTTCATCTCAATATTCTCTTCCTTAAAGTTGCTAGAAGCTTCTGCATGTGCATTGATCTTTTCAATGAAATGTACTACTTTTAAAAGAACTCAAAGCCAATCTTGTTTTTTAAAAATATTTACAACTTTAATGAATGATGTTAATTTCTCTTGTTTCTATTTAGAGATACTGCTCTGTCTCAGACTACTTTTAATACAAAGCAGATTTATTTTCTGCAATACTTATCATTAAAGAAGTTGGAAATTGGTTTCTTAACCATCATATAATTTGGTTTCTAAGGAAGTCAAAGAAACATCTGAAATTCTGCTATCTCCAGTGTCCTGATTTCAAACCATCCAGTATGAAATTCTATACCACTTTTCCCTCCCTGTCTTCCTCCATTATTATGTATGTTTTCACTGACCTAAAGGAACACTTCACAAATGCACTTAACAATGGCTTCCCAAACCCAACTTTTTTCCACAGCACCAATGAAGGCAAGGAAAGAGCTGCTGGGAAATTCAGTTGGGACCAGAGGAGGATCTGTAGTTCACCTACCTCTATCCCCTACTTGCAGTGACACAGATCACCACCTCCTCGGGAGCAAAAAAAGGAAAGAAGGAGGAAGGTGAACCATAGCTCCTGAGTCCATTAATGGTTTCACAGAGTCTTAAAAACTGACAACATAAGATGGAGTATCTTATTGATTAGGGAAACCTAATTGTGGAGGTATTCAGCACAATATGAAGGTCAAAACAGGAGCTGATTTGCCATCCTTGAAACTGTGTTCCGCAAAATGGGAATATATGGAAGGGAGAAAGGAGCATTTTCTGTTCTTTTTTTTTCCCCATCTACCACAAAGATGGAAACAACAAATTACCTGCATATCTATTTAGGATTGAGACAATACACATTACCCCAGTATGGAAGCATCTGAATCTATCATTTTCTCTGCATGTTTGAGCCAGTTTATATATATTTATGCATATAGTTATGTATGTTTACATATCATGAAATGGAGTCGTAAACTAAATTCAATATATTACACTCTAATGGATAATTACACAGTAAGTATCCATTAGATACTTAAGTATTAACACTGTGATAACATTAACAAATAAATTAAGATTATTGTAACAAAAGTATGATTTAACAAGAAATATCAAGATGTGTGTTTACTGTCACAGAATTCAGAGTTCCTCAATCCTACTGTTGCTAACTTATGATGGACAAGCAAAGAGAGAAAACAGCATCAAAAATTAACTTCAGTACAGTAACTTTGTTCTCTCTTTGTTTTAGCAGCACGTATGATTTCATTTTTTAATGAAGTCCCATGACACGCTATTATACTATATGCATAATAGCTTATTATAAAAACTAATTTGCCTTACACTTATTCAGAAAAGGTAAGCTTTCTTGCAACTAGCTACAAAAAATAAATACCGAAGAAAATTTTTACTCATTTAGTTTTCAAAGGTTAAATTCAGAGTGTGTGAAACATGCACAAACATAGTTACTCATTAAGCAGTGCAGATTAACTTTGCAAAAACTAGAAAGAATCATTCCTGGTTCGGTAAAAGAACAGATTAAAATAATGCTTGTGGAAATTCGTTATTTTCAGATACATTTTACAGCACTGTAAGAATTAGGTACAAGTTTTCTTTAAAATATACTAAAAGATGACATTTTCCACCTTCTTCAGTTTATGCACGGACAATGTCATATTAAGCCATCAGTGTGGAAATATCATGCATATTTTAAAAGTAAATTATAGGCTTGGATTCAATATTACTGAGGACTTCCATGAATCTGAAATGCCTTAAATTAAAAATGATCTCTGTATTTAGACACCTTGTGTATCCATTTTGGTGCCAAAATCTGAAATGTACAGAAATACTTAACACTTCTAAATTTCTCATGCATATGATCAATTGATGCTTGTCAGTTTAGATTTGAACTCATTTATACTTGGACTTTGAAAGCACTTTGACAAGTGAATACAAGCTAACAAACATATATATTAGTACTTTCTCCTACATTGACTCTTTCTCTGAGATCTGAGAGATTTCCTTCCTTTCGATATATTGCAAATTCAGGACTCTGGAGTACTGCTTCTGAGCGTGTCATCCAGCTGTGGAGTTCTGTTGTATCCGAGTCAAACCTAAGATACAGAGAAGAGCAAGAAGACATTTCAATTCAACATTTCTGACAATAGCATTAACAGCAGAAAAAGTTAACTAGCTGCTTAAAGAAATAAATAAGCATCAATAATTCCTCTTTGAAAAAGACACTTTAAAACCCACCATATCTGATTAGAAACCTCATAAAACTATTCACTCTAAAATCTGAAAACATACTTTTTCATTTTTAAGACACTGATTTGACAGCTGAACAGATGCAGCAGTTTTCAAGTAAATGTTCCAGTTTTACAAGCTGATGTTTTTGGAAGACATTAAAGAAGTGGCTCTCACAGTTGAATAAAGTGTATCACAAGCACTGTTGGCTCAGCTGAGGATGTGTGGTGTATCTGGCTCACAAAATGCAGCCTTTGTACCCGATAATTCTCTGCCTTAGTTTGTACTGCCTGCACTGTAAGGAAAAAAAGCAGGAAATTTGACCATTAGATTGGACCCTCTTCTGATTGACTCAAATTTGTTGCAGAATGTAATTACTAATCAAGAGGAGACTATAATTTTCCTACAGCTAGAACTTTTGGAAAATGGAAATTAAGATTCCTAATTCTGCATAAACTTTTTAAATGTTTTTTGCTGTAAAGTCCTTTTAATTATCATCTGGATTCTTTCAGAAACTCCTTTAAAAATGACCTTTATTGTTTCTTACTCAGAAAGGAGTAGCTCAAAACGAAGGTTACTGCATGCAAATTTTTCAGTTGCAGATGTACTAAAATCAAACAATAAGTTGATTTTATATCTAGCCTGGTTTTTAAAGCAACAATGTTGAGATAATGTTTTTTCACTGAGTTGAATTAAACTGTAAGCTTGATTGCATTTCTTTATTGTACTTTGAGTTTCAATATTTATATCTAGTTTATAATTACTTTTCCTTTGGTATCAACACAGTAAAAGCAAAAAAACAGAAGGATCTAGAACAGAATTAACTGCTTATTTCAGTTTGTTTTGTAAACATAGGCCTTTTAATTTATGTAATTAAAAACGTACTAACACCAAGAACTTGGACAACAACTGCATCTTTGAAGAAATTAGATACTTTACAGAGATACACACCTAAATATAAAAGCTAAAACACAGAGCTGAAAGGTACTAATCTAGTGCTACAGAGATCAACATAAACAAGTGAAAAAACAGGACAGGAATTTCATGTCTGTCCAAATATATTTCTGTTCCCCTTTTATTTTTTTTCATTCTCCATTGTGATCCTTGTGACTATTTAACAATAAGGTGTGAATGACTGAGTAATACATAATCAAAGCAGTAGAAAGAATCACACACTTCCCTAATCCAGCCTCACAACCTATATCAAAATTAAAACCTCTTAAGAATAATGTTTATAGAAAAATTGCTAATAATTCTATTTGCACACTCATTCAAGGAGGAAAAGATGATGGTGATGAGATGAAAGGGAAGCGGCAGAGATCTTCATTTCATAGAGGACTATACATTCAGAGGCAGAATACAAAAGAAAATCTCTCTGATGGTTTACAGAATCTCTGTATTGGTATCAGGTTCTAATCCTGTAAATCAAATTGAACTGCCAGTGAAGAGATTCCTGCCTCCAAGTCTGTGCAACATTAAATCAATTGTTATTCCTGAAATAGGATGTTATCATTTGTTCAGCATATAATAGCTGTATATTTAATAAACACTGTCATGAAATTTTACAACTAGGACAACAAATCTATGAAAGCCAGTATTTCCACATAAAACCGGAATACTGTTTATTCAACAAATCGCAAGCACTAACTGCATACCTAATCGCACCAATAACTGCAGGAGAATACAAAAGCATGCTTTTGTAACTACGACTTACGACTGTTCAACACTTCTTAAAATGGAGAGCAACCAATTATAAAGCCAATGGATTGCATTACTAACAATTTCATAGCTGTTCGTACTGTGCTTTTGGATGTAAATTATTTATGTTCCATATCTAACAAAGATTGCCACCATCTCTGCCCAATGACCAGTGGTGTGAAGCTCTACCAGACAAGTCTGCACAAAGTAGTTAGTGAAGTCCTTAGTAAGAGCTTTATTAGGTCACTTAAATTAAAACAGATGCCTAAATGGTGTAATCTCACTTGAAGATCAATGGGATACAAAGAAGCATCCAAATGGAATGTATGCCTTTCCAAAATGATGGAACAGTAATACCATACAATCCTATGTTTCATGAAATTATCTGATTCGGGGCTTGCCAGCACCAAACGAGAAACAGGAGAACCTGCTGTAAGGATCAAGACAGAATGTGGTCAGAGATTTATAGGTATTCAACTAGATGGGACTGCTGCCCTGTCCTCCTCTGTTTTTTGAAATTCAGCCAGCAGCATACCAAATACCCTTCAAGAATTAGCAGCCCACATTGGCAGAAAGGTTGTCACTCTGCTGCCAAAGTGAACTCTATTCCTTGTTCCTCTCACAGCCAACAACTGTACAGGCAAAGGAAAAAATGGCCACTTATTTTACCTTCCTTAAATCTATAGATGTGGCCAGCTCTCCAGCCACCTATCCGCAGTTATTGTAATTAGGCCGTTCTATAGCACAGGTATGAAGAAGCTGTAAACTGGAGAACACAGAACATCAGATACAGGATAAAAATAAAGACAACTTTATCAGTTTATGGGTACTAAACTCTCTTGACAGCAGGTAAAACTGTCATACTTCTTTTGTTCATTCCATTCTGTGGTTGCAGTTGAATAGGAGCACTGAGAAAAACCTGCTAAAAAACAATGTGATATTTGCTAAAGAATAGTCTGCTATTAACTTGGTATAGCATGGAAAATGACAGAGCAAAATGTTTACAAGAGATCATTTCTTCCTTTCTTTAAAAAACGGACTTAGTCTCTTCCTCTGCAACATCCACCCCTGAAAGTATAATACAGAAGAGTTGAAAATTTGGGAGTGTTTAGATAGAATAACAATGATCAGGAAAAAACTACATGGCTGAGATTCATCAAGTGTTGTAAGTATTAGCCACCGCGGATACATCTGGACAGAACTGATCTCAGATGCAGATGACAGATTGTTCTGTCAGTTGTAGTTTCTTCTGTTTAAGTAAATATAACTCCACAAACAAAGGTTTATTTTTTTTTTGGGGGGGGGGGGGGCGGGGAAGGGAGGAAAAAGTTTAAAGGTATATTGCACATTTCAAGAGACTTGGAAAAAAATCTCATATTCTGCTTTTTTAAAAACAGGAAATGCAGGTAGAATATGGCATTTAATCATTGTGCTAGGATGACTGGGCATTTCATTTCTGAGTTGTTTAAGTTACAAAGTGCAGTAACTCCAGATTGATATATTTGATCAATAAGGTCTTTAAATCTCATAAGTACAGCAATATATTTGGCATTAAAAAAAGTAATGAAATATTGCATTTCAGACCCAGTAAAGTTGGGTGCGTGTAGAATTTGTTAAAATAAATCCATCAAAGGGAATAAAACCACACCACTTGACACAATCACTCCAGATAATTACCTCAGTATAGAGTGGACGTAACCTTGCTGCCCGGCTAAAATTTCAACCCACAGAAGAGCGTGTAGTGCCTCTAAATTCTTTATGGAGTGCTCATGTTTTAGTTTTCAATTAGTTTGTCTTTCTGCTATTCCACAGCAGAGATACAATCCTATACTGCCCTCATGGAATCCTCATAGCCCCACACATCTCTTACAATAACTCATTTTCTTAATCATACTAAACACGGGCCCACTGCAGATTCCCATTCACAGCTCTCTTGCATAGATCATGCATACAAAAGATTTGTTCAAAAAATTACTCCTTCTTCTTCTGGGTTTCCCTTCCAGCACAGGACAACCTGCATCTTTAAGTATTTCACAAGTCAGTTACATTTTTTTCTGTTCATGGAATTCCTAGCCAAATATTCAGCAAGGAGTATCTCGCAGAATTTTCTGGAAGCAGCCTGAGTAGAGAGCAGCTCCATTCCTGGGCAGCCTGCGACTGAGGAGGTCACCTCTCCCCTCAGCATGTTATCGGGACTGAGTGCCTTGTCTCAGTAAGAGCCAGGCTCCCCTGGAGCTATGTCCTCTTCTTAGCTTCATATTCCTGGATATATACACTGGTCCCATATCATTCTCACCATTTCTGGGAGCTGAGTATTACAGAGTGCTTTTGGGGAAAGGTGGGTTTTTCGCCTTTCCTGCTCAGAAGTTGTGACATACCACAAGGAAGCAAAGAGCACTGGGATGGGGATGGGCTTTGTCTCACTAGAAGAGGCCACAAACTTTTTTCTATTTTATGCCATAGCTATTAAATAAGAAATTTATGTTTTAAGTTTCCTGCAAAATAGATGAGTTCCTCCCAATATTGTGTGGTGGCTCTACCTATGCTAAGAAGCTTGAAATTTCACTTTTTGATTGCAGTAACTTTTCATTTTGTTGTGCTACTTATCTTCTGCAGTTTGAGGCAGGTAAGGAGAATTTGTGCTGAGCAATCTCATCCTCTAGACTCCCTCTTCTTTCACCATTACTGGAGGATTTCAAGATGTGACTGAATTGGGTGCAAGATAATCTCATGTAGGCTCTTTTGCCAAAAAGATTCGACATGATAATGTTTTGAAGCTCATTCCAACCTCACCCGTTCTATTCTGTGATCATCTAGCAGAAGAATGGTATATTTTAATGGTACATATAATGGTATATATTTTAATCACAATGGTATATTTTAGACTTGTATTTTTCATCTGTTTTACACACACTACCATGGTAATTTTCTCTCATTTTGAATGACATTCTGGACCTCCTCTACACCTGCGATACTATTCAGTTTAGCTTCATCAACATTATTATCTGCACATTTCTGCAATACATACTGAGGCATCAAAGAAAATATTCAATCAATCTTCTTAGTCTCATAGTTCTCCTTCTTTAGACACTCTTCCATGTTACCTTTCTCATAGTAATAAACCATACTTTCTCTAGCCTTAGCATTTATGCCTTAACAGTGTCATGGAATGCTTTGATTAAATTCAGACAGATGAGATGCACCACATTTCTCATATGTGAGAGAAAAGAGCTGAGGAGAATGAAAGTCTAGAGGCTGCTGTGTTCATTAACACCATTTGCCTTCAGCAAACAGCCAGTGGCTAGAAATGTAAAGCATTTTTAAATGCAGTCATGCCTCCCTTTGAGTGACAACAGGTAACACTTCCATAGTACAACAGGCAATACCAGGCACTAAATGTGAAGAATGTATATTCTCAGTTTATTAGTAGCTTACACCACTTCTTGCTATAAAGATAAAAGAATAAAGAGTAAAAAAAAAAAATAGTGGACATGAAGTTTTAAAATACATACATTCTCAGAACTTGATATATCCATAGTTATTCTTCATTCTAGATTAAAACATTTATGAGTTGTTCATTCTTTCATTGTTCATTGAACAGAAAATTATAATCCTTTGTCTCTGGCACTTTTCTCTTTTCTCTGGCACTGGCTACACAGATACAATGCTAGTACAAGGACTATCCAGAAAACTGAATAAAAATGGCACTCATCTTTCTAGATTTGCTAAGTACAGTTAAATGATGGTGAAAGAGCAAACACTGCATTTTTATAAGAGGACAAGGATCAAATAGCCCAACAGAGTTCCTGTAAAAGTGCTTAGCAATCATCATTTAGTTCAGACTATATAATTCTGTACTGTAGTGGACTGCTTGAAAGAAATAGTAGTAGTGGACTACCTGGAAAAAATCTTTAAACACTTCATTGTAATTTTTCCCTTAATACTTTTCTATTAACAAACAAACTGAAGCTTTTCTAAGTAATTGAGCATTAGAGCCTCAAATACAATATTTTTAATGAAATGAAGGCCACTTTATTTTCAACAGATTTATAGTTTTGTTAACAGTTATTAAATGTAAAACACTAGATGGAGCAACTACCCTGCCTTAATACACCTCAGTCTTCAAAGGACATGGTATCTTTCAAATCTGAAGAAGAACATTATTTTCACAACAATGTTATGACAGACATTCCTTGGAAATATTAGGATGCATGTACAAAGTTACTTATTAACTGAAAAAGAAAGATATCTTGGGTATTATTAAGGAACAAATGTATTATAATTACATATAAATTAAATGATAAAAAGCTCTATTCTGCTTCCTATTTAAAAACCTATTCTGAATTGAATAATTTTCAGATTTTTCTATGCTGCAGAACTGACTTATGTTTTTTCTAGTGCTATGTCAGCGAAAATAACACCTTGGCAAACCTTTCACCTATATACAGGTTTTTCTACCCCAAAACTTAATGCATGTTACATGTACCTCAAGGCCTAATGTCTTATAGTGCTTTTAAGACTTCTTCTATACAGCTCTAAGTATATATGTATTTTTTCCATTCCTGGATGTAAATAAATTCAAAAAACAAAAGTCAGAATATCCCTGAATTATTCTGAAGTTTTAAAGCACTAAATTAGAAGGCAGCTTTAGATTTTGGTGAAGGAAAAAAAAAAAAGTCTCCGACTTCTTTTCTCTGCTTTCCATTACTCATGGTAGTAAGTTGCTGTAGGAGGAAAGAAAAAAACAACAGCTTCTTTACGATGCATTTAGGCCACAGTGAATTGGCACAGTGGAAATATGAAATCAACTCCTGTTTACGTAGGTCTACAGAGTCCTAAGACTTAAATTCTTCAGAGTAAACGAGACTCGTACACTTTAATTCTTTCAAACCAGTTAGAAAATAAAACTTCATAATAATTTAAAAATTGCCATTTTTTTCCTCAACTAAGCAGCTGTAGAATCCTTTGAAGTATTCACAGAGCTGCTAAACTAATCTTCTACCTGGAAACTAAGCACCTAGCACTTCAGTGCATCTTTGAGAAATCTTTCTTAAATTCACAAAATGCAGAAATCAAATCTGGAGCACAATTTTTTTTTTTTTTTTTTCCAGACTGTAGCAACGCAGACTGATGCCTACAGCTAGAGAAGTACTGAGGAATGAAGGTGAGAAAATGTGGAAGTATCATTCACCCTCATCAAAAAAAGCCCCAAACCACCTTCCTCCCAGAAGAAACTATGCAGATTCAAAATATTTTCAAATTGAGACTTTGAAGATAATATTCAGTTCATCCAGATTTAGCCATTTGAAATTTACTTGTTTAGTTTAGAGACTTTTTATAAGCAATGAAGTCAAAGACAACTCAAAAGAAATAGTTTTCCAATTTAAAAAGAAAATGGCGAGTCACTCTTTTTACATCAGATGTTTGGCTTTCTTAAATAATGGGGTTTACTAGAAACCTTACTTTTAGAATGAGCAAAAAGGAGTATGATAAATTACATGTCAGATGTCTGTATAAAGAAAAATGCCTCTAAGAATTTATGTGAGTTTCCCCCCCACCCAATGAAATACTCCTTCAATTAAAACAACAACAACAAAGATTTCTTCATACTGATTGAACCCTATTCCTCTTAATAATATATGTAGTTGTAATTTTAACACTGTTAAGGACTATTTGACAAGAAAATAACTTGCTGCTATAATTGAAGACACACTGAACTAAAAAGACATTTTCTATGAGAATAAGATATTGACTGTAGTTTCAGATTCCTCTCAGTCCTTATGTCTGCTAGCTTGGAATTCATATATTAATCTGAATATGTACATATATACATACACACACACACAAACACATATTTCTAAAACTACCACTAAAATTAGAGTTTTAAGTCTTGCTTCTACCATCATATTCTTAAGTTCAGTGCTTGAGACAATTTTACTATTTGAAGTCTTTCTTGTGACTTTAACAAGTGTTCAGTATTATTCCAAAAGTCCACTATAACTTGTATGAGTTACACAGAAAAAACACTGAAAATCACAGTACTGCACATTTCACCAAATAGTAACCCTGCCTCTAGATAACTGAAAAGAATAAAACTTGAACTTTGGAAATGAAGCACTACTTGCAGTCCAACTACTAAAAACGTAAATTCTTTAAATTTTAAAGAATTTAAAAAGCTGAAAACTTTCTTTTCTCCAAGTCGCACATGCCCTATGCAAAATATACCTACTGAGTGCAGTTACTATCATAATGACATTGACATAATGATTAACATTCTATACTACAAAATAGTTGGGATAGCACAAAAAAACACTATAATTTATCCTAAGTAAGGAAAGGTAACAGTGAGTTGGCATTTGAGTACAGAAATAGCATTTTAATTTCAAGAAATTCTGCACAGAAATATTGCAGTCAGATGACTAATTTGGCATTCTCATGCAACTTCATTATTATTCTCTCTCCATGTCTAAATGATTCTCACCTCTTCCTAATTTCCGAATCCACAAGGAGTTGCCTCTTTTTGTGAGGAGGTGGTGGTGGGAGCTCCTCTTTAGCATGCTTAACCAGGATTTGTTCCCTTGTGGTCACCATAGTGACAGTTTCCATTACAGTAGTCTGTGTTAGTGATGTCTGAGTGGAAGTGACAGCCTGCGAAACCTGTGAGAAGTATTAAAGCAGAGGTCAAACATTGTTTGAAAGATTTCAGTAAAGATCGTTTGGAATAGCAATAGAAAAATAATGAGAAACTGCTCCTGTCTAATCATCGGCTGACCTTCAGAAAAAAATAACATTATATTGAACTCAAATCAAACTGTTTTATTTGTCTCATACTATGTGATTAAGATAACCACAGAAGTCAATACCAAAATCAGACTGAATCTCAAACACAGTGAACTTATGGCTTGCTCTTATAAAATGGTGAATGAAGAAAATAAATAAATGAGAACAAAAAAGTCAATTTTATAAAGAAATTGAATAAAGAAAATGTGTGAAATATTACCACTGCTGTTATTCTGCTGCCATTCTGAAGATTTATTCCTGAGGACTCATAAAGCATTATGATGTCACTAAATTACTAGTTGCTATTTTTACCCTTTATAATAATCTTTAAACGAGAACATAGTTCACCACAACCTACTTGCACAAAAAGGCAGTTAGCTTTCTGTCATGAAATCTTAAATTAGAAAACATGCACTAGAAGACAAATAAATTTACTTCCATTTCATTTTATAACTAAAAACTAAAAGGAAGAAGTAGTAAGAGACAGCAAAACTCAAATATGTAACATGTATAACATCATGCATTTACACCAATAAAATGCATTTTATACTTTGCAGGGAAAAATGAAAACTAACGCCTAAAAAGTCCAGTTGCATTAAAAAAAAAAAAAAAAAAGGAGTGGGATGATAAACAGTACTGTCTGCTCATATCTGTCAGGATGATCTTGTAGGTCTTTTCCAACCTTGGTCATTCTATGATTCACAGTTCCAGTGACACCTGAAAACGGTTCAGGGCAGTGAAATGGAAAATAAAAGGAAGACTTTTACATCAGGTGCAGGCAAAGCTGCGTACCAGACAAGCAGTGCTTCTTATTTTATTGCTAGCATGCAATAATTACAAAGGTCTTCCAATAGAGAGACAAGAACATTAGTATCTAAAATTTCACAGTACAACATACGTAAATAATCTATTAGTTCTTGTATCAGAAACTAGTGACAGTACTGAGTAAACTTTACTTGCGACATCAGTACTTCTAAAAAACACTGAAGATGCATACTAGATATTTAACTGCAGCTCATTTCCCACTTCCTGCGCATACTGAAAAATTAGAATGATGAGGAATGAGGCGCGCTGTTAGCAACTAGGTTTCTTTTCAGCAGGCAACACCAGTAAATTTAACAAAAAACTGGAAGAAAAAAAAAAAAAAAGACTGCTTGCTTTGCTGAATATTTCATGCAGCATGCTGAATAAAGAAGTCTTGCTGATCTTTGTCCAGTCTGCCAGTGAAAATGACAGATAGGAAAGTCCACATTACTGTAATTTTGGCAATCTCATTTAAAGCAGCCAACTCAGTGCTGTGCTTTTCTCTATATAAAGTGCAGCAGTCTGAACTTCAGAGAAAAATCTGAACAAGTCAGAACACTACAAAATCAAGATTCAAAGCGGATGTTTTCTAAAATCCTGGGATTAATCATATCAATTGTAGTAAGCTGTTTGTGAACTGTGACAACTTAGTTAACATATGAACTACATAAATTATGGGGAAAAAACGCCACTTTTTATCACTACAATATTATCTATTAATATCCTTGATTTCATTCTCTCAGCAAGATGTGCTGACTGATATTTTCAACTACAGAAATCTCCAGTATAAGGAAACACTTCAGCTTAGTTTTATTAAGATTTAATACAGCATTCTTTGCAACATTTTTAAAATTAATTTTATTTCGGGACAGAAAGAAAGAGCATGTTAAAGTTTCTGAGATCTAGGGTTCTGTGCAATGTCAGGATAACATCTGTTCCTTGGTTGTCTCTGCAGCTAAGAGCACTCCAAATCCTTCTTTGCTTTGTATATGCAGCTCTGACTTCAGCCTCCTTTTCCTCTTCTCACTGTATTCTTTTTGCACTCAGTTTTATCTAAAAGTCGATGATAGGATGTTTCTGACACTTGAGGTCACATCCTGCCATGTTCCATTTGCCAGTCAATATCAGGGTACAGTCTACACTGAAGCAAGTGTAAAACAGAATAAATCACACCTAGGGTACTGTAGGAATCATCTGCAGCACCCTACCAATTACACAGTAGCAGCAGTTCCAGCTGGTGATTTGGAACTGTGCTTCAAAAGCAGGCAGTGTAATTACCATATGCTCAGAGCAGTCAAGTCACGATGCTGTTGGGAGTAATGATTTACATGTCAAAACAGTAAGGAAGTACTTTTCATGCTTAATCAATAGGAGTAGAGGTTAAATACTATATATTTCAAAATGAAATTGCAGAGATGAATTTGATGTTCATAATCATTCTAATTACAGAGAAGGGGGAAAGCTAGAAGGTACTGAACACTACATTGCAAGGTGAAGTTCAGCAAAATGGTACACATTTTAAAAATGCACATACTAGAGGGTAAAGGAAAATCCTTAAAAATATAAGAAATTAGCACTGAAATGGTTTGTTTCACGTATAATTCAAGGACAATCCAAATAATGACAGTACAGTTTCCTTGTCTCTTTAAGTTTGTGACAGGCATATATGAATCTGAGAAGGAGTGATACAGACTGGGCCGTTAACCCACTAGAAAATCATACTGGAAGTGCTAAGGTGACTCACAAAGCTGCACTTTAAAAGGCTTCCAAAATACAATGCTTGCCTTCAGTTTCACATCAGTAAGCTCATCTTAGAAACATGTTAAAAGTCATCTTTTTTTTTTTTTTTTTTTTTTTGGGAATGGACACATTTCAATCTTCCTTTTCATCTTCTGCAGATAAAGGTATATACAACATGTGTGTAGTAGTTGAGTAGTTTTATGATGTTTTATTTCTCTTTTATATGGCAGCCTACCTTTAATGACATCATTTATTGCTGCCTTTGAAAATGTCCTGAGTCTTGATATAGTCATAATTTTCCTTAACACTCGCTTTTGGAGCTGTCATGAGTTCTTTGATAAAATGTATGTATGCAAGTAAGGAAGCTCAGATGAAGAATGGCATTTTCTTTACTTCGGGAAGATTTTCAGTACAATGTAGTGAAGCATAATGAGCTCACTAAAGGGGAGTTTAGAGTTTCTTAAAGTTATACATCTACTCTATAAAAGTTGTCCTTGTCCTTGTTTCCAGTGTGTGTTCAATGAAAAAAAAAACAGGCACTTTCATGATGAAAATAAACTGCTTTTGAGGGGTGCCAGTCTCTCTCATCTATGCCATCCATCGCAGAAGCAGCTTCAGCCATGAGTTCAGACTGGATGCTTCAAATTCACAGCAATGAATTACCTAAACGTAGGAAGACTTGCATTTTACTTTATGCACATTTCTTTTGGGATTTATAACTGTTCCACGTATAATTAGACAATCAGCTTTGATCTAAGGCTGAGATATCCATATAATTTCTTATTTTGCTAGCCAGTTAATCATTTAGTGACACTTTAGTAAGAGAGAGAGAGGAAATATGATAAAAAAATACAGTTAAGAAGGTACTATGAGAATCATTAATGAAACAAAAAAGTTAATTTTGAAGTCTGTACCCATGTTGAAAGAATAAAATCTGCATTTTCTGATGATTTTGGAGAAAAATTATATATTAACTGTTACCATCTTCTCTCCTCTCCAGTTCACAATTAGATGAAATAAGTAGATGTTCTAGAGGCATTTTCTTCCTGCCTGTACATGTAAATAAGCTCCATAACAAATAGAGCACGCCAACAATATCTGCCCTGCCTCGGTAGAAACACATGGCAATAAGTACATTATTATTATTTCATAGTGCAGAGGTAAATGCAAGGATATACCTCAATTGTGTAACAGCGCTTTAGAGTTAGCAATGAATATCAAATATCTCCAGAATTTGAAGCAATATGCCCACATCAGCATACCAGCTCTCTGCCAAGCAAAGTTGCTTCTCCTCAGAGAAGTGTGGCATTATGATAACACTGTTACACTGTTTTGGAAACCCAAATAGTCTCCCACCTGTGCTCCATTATGATTTATGGATGTACAGCCTCAGGACTTCACAAGAAGACTGGTTTTGTTTTGTCATCTTGGTTCCATTTTCAAAATTGAACTTACTTGCTTTTAGGACTAATTAATAATCTAAACGTTTTAATATTTTGGACTGTTTTCAAAAGCTGTGTTTATTTTTTCCCAACCCATCGTCACTGCAGGTTATAGAAATTTTATGGATATAAGACACCAGCAGCCTTTATTATATACCTACTAGATAGTACTCTACAATCTCTTCAGGAGGATGTAGAGTATTAATTGAAATGTTTTTTAGCCTATTAACACAAACGTGTCAAAATAAATGAAGATATGCATCCTTCAGGGAGTGTAGATGAGTATACAAAAGCTGGATTTAAGCTACCTTCCAATTAAACTTTCAAACTGACTTTAAATGTTTTCATGGAAAGTGTGGAACTCACATAACATTATGAATACATGTTTTAAATATTGGTCTTACAATGAAGACAAATATTTTAAGACATCTATGCTATTAATATAGTTTTGAAAAAGAAATTAAGTGACAAAATATGAATGCAGACATTATTTATAGAAGTACATCAATGTAATGTCTGTATTATCCAGAACACTGATTCTCAAAGAACAATTTATAGGACATGGACAACTTGTAATAGATTAAGCAGCCTCTTCATGGTTCCTTTTTCCCTGTATTCATTGCATGTGTTTTATGCAATTTCTACTTCTCTCACTTTGGTAGGCAGCTTACTCAGTTCTAGCACACATAGTTTATTTAATAAAACTTTAACATGCCTATAATTCCTGTTGTTATGACTTATTCTAGTATTATGAAATAATAGTAAATGAGAAAAGTTATGACACTGTCAAAATCAGAGAGGTTAAAGAGTTGATTACTAGCAATATTTTACAAATATATGAGAATAAGAAAACATTTTGAAGCTTGAATAATATTGTTATTTAAAAGAAGCTACTGAGCTCCTTTTTACATATGCAAGAACACGTACCTGAATAACATAAGTATCATGCAGGCTGCAATTAATACTGTTCTACAGTATTTGCCCCTTTTATGAGACATGACAGTTGTAGGCATCCATGAAGAAGTACTAACTTCTTGAAATCACATGACCCAAGCTGTCCCAAATTCAAAATTCTGGATTTTCTTTTGTGTAAAACTACATGTTCCTTATTGTAAATATTCGTGAGTTAAATCAACTGTTACAAATGCTCTAAAGAACAAACTGCTTTTTACTTCTATTACTACTCAAATAACTGTCATACAAAAATAACATAATATAAGAAAGTGGAAGAAAAAGTGATCAGATATGGTTTTGAATCAAACAAGAGAGAGATGTTGACAAATGGCTAGGAAAGATGAATGGATACATTTTTGAATATTATACCAGAGCACTTAGTTTTGTTATCCAGTTAAAAAAATGAGAAATTTTAAGCCACATTTTATTTTTTAATATTATGGTAAACAGAAAGGAGCAGGATGGAATAGTAACAAATGGCAGCTTATTTTTCCCTCAGGCACTTGTGCCAAAAGGACAGTTCTCTTTATTTTTTCAAGCTTCTCTTTCTATGGCCTTTTAATATAGGAAAGAGTTAAATATAAGCAAAATTAAAAATGTAACCATAAAAGCACTGCTGAAAATAAATAAAAATAGTTGTTGTTTAGCTAGTGAACAGTTTTTAACACTAATTTCAGACTGTTATTCCACAGACAGCCATAAAAACAGCACATTTGAAGTGACCAACTATTACAGATTAAAAATAAACTAACCGAATATTTCCATTTTGGATTCCACCATCCCTGAAAGCACAGTTAAGAACCTGAGTAATCAACATAGTGAAGATAGACAAAAAATTAAAGAGATACCTAACATTCTGGGGTTATATTGCAGTTGTATCATGCTATCCTAAAAATTGTGTCTTAAGTAATCACAAAAGAAAAAATAAAAAAGTAACAAACAGCACCAAAACTACAGCAAGCATCTGACTGGCACAGGATTTGAGTGTCAACAACTGACAAAACAGTTTGACGAACCTGCTTAGAATTGCTCTCCAACTTCTGCACAAGGCTATCCCAGCGCTGGGCAAAGTTTTCAAGTCGGCTTTCCAGCTTCTGAGCGACTGCTTTATTTTTCACAGCTACATGGAGGTCTTTGCTGAGTGACTTCAGCTTACTCATCATTTGTCTTTTCATTTCTATATCTCCTTTTAGGATCTGTTAAACAAAGCAACAGCAGGAAGACAAGTAATTCAGACAGAAGCAAAACAAACAAACAAACAAAAAACACCTTAGAAAGAAAGGAGCACCTAGAAGGTACCCTACAGAATCATACAATTGCCCTAGTTGGAAGAGACCCAGAAGGATCGTTAAGTTCAATTCTAGGCAGCACAAAGCACCACCCAAAATTCTAACTCTGTGTCTGAGAGCACTGTCAGACACTTCTTGAACTCCAGGAGTTTGGTACTGGGCCCACAGCCCACACCCCCAGCTGCTCCTCCCCTGACGCAGATCCATGCCATTCCTTCTGTCCCTTTCTCTGTGAGGAGCTGCAGCGACCATGAAGGCTACCCTCAGCCTACTCTGCTCTGGGCTGAACACACCTAGAGACCTCATCTACTTCTCATATGTCTCGCTCTCTGTATGCGTCACCATTTTTGGACCCCTCACTGGAGGATCTCCAATAGTAGTTTTATTTTCTTCTTATATTGAGACGCCCAAAACTGCACCCAGTGCTGGAGGTGAGGCTGCAACAGTATAGAGCAGGGAGGGGCAACCCCTTTCCTTGACTGTTTGGCAATGTTGATTTTTATACATTCCAGGATACAGTTGGCCATTTTAGCTGTCTGGGCACACTGCTATCTCAGGTTCAATTTGCCATCAGTCACACCCCCCATGTACCTTTCTGTGGGCCAGCTCTTCAGCCTCTCATCCCCCACTCAATGCATGCAGCCAGGGTTGCCCCATCCCAAGATAAAAATTTGTGACTTGCTTGTGTTAAACTTCATGCTTTTGGTGATTGCCCAGCCCTCCATTTGTCAGGATCTCACTGCAAGGCCTCTCTATGCTCAAGGGTATCAACAGCTCTGCCCAGTGTAGTAACATCTGCAAACTTTTCTAAGTATACCTCAAAATCTTATATTCAACACTGACAAAAACATTAAAAATAACTGGCCCTAAAACATAGTCCTAGGGAACCCTACCAGTCACTGGCCGCCAATCTGATGTAACCCCATTTTCTATAATCCTTTGAGCCCAATTGTTTACCCATGTATTTAACTAGCTGGACATTTAGTTCAAATGGATACTGTAAAAAACAGTACTGAAAGCTTTAATGAAATCCAACAAGATTACATCCATTGGCTTCCTTTGGTAAAGAAGGGAAAATGGGCAAGAATGCTTTTCACAAACTCCAATACCTCTGCGCTTTTGTACTGTAAAAACTGCTGGTGAAGCTGACATAGAGGAATGGACAGATTGCACTTCATAAAGCAATATAAAATGACAGGTGGAGCAACTCCAGACACAAAAGCTTGCTTCAGGTAGTGATATAAATCAAAAGAACTAACAGCTGTGTGGCTTTATAACCTTTAAACTGCATGAATATTAACAACTATATCAACATTTCAAACAAAGGTTCTTAAAAGTTTTGTGGTATTTTCCATACAAAGCATATTAAAAACAGGGAGGGGAAAAAAAAAAAAAAAAAAAAAAAAGATTTCTAGAAAAACATTTAATCCCTAAGTATGATGAAAAAAATGAAAGCACTGAAGGAAAATGATAGGATCATCTCAGAGGTCTTTTCCAAACATGCTAATTCTATGACTCTACAAAAATAGCTTAGTTCTGTCAGGACTGGAGAACCATATATTCTGCATCTTCCTGAGATCTTGACAAGCCCTGGTTATGCAGCAGTCGTATCTCCTGAGGAGTCCAGAAGTCTGGAGAGTCCTGGGAGCTCTATTAAGTGTGCAGATGACACAGCCAACCAGCTGAGAACCTGGAAACTCCAGTGTACAACCTCTTTGAGTCAGCATTCAACCGGAAGGCAATCCTACTGATCACTACCACCTAATAGTCTCTTGCGATAGTTTCAAATAACCTGTACAACCATACTGGAGGATTCTGTTTTCACATTTTCTTACTGAAACTTGTCAGTGTTTTATACCAATGAATACATTTTAGTTTTTATTTTTTCCAGTACAGGAAGAGACCTTGAGCTAACAACATTTGTCATTTAACTGTCGGCAAGAGAATAAACAAGACTGTTTGATTTTTTAAAATTAATTATCAAATAATTCAGTCATAACTTCTATCAAGTGCATATTGTAAACTCCAGTATCTGAACATTATAAATGTTCAGAAGCAATTTCTTTATCTCTGAATATTGCACTTTCATAAGTTTATTTTCAAATTTTTACTGTAGTTATTGTTTCGCTTTTTTAAAACATTGCCAAAAGCATTCTTTAATCAATGTAATATTCTAATGAGCAACAGCTGTTCTAAAATAACTGTTTGGTTTCTGAGAGATTTATTCTAGTAAGAATTAGTGTCAACAAAGTGTCTTATTTATTTCTTCTAAGAAAAAATTTGCATTAAGTGAATCAAGTGAAAATCTAAACATACGTTAATTGAATTAATAGAATTCATTTATTGAATTAACTCTTCACATATCTTTTCAGTAGATTTCAGCATGTTTTATGAAAAAGAGTAGCACCACTGCCTTTATTTTATAGAGGCTTCAAAACTTAAGTGCAGGACACGCGAAAAAAAATGACCTTCGCTTCACTACAAACTCCTTCGAGGTAATTGTAGAGAGCAGTAAGGTCGTCCTTGAGCTTCCTTTTCTCAAGGCAAAATAACCTTAGTTACCTCAGCTACTCCTCATAAGACTTGTTCTCTAGACCATTACCAGCTTTGTTGCTCTTGTCTGGACACAAATTTACTTTTTGGTATATTTCCAGCAAATTCTGGAAGGTACCAAACTAGTCATTTTTTATTTGACAAAATAAGTAATAAAAACTGTTCAAAGAGAAGACTTTAGTTCCTAGTTACAGTAATAATCTACCCACTTTAACAAAAGCATAGACATGAATGTTTGCTATCTACTGCATGCATAAAAAACTGTTATTTTGCATAAAAGAATGCCTAACAATTTACTTTCTTTTCAAATGTCCTATTGCTATAGAACCATTTCCAAGCCTAGGATGTGCCAAGTATCACATCTTTACAGAAAGGCATACTTCTAAGCCAATCTGAATGACATTCTTTCCATAAAGATGATGAATTCTAGAGTATTTTCTGAAGAATGAGGTAGAATATGTGGTGAAAAGAGTATATTTTACATATGTAAGTAGATTCCTGTAACACAGGGATGGTTAAAAGATAATACTAATTCAATCCACAAACTTTTGACCAAAGAGACAACCTAGAAGCGTATCTGTCCTTACCGAGTACCTTATCAGCAATACCATGGACCAATTAATTACTCACACAGAAGATAACATCCATTCTCAGAAAAAGAAATACATATTCCATTAAATCATATTGTCTAAGAGAGGATAAAACCACTCACACACTGATTCATGGATGGAAAAACTGAGCACAATATAGGTCAATTAAAAAAATACATACAGCTAATTTGCGTAGACTAGTCAGCATCTCATTTTCATCTTTAAAGTCGCTTGTCTGGATTTTGCTAAGTGCATCTTCTTTCTCAGTAAGCCACGCATCAAAAAGGCACTGAAAGAAAATTGGAGAGAGCAAGATGAAACAGCCCCAGTTGGGCCGTTCCTAGTACAGTTTCAGGAAGAACATTTCAGTTTGTAACTACTAACAATACTCACCTGCTCTTCTGCAAAGTGCTGCCATTTTCTAAGAATATCTTGCAAAAGGACCCATCGATCTTCTGTCCATCTGCAGATGGCTGCCCACCGGCTTCCGAAGTGCTAGAAAGAAAGAAAAAAATAATACAATAAATGTTCATTTATACCTTTTAAAACAAAGGAATCTGATCTTCCTGTGCCCTTATAAATTTTTTTGAAAATATTTTGGTAACTCACTTTTTATAATTTTATGTTCTTAAAATACATTTCATGTTACGCTGAAATGGATTTTACCACTGATCGAGATAAGACTCAAATGGAGAGAATAGGAAAAGAAACAGAGCTGGAAAGAAGGAGAAAATTTTAACACTAGTATAAAGACATCTTTTTCCATTAAATCTCCAATACTATGCTCTCTCTCTCTCTCTCAAAAAAAAAAAAAATAATAATAATAATAATAATCTGATTTATTTTCTCCTTTACAATGTTGTCATAGGAGAAAAAAATCCTAGAAGCTAACATTAGCATACATTTACATACACATGAGGTTTTCTGTATACTTATAGCATATGCATTTTAAAACTGTGAAAAATGCTATGTTGTTCTCTTTCATTTATTTTAAAGAAAACATTACCACATTATTTAGTTTTCCTATTAGTCTTCATTGAAAAAATGCCTGGTTAGGACTACAGCTGTGATCATGCATGTCACTATAAAACTTCTATTGCAACAATCTACAATAATTTTATTACACTTGAGCACCATATGCAAAATTTTCAGCTCCTTCCAAATAACAAGTCTTTTAAAATCTGTAGAATACAGGATATTATCATATATTATTTTCCACCTATTTCTATTGCATATGTATTAACAAAAGGAAAAATAGTTGTTTTTCCCCCATTTTCTTATTTGTTCATATTTTCTCTTTTTCGTATTTATTTTTAATAGGACTATGATTTAATTTTGGCAAAAACAAAATCAAAAAACGAATTTTTGAAATGGATTAAAATGATACATCTAATTGAATTACATATAAAAGAGACATTTCTCTACTTTCTATCAAGAATGTAAATTCTATTTTGTACTTCATAGGAACTGAATGGTAAAACTACAGGTTACTTGAATTTGTGGCATTAACAATGTTATGTCCAAGTAAAAAGTAAGCAGATTCCATATATTTCATTTACTGAAGGTTCAAACCATAATAAATCTTACAGATTAAAAAAAAAAAAAAAGAAAAGAAAAAAAAGAAAAGTGTTTATGGTGACATTCAGTCTGATCATATTAGATAATTGCTCAGTTTAGAACACTGAAAATCATCTCTGATCAGCAACCGCAATAAAGCTAAACCATGACACAGCTCAACATTGTTGCAAACTGATAAGCATCCCATTTCAGCCACTCACTTTATTACGAGGTAGGTTTTGAGAAAGTAGGTTTTGAAAAGAAGCTTTTTTGTTTTCTTTAGGCTTAGCATTAAGGATCACGGTTTTCATTTATGTTCGGAATTATATAATGGGTACTTATTCTATTTCCTAATAAGACCTAGAGCAAACTCAATTTTTCAAGTCTAAGAACCACATTTATTTTATATTAAAACAAATTTTAGTGTAAATTTGTCATTAAAAAGTGATCAAAAACTTCCAATTCAAAGACACAAGAAAGTTCAAGTTACGAACATGAATATTTCAGAAAGCTTATTTCCATATCAACAGAAAAAAGTAATTACTGGTGAAAGACTTTTGCCTTCAACAATGAAACAGTAAAATATTTTACTTGCTCATTTCACCCATTCATCATCAAATGATTTTGTCAAATTCCATGATACAGAACCGTTGGGGAAAAAAAAAAACACCTGACAACCAGCCAAAAAAATTATTAAAAAAAACACACTAATCTTCCCTTTATTGAAAATTATTGCTCTCAACTCTTTCAAAGGGTAGATAACAGTAGCACAAGAGGAAACGGTTTTAAGTTGAAGGAGGGAAGATTTAGGTTGGATGTCAGAGGGAAGTTCTTTACAGAGAGAGTGGTGAGGTGCTGCACAGGCTGCCCAGAGAGGTTGTGGATGCCCCATCCCTGGAGGTCTTCAAGCCCAGGTTGGATGGGGCTAGTATTAAAGTTGGAGGCTGGCAACCCTGCCTGCGGCAGGGGGTTGGACATCCAGGATCATTCAAGTCCTTTTCAACCCAAGCGATTCTATGATTCCATGCTTGCTAATTACTAGTTCAGAAATCACAAACACATGGTCCAGATGCTTCTTCTTTGAAACTGTCTTTCCTTATAATTCCCACAATTCAGAGTGATTATTATTGGTCAACTACTAATAACATTGTAATGATTCAATAAAGTTATATGAAGGGCCTGTTTGTCATTACTTAGCAAGGTCCAAGTCAAAATACTACACCCATTTTTCCCCACTAACATAGGATAAAAATCTATCTATTTTTAAAATCTCTATATACACATGGTAAGGTGAGCCACATTTGGTTGCTTTGGTGCCTCATGGTCTGATTTACAACAAAGTTTCTGAATCCTAATTATAGACTACATTTTTAAAATATACTTGAAAATTTTACTAAAAGATTTATAAATCATCCCAAAGACCTACAGCAAAACTTCTGGCACCTCTGATTTAAATCAGTGTTGTTAGGAAATTCTTCTCATGACCAGACATGTCTTCGTTGCTAATAAAGATTTAGATCTAAATAAATTATACAGCAGAAAATTAAATCATAATTAAAAGTATTTCAAGCTGATACAAACTCTGATAGTCCAGTACTTATATGAGACAAATGGTAATACATGAGATGTACTGAAAAATCTTATTTTCAAAGAATTAGAATTTGATTTTTATTCACTTCCTAAATGCTGGTTAAAAAATATAAATATTTCCTTTTCTAACCTCCTTTCAAGGAGAACAGCCTAAGTATTCCCTGTTAGAACAGAAAGCAAACTAAAATACATGTAAGGTACGTTCCCTGTCCCCCCTTCCCTTCCCTTCCCTTCCCTCCCCTCTAATAAACTCATTGATTTACGCACTAGATAACATATTGGTCAGTGCATAATGCTTATTTCACTATATGTCTCAAAAGCACCACAAAACATAACCTATTTTTTTGCCTCAATGGTATGACAAAACCTTATATTTTAATAACTGAAATGACTAAGCACACTGATAAACGGGTTGATAGCCCAAATTACCTTAAACCTATTATTTTTTATGAGAGTTGACATGAATGTGTTCAACTGCTCAGTTGGAAAACTTTAAGACAAAAAGACGTAAGTCCAAAATATCATGTGAGTACTTTCTCTAAAGTGGATACTGACTGAGAAGTGGATACTGAATGAGAAGGTGCTCAGTTTTATCCCCTTTTTTTTCCCCATCAAATAGTACCCAAAGCTGTAGGTAGCCTCCGTGATGTCTGGGAAATCAGGCTGCATCACAGGTTTTGCTCCCAATACCTGGAAAAATAAATCTCCAGAGAAAAAGTAAAATGCCCATTTGCTCCTTTGAAATGCCTATTTTATGGTCCTAGCTGGAATTTTCAGAGAAATCTACATATAAAAGAAACTTTTCATATGTTGAGAGGACTCTGAAAGAATGTCCTTTACGCAGAAGATAAACAGAAGATAAAACAGTCTGCAAAAAGGTCAAAATAAGCAAGTACAAGAACAGGATAAAGTGAATAGAAACAATGCAACTCTCGGGAACACTGAAGTGGATGTATAAAAAACTGAAAAAACAAGACTGAAGCTTGCAACTAATATAAAAGGATTTTTGAAAGACACTTGTTTTAATGAAATAATGCTATCTACTCCTTAAAGTAAAAAGAAATTTTGTCCATATGCAAAATCATTTTTTAAAAAGATTTAGCAGATTCACTGAATTTCCCCTGTGCAGCTATAAGCAGAATGTGCATATATATATATATATATATTTTTTTTTTTTAAGAAAACTTCTTTACTTATTTTGAAGTACTTTTACAAGAACTAGACATACATCATCATCAATCAAAGAATAGCACCAGATGAGTATATTATCGACCACAAAATTATACTCTCCATTCCTTTCCTTCAGTAGCCATCAAGAACCATTTGATGCATCAAATGCAGATCTCATTCCAGTATGGAACCCTGAGGCCTGTGGAGAGCTCTAATTTCAACTAGCCTACAAGAGTCCTTGAGGGACTGATTGTCTACTGGGTATAATTAGAGTAAAAATTTCATACCTTCTGGGCTTTTTTCACGTCATTCAGTGATTTATCTCAGCTGAAGGCAATTTCCCACACTTTCTTGAGAAATAAGTCAGACTACTGCAACAGATTGGGTAGTATAGTCCTCTGATTTTTCAGCACTAAATTCAGATTTAGGTCTTATGCAGTAGCTTCCTTTCTGGTAAATCTTGGGATTGAGACCATTGGGATCTAGAAGCTACCTATCTAAATAGCCAGATCTCAACACCAGCACAAACACACAGAGCCTCACAAAATGTCACTCAGATAGGTCAAGTAAATAATGTTAAGTATAAAAAGATAAATTATTCACACTCAACCAGGCTAGCTATGATCTCTCAGACTACCTTGGGAAAGCAACTTAAGAAGAGGTGTTTACTTTTCTTTTCCATGCAATGTGAACTTATCTATGTGTAATTTGTTTGAGGGGACGCATTTGACTTCTGTGTCATTAACTGATTCTTAAGTAGGACTCAGATTTTTGGCACATGCAATAAATCTGAAGAGCTTCTACAGCACTCATTTGAAACCAGCGTAAATTCCTGTCAGCCTGTTGAGACTTTTACAATATGTAAAGAAATTCTTTATATTGTTTTATACAGATACATGTACAAATATATGTATTTATATTTACAAAGACATATACACATATAGATACATACACATGCATATATGTATATACACAAAAATATTTCAGAAATCACTACCTTGATATTCTAGGAAAAAGCCAGAACTGATTCACCGCTGCTTTGAAAATGCAGTCTCAACTGCTATCTGGCAAAATGGTTCACTGTCTTTCAAATCTGATCCTGACCAGTATCTCATTCAGGCAGCCTTGGTAAGCCTTTTGTCTGCCAGTGGAACACACTTGTTTTGTTTTGCTTTTAAAAGTGAGACTGGCAGGTACATAATCAAGTTATGAGCTTTGCTCCATGGTACTTCTGACAAATGCTCTGATAGGTGCGCCTGCCAACACAATCTCTCTCCTGTGATTATATATTCAGTTTGCAAATGACGTGGGAAAAAAAAGATATATAAACAATCTTTTCATACACACAGGAGAGGTAATGTAACATTTGGCAGGACAGCAGGTAGACCGTTGTTTTCCCTGGCATAAAGGAAAAAAAATATTACAGACCTCCCTAATACCCTAAGCAACATAACTTTTTGGCTGTATTTAGTTTTTATTAACACTTCTAACAGTGTTACAAACTCTGTGACTTCAGAGCAATGAGATTATTGAACTTTTCTTTCAGATTTCTCTTTAAGAGAGTATGAGTGAAGGAAGGAGCCACACAGCAGCTGGATTGTTTTATACCACCCCATACTCTACTCAGTGCTCCGCTTCTATATAGGTTTCCTCAGGAATTCCCTTGCTGGCATCATTTCAGGAATATATTTCCTCAATGACAGTAACAATTGTTCATGCTTTATCTCAATAGCAAGCACCTTCTCTACTAGTATCCTTACAAACTGACTATTTCTGTTATGCTCCATACACGCATGTTATTCTTTAAGCTTTTTTAACTGGATAAACACATCATAGTAATGAGCAATTTCTGTTTATTGAAACTGCGAATAAGCTTTTTATTCCATAGCCCTGTGTAGATTCTCATAAAACAGTTTATGAATTCTCATAAAATTGTTTCAATAGATCGCAAAATTAAAAATATTAAGACTCCCCAATCATTTTTACTGATGCTTACCTCAGTCTGAGTTTCCTGTGTGTTTTCATACTTGAGGTTTGTTGCAAATGCCTCTTCTATAGGGCTTTGAATTCTACATCACAATAGTAAGACTAGAAAATCTTCTCCTATCAATCCCTTTTTTAAATTGGCTGACTTTTTCCTCGTAAGGAATTTAAATAATCAATTCTGCCTCTTGTGAGGGTAGAGGGTGTAACTGTGACCTTACTGAAGAACATTATTGTCTCTAGAATGTAAAATTAGATTCAATTTGCAGTAATCCCCACTTTTTATTTTTTTCCTGCACTTCTCAAAAATATCAGTTGTATATCTTCTAATTTGTGAAGCATAACAAATATCAAATGCCTTAAATAATTTTCACTTTTTTTTTTTTTTGTCATACTTTACCATAGCTTTCTCTGAAGGAATCAGGTTTGCAAACACAGAACAGTATCTCAGTTAAACTTTTTCCTATTTGTTTTTTAAATTTTATTTCATTTTCCCCCCTTCCATTCCATTTTCCTTGTTTAGTTAACCTTCTAAAACCACGAGTTTGCAAGGGATCTACTTTACTCCACTGAAGAGAATATGAATAGTTACCACGACATTCTGAAATACCAGTCTTTCTTGCATGGTTGCAATATTGAAAATAAATTTAAAAGGAAATAATAATTGATATTCAGTATAGACTCAATTGTTTCCTTCCCTGGGTTGTGCTCCCTGATGTAGAAGCAGTTTGTGGTCTCAGTATTAATCAGCTTAGCCAAATGTGTACTATCTACACTAATTCCCATACTAATTACTAATTTATTGAATTTACTAGGATTGGTATCCAAATCAGCTAGATTTTAGACAGCACAAACATCTGTCTGTTATACAGACATGCCTTCCAGCTGAATGTATTGAGAGTTTCTCTAGAGAAATCTTGGCCTTTAATGATCCAAAAAAGCACAAGCCTGTTTATTTTTGTTCAGTAAACCAAAATGAGGAAAACTACTTTATCCTTTCTAAAAAAGATAACTGGAAGAACCCTTGGTTCTAACACTAATGTACTTCTTGTGCATGATCTGGACATCTGATGACATATTTAGTTATACCCTTCTTCCCAATTCCAGTCAACATGTCTCAATACTGTGTCTAAGTTCATTGAACAGCTATAGTAAGAGCACTGCATTTATGTATTTTTCTTTTAAGGTGAGAGACTTTCTTAAAACAAAAGGTAAAGTTTAACCATTTCTAGACCATTTAGGTTGCTAGCTCTGTCATAAATACGTCATCGGTGCACCATGGGATATTCAAACAATTTTATTTAAAAAATGGAACATCAAAAAGTCTGTTGCTTAGACTTTGCATTAAAAAGCAGTGAAGAATGTTTGGATTCAAAGACAGACATTATGCTAACTTGTCCCAGCCCTGGTGCTCTAGGAAGCCCTGCCACAAGAATCCTAAGCAAGAAACAATTGATAAAATATGTATACAGAAGAGGATGAAACAGAGGATGAAACAGAGAAATGAAACAAAGGAGAGACTGAAATAATTCTCTTTGTTTCTTAGAAAATATGTTCAAGTGAAACTAATGGGAAATGCTAACTCCAAAAAAGTGGTTAAAAAAACCTACATGTTCTTGATATTTCTGCACAAACTTTATTCACTTAGGCAACTCTTCATATATTGGCGTTATTTTTTTTTAATTCACATATTTGGTTTCACTTATTTTTTAAAGGTCTCTTTAATTCCATTTTTTTTAAGGCTCTTTTAATTTGATGGGGTAAGTATTAGCATTAAAAAAAGCCATACACATATTGGGTAACATTTAAAATGAATGTGCCTTTAAGCATCTGAGAGTTGATCACGACATTTTTTGTACCATAATACCAAAATACAACACATGCAAAAGTTTCCAATCAGAAGAAAAACCTTTTCTTTTCAGTAAACTCACACTCTACTTGTAATGTTGTTATGTCCTTCTCTTAAATATAACAGATAATTCTGCTACTTCTGTCAGGATTAACGGAATAAAGTTAAGAAACAAAAGACGAACACTTGTCCTTAGTCTTGAGTATAAATGAAATGTGTTAATAATGAAGGAAACAGAAAACATAAAAAAAAGTTACTCTATTTGTTATTTTCCGCAAAATACTTGCATTTCACTGACATATAAACGTCATTGGCTATAGAAATGTTTAAGATCATAATCAGAAAAATCTTTTGAGATATACCTCAATGCTACAAATATTTCTTATTTCACTTAAAGCCACTGACAGCTTTCTCTCTGAGACCTAAGTTCACTTCTATCTCAGTTCAGTTACCTGAAGCTGCTCTTCCAGTGCAGCCGTTGCTTTGTCTCCACTGTTTTCATCCACCACCACCACCATATGGGTTAGAGAGTTCACCTTCACTTGCTCCTGTTCCAAGTCATCTTGAAATGCCTATAATTAAAACACAAATTTACGCAAGAAAATTTATTCCAAATTAAGAAAATGCTGTGTGCTTGAAGTCTCACTAACAAATACAAGTAACTAACCCACTACAATAACCTTGTAATCCTATTGCTGTCAATATTAAATATATTCAAATGTATTTTGTTAATGAATGCTAGCATAAGCATATTCTGTAGACTTCTATTCCTTTCAAGAATAGCTTATTTTATTATTACACGCTCACAAGGCATAACTCTTATAGAACTTCAGACTGAAAATGTGGCCTGTGAAAATATGTGTTGAGTTGATATAGTTGATTATTTACAGATATCATTAAAGTATCCATACGTAGCAATAGCTCTGCCCATTTTAAAGAAACATTAGGTTGGGTTGTGTACTTTGTAACAGCATATTAAAACATTGTAATATTTCAAAATGTATAAAGTATTTAAAAGGATGCATTTTTTTTCATTAAACACATGATTTTTGGCTGCACACTTCTTCATTAACAACTTACTGTGAAAGTACTCAGGAGGTGACTCAAGATAGGAAATATATGTGGCACCCTCATTTCAGTTATTGCGATAAAATAAAATAGAATTAAAAAAAAAAACAAAAAACTGGGAGAGGTACTTTACAATTTCTGAATGCCTGAGGAAAAATTGTCTTGCCCTTTCAACTTTGGTATCCAGCATTCTACTGCAGTAAAACTTGGGACAGTTTTAGCTGTGAAATACTGAACTGCTAAAAGTGAAGAAATGTCTATCTATCAAATTTGCACAAACTGGCATTCTCAACTTTGTCAAATTTGTACAACTCTTCACACTTGTTTGACCCTCCCACAATTTCCCAGACTTCATGTAATACATCTAATCAATTGTTCCTTCTCTTCTCACAGTGCACAGAGAAGGGCAGTGAGAACTCTCCTACATCTTCACTCTCTGGCAGAAAACAGTCTACATAATTTTCACAAAACATGTGATCTATGTTAAAAGACAAAAAAAAAAAAAGTGAAGAGAAATGAGGAAAGGAAGTAAAGGATTTAAGTTACTGAAAGGTACAGTGCTGCACAAACATCCTCTTCATGGGTTTTATTGTCTCTTTTTTTGTCTGCACTTCCCTTGAAAGATGGACACTCTACCTTCCTGCAGTTTGTTAACAAAAACTGAAACTGAACTTGACAAGGGATGTGAAAAACAAGAAGTAGGGATTCTAGTTTTACATTAGTTGGAAAAGAAAAGCAAGGAGAGTTTACCACCTTTGAAAAATTAGAAGGGAAGAAATGGCAACAACAGACATGGAGAAGGCTGAGGTACCCAACAAGTTCTTTGCCTGATTCTTCAGTGTTTGTCAGGCCTCCCATACCTATCATGTCCCTGAACTTCTATGCAGGAGCTGGGGGAACCAAGTCCCTCCCACTGTAAACAAAGTGCAAGTTTGAGACCAACTAATGAGACTGAATGTGTACAGATCTATAGAACCTGATCACATTCATTCCAGGGACCTGAAGGAACTGACATTTGGTTTTCAAGCCACTCTAAACCATATTCAAAAAATGGAAAATGTAAGGTGAAATTCTCTGGTCTGGAAAAAAGGAAATATTATTCCTATTTATAAGAAAGGTAGAAAGGAAGAAAGATCCAGAAACTACAGGCTGGTGAGCCTCACATCTGAGCCTGGAAAGATCACGGAGTGAATCCTCCTGGAAGCCACATTAAGGAGAGACAAGGAGACAATCCAAGACATCCAACATGGTTTACCCAGGACAGATGGTGCCTAACCAATCTGGTGGCCTCGAACAATGGAGTGATAGCATTGGTGGACAAAGGAAGGGCAACAGTAGTCATATGCCTGGACTTCTGCAAGGCCCTTGGCATGGTCCCTCACCACATAATTATTTCTAAATTGAAGAGATACGGATTTGGCCTTCCAGAATGTAATGGGAGCTCATAAACAGGAGGGAGACAGACTTTTTATACAGTTTGATAGCGATTGGAAAGGGCTTTAAACTAAAAAAGGGGAGATTTAGGTAAGATATTAGGAGGAAAGATTTTTTACTCAGAGGAAGGCAAGGCACTGGCACAGGTTGCCCCATCCCTAGAGGTGTTCAAGGCCAGTTGGATGGGGCCCTGGGCAGTCTGATCGAGTAAGTGGAAAGGAGGGTGGAAGAAGACGATATTGAAGGTCCCTTCAAATCCAAGCCATTCTATGATTCTATGATTACGATTCTGTGAAAACAAAACGAGCTGACGTCCTGCCAAAAAAGTAGAGAACTGAACAACCAGACATACTTGCTTCTTCCTCAGCTGTGATGTAACAAGAGGACAAGTGGCAAAGATTGAAATAACCAGAGCTAAAGCATTGACATTGAAACTTCAGGCCACAGAGAAGGCTCTACTGAATTTCTTTTCATAATATTCATTACTTTATTACTTAGACTATGCCCTTAACACTTTAGCAGAGTGTGCCTTCATGATTCATACATATGTAGTCTAATAGTTATAATCTGCAAAATAAAATGGCTAACTTTAAATGCTAGTGGAAAACATAAATGCATTACAAACTATGTTAAATTTCAATTTCACCATATCAATTTTTCTGCTGCTTTTTCCAGTAAAATAATTCACTTCAGTATGAAGAACATGCACTAGCTGAAGATTAGGTTAGGTATTTTACATCTCTTTTGCAAAGCATTTTATTTTTATTTGAAAAAAAAAAAAAAAAAACAAACAAAACCAAACATATAATGGAGCTATACACAACAGGAAAGGAATTCATAGGCTTTTGATTTTAAGGCATAAACCTCTTAGTCTAAGACATTTCAGAGTTTTAATTCCTTTATGAGCATATTCTGGGATGATATATTCATAAGAATCCTTTGTTCTGACGTTTATGCCTGTGATTACCACTTCCATCAGAGAGCGAGACTATAAAGCAATTCTCAAGGACTGTGAAGTACACCAAATTATTAAAACAACCCTTAGAATTCAGACTTCTCAACTTTATCCTGACACAATTCTTGATGAAGGAACAGGATGACAACTGTTTGCTTCTGTTCACTCTTTTATTTAAGCCTCACAAAGGTTACATCCAGGGAGGAGGTGATTTTTACTTCCTTATTAGGGGATATATGAAATATGTCAAAACCATGGAGCGAGAGATGCTCTGTAAATGCAAGAAGTAAAAGTGTGAGCCTCACACACACTGTGAAAGACATGAGAAGTCAGTAAACCAATGAAACTAAAAATTTAGTCATTGTCTTAACCCCAGATTCAATTCGCCTGAGCTAAATGGCTGTTCTTCATAATTAAAGCATCTATTTTTACCATGAAATTCACTGGAGACAATGATTTGTATGCAGGAACTTGTTGAAACAGGAATTTACTGTAGACAGTTTTAAAACCAGAGCATGCTCTGTTCAGATCATTTGAATTCAAATTTCTAACAAGCAATCCTCAGCTCGGAGGGAGGAAATTTTCAGGGACTTATCTATCCCTGTGCTCTTTCCGTGTTTCAATTATATATGTTGATGCTCTGAGACAGCACCAAAAACTCATAAAACACCACAGCTGCTCTAATTCCTATCTGTCTATCAGATCATAAGTTATTTGAGTCCCAGGTAATCTAATTCAAAGGGAATAAAATCACACAGGATATCGAAGTACCCAAAGATACATCCCTGATATTTGAACAGTTTGGAAGTCTCTTAATTTAACTCTGTGATTTTCTTTTGATTATTATTTTTTTCAATCAATTACTACAAGATCCTCACATTAAGTATTTTCTGAAGTTAATGATATTTTCATTCAAAAATAAGACTTAAAATAAAATAAAAGCCCAGCCTTCTAGAAAAACACAAAAACAGAAACAAAAACCCTAGAAGCAGCTCAAGATTTATTTTTTCCCCAAAAAAGGTAATGAAATTACGATTTTTTAAAAAATTATAAATTGTATAATAATGTGGAATGATGATAGTAAAACCATTAATTAAAATTATTTTTTCCTTAATAATAAAATGTACGGCATTATTTGGCTTGAACTATTCAATAGTTCTCAGACTTCTATTGAAAAATAGCTTTCTCCCTTAATAACATTATAAATAAAGGATTCTTACAACTGCAATAAAAATGCTTAAGATACTGCTGCAAAAGCAATAGTCTTTTTAAAAAAATGTTTGTGTATTGCTCCAAAATACACTTAACTATTCCAAATTTCTTACCAAAGATGTATGCCTTGCTAATAACATAAAATCACTATTTGTAGTGTTGGCCCTGGTAAATAAACTGAAATATTGAACTCTGGGAGCAGGTAGGAAAGTCATAAGGCTAAAAATAAAATGAAATAAAGAGTGGAAATGAGGTATTAACAAAGGGAGAAAGAGGGGGAGAAGATGACAGAAGTAAAGAGGAGATGGAGATAGGACAATGACAAAACCAACCTATCATCTTTCTTTAATTTGAAATGATCGTGGCCTACCTTCTCACCTCAGGAAGAGAGGTGACTTTTTTTTTACCTACATAGAACTATACATGCGTAATTGAAAGGGAAAAACAGATGTTCAGTTGTGAAGATGCTGAAAAATATTACTGTATTCAAAATCTGCTTTTTTTTTTCTCCAAATACCACTTCATAACTATCTGTTCTTTTCTGAGAAATTTAATGTCAGAATATACACTTCACTAGCAAACCTACAGACCATCATCAACTCACAAAGCAGTGATAGCACAAAGGGAAGCAGTAGAATTCCTGGACTTCTTCAGAACTCCTTAATCAGAATGCAGAAAAATTATCTTCAACACTAAAGTGGCTCACACAACCTTTCACTGCTTTTGATCTCTTCTATAGAAACCACAAAAGCTGTTTTCAATATTAATTTGTTCTGGGAGATTATCTGCCCTCTAGAGCCTGTACACTATAGTACTGACATAGGCCATGAAGCAGCAAATGTTAAAACCTGTCAAGACACTACAGAACTCGAGACAGATTTTGAACTACTGCTGTGGAAACTAATAGATTATCACAGTACATCTCTATCACCTCATTCTCTATTTTTTATACGTCTCTGTATCTTCCTAACACTATCACCATACGTGTCACAAATACATATATAAATACATGTATTACCTCTTTAAAGGTACACTGACGCTTAGAAGTGCATATATAAAGGTAATTAGGAAAAAGGTTCATTCATTGTGAAACTTCAATTAATGCAAAGCTGATTTAATTCAGTTAAAAAAATCTATTACATGAATTACAGTCTCTCTCCAGCTCCCTCCCTTTCAAATTGAAGAGCATTTTCCTTATGGAACATGGAATACATTGGTCAAATTGTCTCCCACACTTTTTTTATTAGTTTTTTGTTTTTCATGGATACTATTAATTAATGAACTAATTATTAAAAGAGATTTTTTAAAGTTAAAGTTTATTTTATAGTGCTTCATGGTTACATATTCACAGTCCCAGGAGTCCTAACAAGATGCTGGAACCCAGTTATGGCTACAGAATCAATGTTTTTACAGCATGCACGAGTAAAAATGCAACACGAAAAAAGAAAAAAAACACATGCATTATAAAATCTGATAAGATTTGTATTATAATGTATAACAAAGAGATGTTACAGTTGCCTAGTGTATTCTTGTGCATTGTTTATATGGAAAAAAGAAACTTTTTGTGTTAGGATAAAAGTCAGAATTGTGATACAGTAGCTCCGTAAAAGCCTGTTAATTGTACAAAACAATTTGTATTAAACCAAGATTCCATATTACACTGCTGTGTTCTTATGGGAGGAATAGCCATTCAAAATGTTAAAAATTCACTTTTTAAAGCTTTTGGAAACTACATATGCATGCAGTACCCAAATTCCATATCATACCTTATGTTCTTCTACTTGACGCTTTAAGTCCTCTAGATCTGGTCCTAAGGGCTCTGAATCTATCTTCCTTGTCCTTTCCTCTGTTTTCGTTAGCCAGTCAGCTAACTGGGCTAGTTGCTGATTCTGGAGATCCATTAGGATTTTATGTAAACTGTAAAACAAAAAAATAACATCTCAATTTATACATGAAAAAAAACCTGTCTGACCTTTATGCTCTTGATTATCTTTGTTAATATTACAGACTGCAAACTAGATGACAGCTTTGCAAGACTTTCCAATCTCAAAATCTGTTCTTTCCAGAAGACACAAAGAACATCCTTGGGCATTTTGATTGTTAAACTGATTTTCATGAGGCTAGATGTCAAGCCAGAATAAAGAATATTTTCAGGCAGGTAAATGAAGATTTGTTGAAATAGTACTGAATTAGGCAATAATTAAATTGAAATTAATTCCTGAGTCCAGGAATTAAAAACAAAACTAAACAAAACCCTTAATAACCCTTAATAACTATTAATATAATCCATTTAAAGAACCATGGAACTGGATATATTTCATGTTTTCTCTGAAGTTTTATTCTCTAGCTGCATTTCTATTACAGCTATTCAAAATTTCAAAACATCATTTGGATTCATGAACTTAAAAAAGACATGTACTTCAAAGGTTTCTTCAAATTAAGGATATTACACAGATCACTGAATCTTCATTTATCCAGTGGAGATATTCTAAAAAACTAAAAGGTATTTTGATAACTCCAAAATGATCTGACCAGAAATCCATGAAAAATAGTTCACATTTCATACTTGACACCTTCAGAAATCCTTTAATCTTGTCTTGCCTAAACAGCATCCGCAACTCATCAAGAACACTTACGAAATAATATGTAAGCTGGGGCTGAGCAAAGGAATTACAAATAATTATTTCTATTTCCCATCTTCCACATACTATGGAATTTTAAACTTAGATCCAGTTCACCGTCCTCCATGATACTCAAACACAAAATATTTTTACATTGAATTGAACCTGTTTTAAAAATTGTGGAAATCTCTATAAGGTGGTAAATGGCAGTAAGCTTTCCTCTCCCTAGTTTCATTTATCACTCTGAGATACTTTACAGCAAAGAATTCTGGGGAAAGGTAGGAGGAAGACATGAAAAATCAGGTTGCTTTACTTCACCATGTTAATGCATTACTTGCTGCAACAGTCAAGTATATTCAGTACATACTGAACACAGGGTAAATTCAACTTGTACCGTGTTTAAATAAATGCACTGCTGTGCTCCAAAATTCCTCTGATAGTCTGATCTCCCAAATGACTTTTCAAATATTAAGTCCCTTTCACTTTTATAGTATCTGTTATTACTAAATCTTTTTAATTTTTGCTGATTGTCTGCATTTGTTTCCCTTGTGCTGTATCATAGTCTATTTTTAATTTCACTCCCCACTACAGAGGGCAGACAGTCCTGTGGTTCTTATCTTCACAAACCATCTCTGTTTGGATTGACAAGTCAATCTAGTGTTAAAGATGGGATTACAGCAATGTGCTCAAAAGATTATTCTTTACAACAAGGTAGAAGATCCTGAAAGTTTAAATTGAGTCTAATAACATACAAATACATTACATGTGATGTGAAAGCTGTTTCAGTTCATAAACCATCAGCTGGTGCCCGAATCTGTTGTGACTCAATAGTCAATATTAGCCATCTTTAAATTCATTGCTTCTAAGAAATTTTCTTCTACCTTAACCAAAATTTCATTAAGTTTATCCAATTTTTATTTTTATTTTTTAAATAAGAAATTAAAATTAAACAGTAACACCAGTAACACAACATTCTCTGTGAAGTTCTCATCTTCTGCTGATTTCATTCATCACTGATTTATGCAAGGTCATAATGGAGAGAAAACACAAAAACAAAATCTCAATACTCAGTTAAAAAAAAAAAAAAAATGGGGAAAGGGGGAGAGGGAAGGAATTACTACGCATTTATTGCAGGAATATTACCAAAACAAACATAACAATGTTATGTGATTGTTCAAAATTATAGCTTGCCTTTTAATATTGTATGCAATTCTGGTTGCTTTTATGCCAGAAAGATAAGGTAGAACTTATTTGCTCAAAGAAGAGCAAAAGAGCAAGATAAATAATAAAATGTATTTATAGCAAGAGTAAGAAAACCTAACTGATGTTGACCACAAATAAGTTAGCAGAGACCAGACTAAAACCAACAAAAAGACACCATCCCTCAGAAAAATAGTAGGAAGAATCCTATGGAATTCACTGCCAAAGGATGCTTTGGATGGTATTAAGTTTACACAGGTCCAAAAAGACATGGAAAAAAAAAAAAAAATGATAAGTTACAAAATGGATACAACTATTTTCATCTCAGTAATCTCTCTCAACTGGAAACAACCTGAAGTCATGGAAGAGCTAAACAGACTGCATAATATAAGACGTAAACAATCAAATCAGTGCAGTGGTTCACAGAACCCACTGCTTGGTGTAGGTGCAACACACTGGTTTGCAGTAGGTGGATACAGCCCAATATTTCCTACCTACAGCAGCAAAAATGAGATGAAAAGATGCTCAGTATATCATGTACCTCCTCTAAAGCTTGTTCTTTTCTTGATTAACAAAGATATTCAATCTTTTATAGAAATCACAGATACAAAAGGACTTGCTCTGCAGGCGTACCTAAGAGTTTCTTGCTTAGTACATTTTTCTGAGAGAAAAATTAAGAAGCCATCAGAGATCTCAAATTTGGGTGGTTTGTTGCTGCACTTATTTGTATTTATTGTATAGAATGGCTATACTTAGTAATTAACTTCTTAACTATAAAGAAACTGACAGTGACAGCCCATTAATTTTAAAGTATCCTGTGGATTTGACTCAGTATGATAGTTGTAAACTTCACCATTGCTTCCTTTTTACAGAAGGATCAGTAAGGGTGCAAAATTCCACAAAGCAAAACAGAATCCAGTCAGCTGAGTTTGAAGCTGAATTATTGCATTAGACAGGAATTAAAAGACTCCATGTGAAAAAAAAATTAAAAAAAATCTGAGAAAAAGGTATGTGAAAGACAGGCACATAACAGAATTTTCTTAAAGCTGAAGGAATTCAATTCACAAAAATAAAGTCATCTTTCAATAAATTTCTTCTGTTAAACACTCCATACAGAGCAAAATAAATTACAGCGGCACAATGACAAGATTTTACTTTATGGACTTTCTTATAATAAATACTACTATGGAAAACAAAATTTCAAAATAAGACACAGAAATGTTAACATTTCTAATTTTAATTAGAATTTTTTAAACATTTTTAACGTTAAAAGCAATACTTAAAATGTATTTAAGCTTCAGTGTCACTACACGTCAAATTTCAGGTTAAAATAAAAGCAGTAAGGTTGAATCTTGTTTACAGTGAAAAATGCACAGCTGTTACTCAAGTTCAGGATTGTTCCACCTAAATTTGATGCATATTAGTTTACCTGGCATATCACTTACTTGCTTTGTTTTTCCATACTTGCAACCCTGAGACTTTCCCATCGTGAATTGAGTAGATTCATTTGTTCTTGAATTTCGTTTTCTTCATCATCTGAAAGCCTTCCAATTGTTAAAAGTTGACTTCCAACTTGCAAAACGTTACCAACACGGCCTTGGTGAGCTGTTAATTCCATCATGAAACCCTGACAATAGAAAGAAGATCCTGTTTTAAGTTTAATTCACTGGAAGGGAAGAGCAAACTTTAGAGAAATATCTTCAATTCCACCATATTCCAAACCTGATTTTCCATTTTTTTTTTTTTCCAAACTCTCCTCAAATCTTGTAACACATAAGAGAAATAAACACTTTAACATTTTACATTCAGTACTGCCTTTAAATTCTACAAATAAAAATTTAAAATAAACAAATACATATATTTGTTTAATATACATCTTTTTTATTTTCTTACAAGATCCAAGTAGATAAATGACCAACAGAAGATGATTATAAATACATACCTCATGGGTATGAAACTGTTCTTTAACAACTTCTACATCACTGGATATATCCCCTTGTGCTTGTAATGCATCTTCAGCAGAGAGAAGCCACGTGAGTACTTCTTCTAAAGCAGTTTGGTAGCTGTCAAGATCCATTTCGGACCTCATCACTGTGGTGGTATATGTTCTTTTTTCAACAGTTTCTAAAAACTAATCAAAAACAGTAATGCAAAGAGAACCTACTCAGACAGTTCTAGAAAGGAATACATAAAATGCCATTTTCTTGTATAATAAAACAGCTTTTTATATAACAATTTGACAGCTAATGCAAGGGATTACATATTAGTATACTTGTTAATTAGCCAAGATAAATTGAGGAAAATAACTAAATTCAGATTAAATGAGATATTTTACACACAATTCAAATTATCTAGAAAACGTTCAGAAAAACTGGAATATTTAAATGGTAGCTGCAGAGTTCTGTTATACTCTTTTGGAACTGAAAGAAATTTATTTTCTACAGCAGCTAGTAAAACTATATCATCAGAAAGCTGCAAGTTGCATGCTGACACTGCAGTGAAACCAATACATCAATAACAAGTATTTAATAATTACTCTGATCTTAGAAGACAAAACAGAAGCTACAAACATGGCTTGATATAGAAAATGTCACCTCATAAATTTATAAAAAAAATCTGACAAAGTTTAATTAATTTGCTAGCTAGTCAGTACAAAAGCAAACACATAAAATTATATTTAGGCCTCCATCAAAAAATATATCAAGAAATTTAATGATTTATTAGCATAAATATACTTGAGCAAAGAGAAAATTTGGTAGAGCTTTTGAAGCCTTTCACTGTAGCTTAGGACAGAAAGTCAAAGTTTAATCCTAGAACTAAAATGGATGTAATGTGATCACTAAAAAGGAATGTGCGCTAGGCTAACTTAACTTCTTCACTGTTTACATGTGAAAAAAGCTGCTTAGTAAATAAGGGTACATCATAAAAGCAGGCTTGGAAATCTGATGACCTCAATAATCTGGTTTTAATAAACTAAATAGTGATGCACAGACAATATCAGCACATATTCCTGCTGACAAATCAACATCTGAACTGTATGCAAGTCTAGATTTTTTAGTGTTACATAAATTTCATTAAGAAATAACCCAACCATATTACATCTATGCAGCAAGTTATCTTTTAATTACCTAATTTACTACAGAAAGAGGTAAACTGACCATTGTTCCGTCTGTCATCTGACTGAAAATTCTCCATCTGAAAATCTCTCATCCTCTAGATACAACACAGAATGTTCTCTCATGTATGATATCTCTTAAAGCAAACACTTGCTAACTGCTCCTCTGCAGAACAAATACTTGGTGTAATTTTCCCTAGTAATTTTGATAAGACTTTTCTCTCATGTTATTGTAAATACTGTATGAAATTGCATTAAAAAATCCCAAACTAGCAAAAAACTAGAAAATGGTGCAGATTATCTTCTGTACAACTTTAATAAAATTTTGAGAAATGTAAAAGAGAAAAGCAAACAGTAATATAAATGGATATCAAAGTGGCTTCTTGGCATCTACTCCAACCTATTGTATTCTCTCATTCAAAAAAATTGCAGTTTCCTGACATAAGAAAATCAGAAAAGAGCTAAAGGAAGTACAAGCAAAGGACTGTGCACAATGGCATCAGTAAGCCCTTTATTTGGTGTTGGGAGGCAACAATAAATTTTCCATGTTCCCTGAAATTTTACAGCATCACTGACTGCAGAGAACTGGAATCAGTCATTAGGGAACATAGCAGATAAATGGATGCTGGTTGATGTGTAAACAATAAAAAACAAACAAACAAACAAACAAAAAAAAAAACAAAACAAAACAAAAAAAACAACCATATCTGTGGATGGCACAAGTTCCTGAATGTTGAGGACTGTGTCACTATAACATTGTACATTTTTTTCCTCTATGCTTATGGTGATAAGAAGGAGCAATAGCTAGAGAATAACCATCAGACGCAGAAATATTATTAGCCACTTGTTATTCTAGAGCACGCCGTCTATTTCTTTTCAGATCTGAAGCGACAATCTGATGTTGAGCTGTATCTTCACTACTTCTATCAGTGCTTTTTAGCTATATGAAATAACTGAGCATTCTTGCTCATCCTGCATATGGAATGCAAAACAGTGGAAACTCCAATTGTGCTATGCAAACACCGACTAGCAGATGACTATTATTCCTGTAACATTCCCAACATTCCCATTTATAACAAAGATTCCTGTTAGCTCAGCTGTCAATGGAACATTAAACACCATATTAAATATTCACATTTGGAAGTGGACAGGTACTACCACATGCATTGTATTTAAAAAAAAAAAAAAAAAAAGTTAACAAAAAGAAGTTAGGTATCTCAGTATGATATTCAGTATAACCCAAGAATAACGAACATTGAAATAATCCACTAGCAACAACTAAAATCCTGAATTTTATATATAATAATGGTAGACAAATTAGTTTAAAAACAAACTACACCTGCCAGTATCTTTATTTCTGAATTCATATAAAATCTTTTCAGAATTACTACAATACTGAGAAAAATAGAATTTGATGTTATTGCATATACCACATTGAGACCAAAACCATGGACTTGCTAACGGAGATAGCTACCATGAATGGTTTCCAACCATAATTCTTACGAGAATAAAAAACAATCCGGACAAGCTGAAATTAGACTGTTGTGGTGTATTACTAGGAAGACTATACTTCCGAAAAAAACCTGCTCATATGTGCATGCATGCAGTCTCCTTCTTGAATAAAAAACTATTCTTAGTAAGGAATTTAATTATTGCACAAAAGAAAGCTGATTGGGTGCAGTCAAATCAAAACATCCCATTTGTTTATGTAATCCACTGAGTAACAACACATGCATGAAGACACAAATGCTAAGGGGAAATTAAACCAAACAATTCAGATATTTGATGAAAGCTGCCTTACGTCCAGCTGGGAATCAGCAAGGCAGCCACATCAGAAGTGTTTTGGAAAATTAACTAGTCTTTTTTTTGTATGGAAAACAGGGGTTGACCTAGAAGGCAAAAAAAAAAAAAAAAAAAAAAAACAAAAAAAAATTAGAAAAAAAGGTTGTCCCCCCCCAATTTTTTTTTTTTTTTTTTTTTTTTTTTGCCAATGAACATAGACGTATCCTATGTGTATAAAAATATGGGAATGTGAGTTTTTATATATTTCACCATTTTCTGCTGGGAAGACTAGGGGCTGTCAAGAGTGTAAGACCCTCAGGAACATTTCGCTTCAAATTAAAATATAAAAAGAGAAAATAAAAAGCACTTGATCTTCTGAAACTGGAAAAATAAGGCTTGCTTGGCAGCTGTCTGAATTAGTTCACAGTGATTAAATGATGAGCTTCCAGCTGCTTCAGGGTGAGAAAGCGAGGAGAGTGAGGGTTGCTCACCTACCATTATATTATATTCCCAAAGGAAGGAGAAGATTCGCACTTGCTAGTAAATTTTCCAAGAATTTTTGTATTATTAACTAAGACTCCTTATGAGTTTCAGAAATTACTTAGTTTCTGGAAGCAGTTTTACAGTAAATACTTAGGATCTATTGTAGCACTCTTATTTACATTACATCTTTCTTCGTTTCAAATCTGCCTTTGTCTCACTGTATGATATGAATCTAGCTCAACACTTTTAAAATTCAGAGGCATCAAATGTTAAAGAAACATTTCTTTTTAACAAATGCAATTTTATATTCGGTGTAGTTTTCTCCTTTGGAAAAACCGCCTTTGCAGAATTACAGCCTCAGAAAATAGCATGCAATTTGACCATCTAATCACAGTTCTTACCAGGAAAGACAGATATCACTGCTTATCCCATCAGTTGTGCAAGGTTTCTCATTACAAAATCATATTTCATGTATTTAAAATTGTAAAATTATAACTGTTCAGACTGAAATGTTCTTCACAATAATAAAGACTATGATAATATCATAGGATGGTTCAGTCATTTTTGGTCATAAAACTGATATATTGTCTAGGTCACTTGTTACTACACCATTAACTACTTCCCCATTATAAATGAGGCTGGTATTTTCAGTTTATTCAGGATTCTAGTAATTTCTTTGCAAGTGGAAATATCTTTGATCAGGAAGGGGCTCTTTTTGCCATTCATATGAAAATTCACTCAAGATTCACTTATCAAAAATCTGAAAAACTGCAGTTTTTGCTCTCTCATTTGAGGCACCCTACATTATAGCAGCAGATTTCTTTAGTGAATCCATTTACACTGAAGATGGTTCCATCTGGATGAATCTCCCTCTCCTTGCAACTGGCAGTTTTCACATGCAGTAGACTTGTAAGTCCACTGCAATTGAACAAGTCAAAGGCAGGCAGCATGAATCTAAATGTATTACAGATGAAAGAAAATGCTGAAAATATTGTCTGGAAATGGTAAAAGAAAATGCTTATATTTAACCACTCAACCACTCCCACAGATACAGCTGGTACACATAAAGTCTGGAAAAGCCACAGACTTCCCTGGCTATAGACAACTGTGCATAACTCTAGAAGTATGCTCAAGTCAACTGAAAACTAGTGAAAATCTTGAAACAAATTGTATGAGATGACTAAGGGAAGAGACTAAGACTAGATAAGAAAAAGAATAACTAAGAATTGTTAAAACAGTATAAGAGTTAATAAATAGGAACTGAGACAGTCAGCTACCTGGAATAATCCAATTTTCTCACAATTGGAAGCTTTTTAGTTTTACATGTATGGTCAAATAAATCATTCAAAAAAAGGATTTCATCCCTTCATTTACTTGTTTTCTTCAACATACCTGTACCTGAAAAAACAGGACAGTTTTTGTTACAAGCTCTTTGACTCACTTTTCACAAAACCTACTTAAACATATATGCTATTTATTCTTTTAAATTTATCAGAAAACATTTCAGCCTTTTCCATTTTCTAATTATATTGAGATTTTTGTTCTATGAAATGTATCCCTGTTTGAAGTATTATTATGACAAGATGCACAGTACTTTCTTCAAAGAATGGCCCTTCTTCAAACAATTAAGAATTATGACTCTAAACAGTAAGAAGACTTGATATAGATGTGTTAAATGAACTGACTGTGATTGAACTGAATTAACTCACCATACACCTATAAGAAAATTAAGATTTCTTGCTATGAAAATG